TGTTAAGTTGTTTCATTACCATTTCCCGAAAAGACTATCTTGCACCAGATCTCCATGGCACATACCACAGGGCAAAACCAGCTCTTTCCCAATGCTTAAGCAGTGGGATGTGTTGCTTTACCTATGCCTCAACCCTAGCAAGTATAGCTGGAGGCCCTCAATGAAGGGACAGTTCCATCTTAAATAAGCAGCCTTTTGTCAACACCATCTGGGGTGAGAGAGCTGGTCAATTGAGATCTTAGAAACTTTGTTTCCCCTATTTCTAACTAAACTCCATGTTTTTCCCCTAAGCCTCCTGGTCTTGCAATTAAAAGCATGGATGAGAATCCATAAGCAGGTGATCAGTCCTCTATCTTGGCACTGATCTTTGCAACGCTGCTATTACCCTGTTTCACACTGATTTTACTCTTCTACCACAGATTAGTTGATTAAATTTCTTTGGGCATTTTTCTAAGCTCATTCTGTTCCACTGAACCATTTGTCTGCTTTGTATGTTTGCTTGTTTGTTTGTTTGTTTGTGTTTGTTTTTTACCAATACCACACTATCTTTATTATAGCCTTATTATAAGTCATGAAGTTGATAGTGTCAGTTCCTCTTTCAACATTGTGTTGGCCATTCTGAGTCATCTGCCTCTCTGTATAAAATATATAATCAGTTTGTTGATATTCACAAAATAACATTTGGGGATTTATTTATTTATTTTTTTTAAATTTAATAGATGCATGTTTATTTATTTATTTGTTTGTTTTGTTTTGTTTATACATGCACTGGGTACAGTCAGAAGTACGGGAGGGTGAGAGAATTCACCAGAGCCAGAGCGGGGAGCAGAGCAGGCAGAAGGACCGAAGTACGCTGCTGAGGGGAGCAGCGGGCGGCAGGAGAGGTCTGCGCGCCATGTGGGACCCTCCTCCGGTGGCCGGGGAGCAGCCGGGGATCGAACCGGCGCCACAGAGGCCGCGGGCAGCTTCTCAACCCAGCGCTCAACCGCTGCGCCACCGGGGAAGCCCACATTTGGGGATTTAGACTGGGATTACACTGAATTTACAGATCAAGTTTGGAAGAATTGATATCTTGACAACACTGAGACTTCCTATACATATACTATACTTAAGTATACATAAGTATACTTCCTATACTTCCTAAAATATCTACTTGTTTAGTTATTTGTCCATTAGTTAAATTTTTTCATAGAGATCTTATACATTTATTATTAGATTTATACCAAAATATTTCTTACTTTGTAAGTTAACATAACTGGTATAGTATTTTCAATTTCAAATTCCACTTGTTAATTACAGAAAAACAACTGACTTTGATATATGAAACTTGACTTCTGGAAAACAAATGCATAAATATATACTGTTCTTACATGGGAAATCTCAAGTGAAGATAACAATACTTCTCAAAACAATACACAGAATTAGTCAATCAAAATCCTAATAGGGGGTCTCCCTGGTGGCCCAAGGGTTAAAGTCTCAGTGTTATCAAGCTATTGCCAGCCACTGCAGCAAGAGTTTGATCCCCAGCTAGGTAACAAGCCCATATGGCGCAGCAGACATCTCCCGTCTCACCTGCTGCTCCCCTCAGCAGTGTATTTCAGTAGATCCGTCTGTTGTGCTCCCCACTGTCTCTGATGAATCCTCTCATCCCCCACATTTCTGGCCTACACCCCAGTTCTTGTATGCATAAATAAAAATAAATCTTAAATTAAAACCCTAATAGGATTATTTTGTAGGAAAGGGAACTAAGTTGATTGGTAAGTCCATGTGAAAACTAAGTTGATAGTTAATTTCATGTGGAAAAGTAAGTCAATGAAAACGGATAGGAAATTACTGGAATGAAGAATAAGTATATATTTGTCCACTCAGATATAAATATGTAGATAAAGTTTCAGTGATTAAAACACTATGCAACTGACCTTGATAATCAGATTAATGAAACACAGTAATTAAGCAAAAGACCAATGTGCATGTGAAAATTTTATATATGGTAAATGAAGCATTTCAAACCATCTGAAAAGAATAATTTATTCAGTAAATATTATTTTAAAAATTACTTGTATGTCTAAAAGATTGGAAAAGAATTGAAAATCAATATCACGCATATAATAAATTTCTGTTATCTTCTAACTTCTACAATTGGAATATTTAAAAAATATGTAAGAACAAAATGTGAGAATAGTGTTCAAATCTTAGTTTGTGAAGTTCTTTTAAAGCCTGAGACAACAACGCGGGAAGCCATAAAAGAAGAGAGTTGACTATATAAAAATTTAAAACTTCAACATGGGGCCTCCCCGGTGGCACAGCGGTTGAGCGCTGGGTTGCGAAGCTGCCAGCAGCTTCTGCAGTGCCGGTTCGATCCCCGGCTGCTCCCCAGCCACTGGAGGAGGGTCCCACATGGCGCACAGACCTCTCCTGCTGCCCGCTGCTCCCCTCAGCAGTGTACTTCGGTCCTTCTGCCTGCTCTGCTCCCCGCTCTGGCTCTGGTGAATTCTCTCACCCTCCCGCGCTTCTGACTGTACCCAGTGCTTGTATAAATAAATAAATCTTAAAAAAAAAAAAATAAAACTGCAACATGACAAAGTATGGCATAAAGAAAATAGAAAACAAACGGTATCATGGAAAAAACTACTATGACATATAATTGAGAGCTTTGATGTGGATATTCATAAGAAGTATCTAAGAAAAACAGAAAAAAATGAACAAATAGTGAGTAAATATGAAAAAAAAAAACACATAAGTGAATGTCTTTTGAGAAGAACTGACCCATTATTGTTGGCCTTGAAGATAGAGGGAAAGCGTCCCTGAGCCTTGGTTCAGGATGATTTCTAGTAGCTGGCAATGGCCCTCAGTTTACAGCTAGCAAGAAAAATGGGGACCTTGATCTGACAATGATAAGGAAATTAATCCTGCCAGCAACTCAAATTGCAGGCTTCAGTTTACCCCAAGTCCTGCTGACTTGATTTAATCCAAAGAGACCTGCTCCAGATTTGTGACCCACAGAATTTTAAGACAATTTGTGCTGTTTAAAGACAATAAATTTGTGGTAATTTGTTACGGCAGCAAATAGAAAATTCACACAATTTGTCTAGTTGCCATTTAATTCCTTCCCTAGGTTAAAGCCTTCCACTTTGAGATCCTGTAATCTGTACCTACTTCTTGAACAAATCAGGATCCTATTAGGAAGGAGGAATGGGTGAGTGGCACAGTGAAAGGCAATAACCAGTGTCAGCAGAGAAAACAGCAATCAGTACTTCCTGAACCAAATGACTAATCCTCTTGATTTAGTTTGCCTCTTTAATCCTGTCTTTCAGATTTCTACTTCATGCTTTATGAAGCAGCTGCTCTAATCTAGAGATTGATGCTCTTGATAATTCAGTTCCCTCTTCCTGAAACACCTCCAGCCCACTGTTTTATACTATCCCATTAACTACCCTACTGACTCCATTTTATTCTTCAAAATACTGCTTAGACATATTCTCTTCCTTTAAGCTTTCTTTTCAAGGCAAAACTTTAACTGTTTATTCAAAGAAACTGTTTAGTTTCTTTCTCGTGTCAATATTGCAAACATGGTCTATACCATAATAAATTATCCTTGTATGTTTGTCCTCTGTCTCTCCTGGATATTACCAGTGGCTACCACCATGTTTAGCATGTAGTTAAGAGCTCAATAAATTCCTGTTAAAATGAACACATACATAATAAAATTCATGAACTGAGTGTTTGAGTAAGTATTGGAAATAAGGAAACTGTACTGAAGAGCACTCATTATAGACATTTTTTATCTTTGTGAAAAATTCTAAGAAAATACAAAGTAGAGAGAGACTTATAATTAGGCCCATTAATCATAATTCAACTTCAGTAACAATCAACATTTTCAAATATATTTTTAAATCAGCTAGAAAGACAGTGGCAGTTTACTCTTCCCAACAAACTGACCTATCATCAGAAGGAGTTGTTTACATCTAAGGTGAGGAGGTGGACTTCAGTTCTCCAGGATCTCAATACTCATAAATATTAAGAACAATTAACAGACAAAATACCCTCTGAAGGAGCCATTAAGTACTACCAGTGACCAAGGAGCAAGCACTATTGGCCTACAACAGATATATCCTGAAACACGTTTCACAAACGTCCAAAACGACCATTTCATGTTATAGTGTTAGGGGGAAAAGGATGTCCCAGAGCAAATTCCATATAGGCTTTGTGGACTCCACCCCCACCCCAGGTCATTGGGGTTGCTCTATAACAACAGGACTTGTCCTGAAAGTAACTCTTGTCACTTAAAAGTCAACACAAGAGAAAACTAACATGTTATGTTCTTTTTGTTTTCAATGGTCCACTTCAGTGCTACCAATCGAGAATACGTGTCACTGCTGTCCTGGGTTGATCGCATTGACTAAAGACTTGGAATTCTTTGATTTCTAAACAAAAGCAGCAGGCTGAGAATCTTGTTGGAGCTTCAGGGACCTGCAACCAGGCCTCTTTTGCATCCACACTTCACCAGAGATACGTCTAAGGTATATTGGGCAGAGATGCAGGTGGGAGTGATAGAGAAATCTCAGCTCAAGTCTAGACCCCAAACAAAGGAATATGCTTTACAAAGCAGGGAGGACAAAAGAATTAAGGCGTGAACTCGGGCCTGCTTAGAGCCAGGTCTTATAAAAACCAATGACCTAACAGGCCTCACTCTCCCGCCATCAAGGAAAGTAAGCCGAACTACACTTCCCAGAATGCAATGCGTAGGCGGCGCTAAAGAGATTGTTTTTACCTCCTGTTGGCTCTCAGCGCCTTAGGTTTGGTTATAAGCTCCAGCTGCTCGTCTTGGCCCTTTTCCTCGGCCTAATTGGTTCGGCAGCCGGTGCGTAGGAGAGCGTCTGAGTCGTCACGGATAGCCGTTGAATGGAGACTCTCGGGCCCGCGACATCATGGTACATGAAGTCCTGGCTCGGGCCGGAAATGTAACTTTTCCGCCTTCATCAAAGAAAAAGAACTACATTTCCCAGGAACGCGCGGGGCAGCCCGGCGGCGTGGGGGCGGTGCCTCGCGTCGGGTACAGTCATCCCAAACCTCTTCGGCAGGACTGTGATGGCCGGAGAGATGACGATCTTAGGTCAGTGATGGGGGGTGGTCCCGGTGGCAGTTGTCGGCGCCGCAGCGGTTTGGGATGGCGGGATTGGACGGGGCGGTTGTCGCACCTCCCGAGTCCAGTTGGCTAGGTGGAAGGGCGCAGTAAAGGTGACTTAGAAGCAGTTTCTGGTTGTTTGGGACGCCGGGCTGGGGGTCGCCTCCAGGAGGGCCGGAGCTGGAGTAGGCCTGGGGGGGCTGCAGCTACCCTCTGCGGACTTCGTGGGAGCATCCGCTTTCCAGCAGAACGACAGTTTTGAATCCTTGGTTGAATTGAGGCCTTTAGGAGTCTCCGAGCCCGTGCATCTCCAATACCCTTTGTGGATGGAGAGGAGCAGCAGCAGTGTCAGGGGCTGTAGACCCCTGGGGGGTCAGGGGTCCCCCTGGGATACCGGATTTTGCGAGATCCAAGCTCTTTCCATCAATTGGGGGTAGGAATTCCACTCCCCGAAGAGCGGGTGGTGAATTGTTTTTGAATTTTGCACGTAGGAACGAGAGGAAAGTGGGGTTGCCTCTTGATTTAATTTCTTTGAGTTATGTGTTGACGAGGATGAGCTAACAATTAGTAAGATAGACTCCTGCAATTTGACGTTTTGAGTCATGTAACAGGGATGGACACAGGTGTTTAACACAGCCTCCTGAAACCATATAACTAATAAATTGTGAATTCCAAGAGACAGACTTCTTGATCGCTTATGTTACAGTCTGCATGGCATTGTTAAGATTCATTTTTTTTCATCAATTAATATCTGTTGAGGATCTGCTGTTTGGTAGGAACCATGCCTTGCTCAGGTAATACAGCACTCAATAAAATCTCCTTTCTAGAAGTTTCCATGTATGTTGTCATCAGTTATACGTGCCTGTGCTTTTCCTTCCCTAAATATTTTCTCTATAAGAAATATGCCCTTAATTCATATTTAAGTTCAGAAAATTTAACTATGTTTTGTGATAAAGTTGAATAGCTAGGCAGCTTTCAAAATCTATCCATTCCATGCTTTTGGAAGAAAAAAGGAGGTCAAGAGCCTGACAATACTAGAAATTTTGCTGTGAGAATTTTAATTATGAAGTTCTTTTTTAATAAGAACGAAAACCCTCTAAAAAGCAATAAAATCTAATTGCCAAATGATCAAGAAATTGGATTAGATCTAGCTTTCCCTCCAGGTAAATGAATGGCTTTTCTCCAGCATCAACACAATTATTTTTTGAAATAATTTTACTTCATATTCTTTTATTCACCATGAATGAAGTACACATCCAACTAACTACACTTCCTGTTAATTGCGTTGTAGTCACATTACATTATAAAGAATGATGTCTAAAGAAATGTTATCATTGGTGCTATAAAAGAAAATATTTTTTTTTAAGATTTATTTATTTATGCATACAAGAGCTGGGGTACAGGCCAGAGATGCGGGGGGTGAGAGGATTCACCAGAGACAGAGCAGGAAACAGAACAGGCAGACTGACTGAAACACACTGCTGAGGGGAGCAGCGGGCGAGTCTGGAGAGATCTGCTGCGCCATGTGGGTTGCTCCGTGGCTAGCTGGGAATGGAACTTTTGCTGCAGAGGCTGCGGATTGCTTCATAGTGCAGTGCTTAACCCATTGCGCCACCAGGGAGGCCTAGAAAATATTTTGAGAATGTGTAATTTTAGTCTTGTTTCAAAAAGTGGTATTAAAGGGACTTTGCTGTAATTTGACATATTGTACTGCTTTAATAAGACAGAACTTTTAATTTGCTTGTATTTCAGGATCAGCTGTTCTGACTCTCCTTTTAGCTGGTTATTTGGCACAACAGTATTTACCGTTACCTACTCCTAAAGTGATTGGCATTGACCTTGGCACCACCTACTGCTCAGTTGGGGTGTTTTTTCCTGGCACAGGAAAAGTAAAGGTTATTCCAGATGAAAATGGGCATGTCAGCATACCCAGCATGGTGTCCTTTACTGACAACGATGTTTATGTGGGGTATGAAAGCTTAGAGCTGGCAGATTCAAATCCTCAGAATACAATATATGATGCCAAAAGATTCATAGGCAAGATTTTTACCCCAGAAGAACTGGAGGCTGAAATTGGCAGATACCCATTTAAAGTAAGTGACAAAACTGGACTCTTACTTAATTTTAGTTCAATATAATGTTTCAGTTTATGCTTCGACCAATAAATCTGTATCTTCATTTAATCTGTATCAAAGTTTTATTATCTCAGATAACAAGCAATCCTATAGCAGCTCCAGGGTAAGTAAGTGAGTGACCCTGCAATACTATTATGAACTTAGGATCTTACCGTGTTCTTGCTCTGCCATTCTCAGAATGTCCACTTAGGTCTTTCATTGTAACAGAGAGGCTAATAAAACCCTTGTAGAGTGGGTAGGTGGTGGATGGATGCATGCATGCATGCATGGATGGATGGACGGATATTCTATGTGAGTATATACATTTTATATACTTAAAAAGAGATCATACAAGGCATGCTGTTGTATGACTCGTTTGAAACTCAACAATGTCGCACAGACAATGAGTTTACATAAGTATTATTCATAGTTGTTTGGAATGGAACGCTGTCTGGTCACCCTATTTAATTGTTCAGTCTCAATATCCTTGTGCATATATCTTTATACACATCTCTGATAATTTCCTAAATTTGAGTTCTAGAAGTAGACATGAGAAATGAAATGTGTGCACATTTTTTAAGACTTAAATGACCAACTTGCACACAGAAAAGTTATGTCTTCTCACTATGGCCTCTTGCAGTTTCTTTCTAGGTGCAGAAGTTGCACAGGGTCTGGGGGAGGGAGGGATAGGAATTTTCACAACTCCCCAGGGTGGACTCAAGACAAAACTAGGAACCCAGAAAGTGTGTCATGGATGGTCCCACTGCTGAACCCAGTCCCTGGCTACCTAGGTGTCCTTCATTGAACCATCAAACAGACTATGCTGCCACTGTGAATGGTGTACTCTCCTTCCCACTGGTGCTGTGGGACAGCCTGATGCTGTAGGGACTGGTTGGGGAAGGACCTGTATCCTTCCTTGTGAACTGGCACCATTCCTGACTTATGTTTCTCAGTCTTTCTTTTCTTTTTTTTTTTTTATAATAAATTTTATTTTTATATTCCCCATACATTTTCAGCTCTCATTGCTAAAACACTGGTCCCCCCTTCGCCAGCTCCATTCCAGATGTCACTGCTCCCTCTGGATACTTATCCTCAGTATCTCTGAGACAAGCAGTGACTCAAGGTTTCTGTCCATCCACCATCTTCTATATCCCCTTTCTTTGTATATTTTTTCCTAATGCTTTTGTATTAATATATGCAGGTTGATGTTAAGCTACATGTTTTGAACATTTAATGGTTAAACATTAAATGTTTATTTCATGTAACTTTTTCTTTATGAATTAAGAAGTGGAGTTCTAAATGCATAGGTTTTAAAATAGGTAGCTGCATCTGTGCTGCTTACCAAATAATGCATCCATAAAAATTATTGATTTATCCACTTTCAGAGGAGTAAAAAAAATTGCCCCATGATTTCTTTGTTGTTTTCTAGTTTATTCCTTAGACTCCTATATATTAAATAATTGACATATAACAAAATAAAAGTGTATGGTGTATAAGTTAATGACTTGATTGACATATATTATGATTACCACAGTAAGCTTAATATCTGTCATCTCATATAGCTATGAAAACCAGCTTTTTTCCTTGTGATAAGAACTCAGAATTTAGTCTCTTGCCAAAGTACTTACTTTTTCCCCAAAACTGTCTAATTTTGGAGTTTCAGTGAATAGCCCATGCATATTTTTATACACTTCTCTGATAATTTCCTAAATTTATTTATAATACAACTGGAAACATGACCACCTTCATTCATTTACTCCACCTCTGGTCTACAAGTACGTGACTTTTTTGTTTCTTGTTTTTGTTTTTTTCTTTCTGATTCACATGTAAGTGAATCAAGCTATTTGCTTTCTCTGAACAGCTTATTTCACTAAGCGTAATATCTTCAAGTTCCATGTATGTAGTAGAAATTGCATTCTTCATTTGCATGGATGAGTAATAGTCCTCTGCGTGTGTGTGTGTGTGTGTGTGTATGTAGTGTATGTACTATGTGTATTTTTTTGGTATCTATACAAGATATTAGATATATATGTATAGATACCATAATCCCTTTATTCATTCACTTATCAGTGGACACTTAGGTTGCTTTTATTTTTTTAGATTTATTTATGTATATAAGAGCTGGGGTACAGGCCAGAGGTGTGGGGGTTGGAGGTGAAAGGATTCACCAGAGACAGAGTAGGGAGCAGAACAGGCCAATCTTCTGAAATATGCTGAGGGGAGCAGCAGGAGAGACAGGAGAGGTCTGATGCGCCATATGGATTAGCTCCCTGGCTAGGGATTAAATTTGTGCTGTAGTGACTGCTGATAGTTTCATAATGCTGAGACTTAACCTCTTGTACCACCAAGGAAGCCCTGTAGGTTGTTTTTACGTCTTAACTATTCTTACAAGCAATGTTGCTATAACACAGGTGTGTAGATATCTCTTCTGTATAGTCTTTGTTTCCTTCCGATATATTACCAGAAGAAATGATGGATCATATCTTAGTTCTAGTTTTAATTTTTGGAGGAACCTCTATACTGGTTTCCAACTAAGAGTTATTTAAAATTCTAAGTGATATGAGTTTTTGTTGTTTCTTTTTTATGTGTGTTACGATGGTACTGGTGTCTTTGGACCTTATTATAATAATGTCTGTAGCTTGCTTGCATTTCCCAGACGAGTGAAATACTTTTTTGACAGTCACCATTTTCATGATTGAAAACTAATTATGTAGTCCAGAATGACTAGAAAAATTCTTATAATTTCTTAAAACAGACTGATTCTACTACTGGTATTAATGCAATCTGTTGGTGAAAGTAGGACACTATTTTTAAAACTAATGTAATCTTTTAAATATACAACTACATCAGTAGGAATAGTAAAGTTTTGTCTTCTTGGACACAAGAATGTAAGTGATAGTTAATTCATAGATAAGAACATAATGAGTTAGTAAAATAATTCTTGTTAGTATACACCAGAACATTCTTTCTGGTATTTATTATTTTTGGAAATAAGTTAATTTAGGGAAAGAAAAGGATCCTGAGATACAAGTTAGAGCAACTGTTCTTCCTTATATTTTATCATTCATTTTGTCTTTCATTTAATAAATACATATATTGAGAGTCTTCTATTTGCCAATTAGATGCTTGGTGATGAATTTTTATTATTCTCCTTTCTCGAAAACTGTGGTGTGGATTCACTTACAGTTTTTAAAGTACAACTTTTCAGAAATAACCTCTGATCTTCATGAAGTTAATTTTATGACCTTGTAAATGTAAGGGGAAGTTTTTATTGAAAAAATCCAGTATGTGTTTATTATATATGTGTATGTGTATATACATTGCAAACTCAAACTTTTTCTCTTTTTTTGACAAATTTTATTAGGTTTTAAACAAAAATGGATTGGTAGAGTTTTCTGTGACAAGTAATGAGACCATCACTGTTTCCCCCGAATATGTTGGGTCCAGACTCTTGTTAAAGTTAAAGGAAATGGCAGAGGAATACCTTGGAATGCCAGTTGTCAATGCTGTGATTTCTGTGCCAGCAGAATTTGATCTGAAACAGAGAAATTCAACAATTGAAGCTGCTAACCTTGCAGGTAATAACACCCTTGCCTGAGTTGCATTTTTCTCAAAATTTACTTAACTTGAAAATCTTCTGTAGTCAGTTTTATCACTTTGAAAACCACTTACCTTGGTGTTTAAATAAATTGCACTGGTAGTAAATTAAATGGATTAAAAAAATTCCACTGGTAGTAAATTAAATGGATTTTGGCTCGGTTTTCAAATGATCATTATGACATCTCCAATCAGATATGTCTCCAGACAGTGTCAGGTGTCTCCTGAGAGGCAAAATCACCCCTGGTTAGAACCCTCATGCATTGTATATCATAAAGTAACCTGCTTATTGTTGGTAGTAACCTGCAAGATTGTTGGTAGTAATCAGGAAGTGGGGGGCTGACAATGGTTGGGTAGACATTATTGAGAAAGTAAGATTTATGCACTCTTGAAGGAGCCTACTCTTGTAGTTAACCAAGCAGATACATGGAAGAAATATGTTTCATGGAGAGAGCGCATCCAGTGTAGCAGCCATAAAATGGGAATTTATTGGTAATTAAGAAGTTAGAAGTGGGCAGTATGACCTGAGAAGAGTAAGTGATGAAGTCAGAAACTAAGGGGAAAGACATAGTATTTAAATAAATTCTTCAAAGTTTGATAGTTTTTATGATTCCAATACCTAATTCCACATTACTTTCCTAACTATGGTAGTTACGTTGAAGCAGGAATGGTCGTCAAGGAAATCTGATTTTTTTACATGCACTTTCAATTTAACATTACCTTCAAAATGAGATTTGCTGTATATGTTAGGTTTGCGTTTGTGGGTCTTGCTTTTTCAGTACTTTTTAAAGAGTTAACGTTGTAGCAATAAGAGCAACTCATCTAGATTTTTTTTAGTCATTTTATTCATGTGTTCCTTTTTAGTAAAAAGTCATTTTTTTCTTTATTGAGGTAACATTGTTTTATAACACTATATGTGATACAGGGAATAGGTTCACACCTCTTCTGATATATGTTACCACACCACCCCCACCATCCAATCACCCATAGCCCTTTACTCTATGCCACTGGGCCCCCTGCTACCTTCTTCCCGTCTCCACCCTGCCTCCCACGCTAGTGCCCCAAATCTGCAGACATGGTTCTAGGATTTGTTTTGATTTAGTTTCATCACTTCTCTTTTTATCTCCCTTTCTATATTCCACATATGAGTGAAATCATCCAGTATTTGTCTTTCTCCTTCTCACTTACTTCATTTAGCAGAACCCCCTTCATTCCTTCTGTGTTCTCATCTTTCGAAAGTTTTTTTAAAGAAGCATAGTAATTTATCTCATTCTCACAGCAATTTGTTATAGTAACTAATGATTAAAATTTTATTGCTCATATATTCCCACGTAATATATTAAAAATTAGAAGAGTGAGAAACTTTTTAAATATTATAGAACTGAGTGATATATTCCACTGAGTTTGGGCTTTATTACTTTGTTTAATCTTTTAGAATACCTTTAATGACATGCTTAAAAAACATGTATTTCCCATTTTCCTTAATTTTATTGGGTTTATGACTATTCTTCCTCATTATTTCTCTGTGTAGTTGAAGTTATTGAAAGCACTAATTAACTATGAGATTGAGTGAGGCATTTCTTAATAGTGTCTGCTCATGAATTATTCTTCCTCCACCTAATCTCACAGGACTAAAGATCTTAAGAGTAATAAACGAACCTACAGCAGCAGCTATGGCCTATGGTCTCCACAAGGTTGATGTCTTTCATGTCTTGGTGATAGACTTGGGCGGAGGAACTCTAGATGTGTCGTTGCTGAATAAACAAGGAGGAATGTTTGTAACCCGAGCAATGTCTGGTAAGGAAAAATATAGGAAGACTTAAAATTAAATTAGTTCAGTATAAAGTATTAAAAGGGGAGGGGAGAAGTAAAAGGACAGGAAACAAAAGGGGTGGTAGTGGTGGAAAAGAGTTGAGCCTTGATGAACACCAGTTTGAACTGCACAGGCTCACTTATATGTGGGTCCTTATTGTCAGTAAATATAGTTGACCTTCCATATCCGCCGGTTCCACATTCATAGATTCAACCAGCTGAAAATGGGAAACCCTTGATTGAATAACAGGGGCCAATGATAATTTGAGCATCAATGGATTTTAGTATCCTTGGGGACCCTGAAATCAATAGATACCAGGAGACAGCTATAGTTGTTTTGGGGGTGTCAAAAGAATTTTTTTCCAATACTTTTATACTTTCTTTTGGTAATCTTCTATATATGTAATTTATACTATCATTCATGAATTTTTGTAGCAGAAAATGAAGTCTCAAAAGATGCCTGGAAATCCTACAAGTCAAATAAGTACACTACCATTTGTATCTCACCCAGCCAGTACTTTTCATAATCTTTGAAGGGAACCAAAGGGGATGAGTTTTATTTGGTAATGTTTCACAAATAGATACCTTCAGAAATATTATAGTATTCTGTAGGAAATGATACAGTCATTCATCCTAAATACTTTTTTTAAGGATTTTGCTTTCATTTATTTTAAGAAATTAAATCTGTTTGAAAAGTTGACGTGTAAGTTAGAGATGGTCTAACTTAAACACTTTCTTTCTCCTTACTAGGCTTATTTTTAGAACCAGTTTTAGTGTCGGGGGTTTAAATTATTCTTTTCCTTGGACATCATTTTTTCTACTTGTTTCTTTTTTTTAATTTTTTAAAAAGATTTATTAATTTCTGCATACAGGAGCTGGTGTACAGGCCAGAGGTATGGGGGGTGAGAGGATTCACCAGAGACAGAATGGGGAACAGAACAGACAAATTGACCAAAGTACACTGCTGAAGGGAGCAGTGGGCGAGTAAGGAGAGGTCTGCTGCGCCATGTGGGTAGCTCTGTGGCCTGCCGAGGAATCGAACTTGTGCTGCAGTGGCTGTGGACCGCTTCACAGTTTGCATCTTAACCCTTTGCACCACCAGGGAGGCCCCATTTTTTCTACTTGTATGCCCTTAACCACTCCAGTAAAAGCATTTTTAAGAAAGGATAAAGTGCCCCAGTACCTTTTAATTAAGATGTGTTTTTTTTCTGTTGAGAATTATGACAATTAGTCATAATTCAAGTAGCTACTTAAAAGCAGTCTTTTCTCAGTTTTTATTTTCTGAAAAATCATTTTGATATAATTAAGAAATACTACCTTATATATACTTAAAAATTTTTTTTTTAATATTAAATTTTATTTTTATATTCCCCCATACAATTGCAAACGCCCCATTCTGACCCCAATCCTTCCCCTCCCGCCCCCCACCCCCCAAAAAGTGTCTCTGGTTCATAGTTTTTGTTGATTTTGATTTTCACTTTCTTATATATACTTAAAAATTTTAATTCAGATGTGCAATTTTTATCATACACATTTGAGCTCAAATATTGTTCCAGTTATTCTTTATCATTTTTGTATGAATAAAATCCTAATAATACATTAAGCAAGAGATTTTCTATTCCTGGAATTTCATTTTTATACATGCATATTACAGACACAGTATACACATACTTATACACATGTATATATATGAATAACAAACTTTTATTTTTAACTTAGGAAACAATAAACTAGGAGGACAGGACTTCAATCAGAGATTGCTTCAATACTTATATAAACAGATCTATCAAACATATGGTTTCCGACCATCTAGGAAAGAAGAAATCCACAGATTAAGACAAGCCGTAGAAATGGTGAAATTAAATTTGACTCTTCATCAGTCTGCCCAGGTATCAGTATTACTCACAGTGGAGGAAGAAGCCAGGAAAGAACCCCAAAGTGGTGACACTGAACTGCCCAAGGACAGACTTTCCCCAGCAGATGGGCACCATGTGAATGGTGTGTTTGGAGCTAACCATCCTGAAAAGAAAAGTGGAGAAAGTCTGGTTTTATTTGAAACAGAAATATCACGGAAGCTCTTTGACACCCTTAATGAAGATCTATTCCAGAAAATACTTGTACCCATTCGGCAAGTATTAAAAGAAGGCCACCTGGAAAAGACTGAAATTGATGAAGTGGTTTTGGTTGGTGGCTCTACTCGTATTCCTCGAATCCGCCAAGTCATTCAAGAGTTCTTTGGGAAGGATCCCAACACATCTGTAGACCCAGACCTGGCAGTGGTGACAGGAGTGGCTATCCAGGCAGGAATTGATGGAGGCTCTTGGCCTCTTCAAGTCAGTGCTTTAGAAATTCCCAATAAGCATTTACAAAAGACCAACTTCAACTGAATTATGGAACAATGATTATCACTTATGATCTTGCCTGATGATCTTTTCTTTTTATCAGACCACTTCCAAAAGAGAAGTCTCTGAAGTATCTTGCAAATTTACCTAAAAGGCAGAAATTACATACACAAAAAGTTTTCATAACTTTTTTTTTTTAAGATTGAATATGACCAGATCAATCTATTTGATTTTGGAGAGAATCCATTCCAACAGATACTTTTACAGTGATTTAAATGAGGTAAAACTTAGAGGAGCGCAAATCGAGGTATTTTCTGGGTTTCAGTAGTAGAGAACCATATGCTCTTAAAATTATTTACTGTAAACATTGCCTAGTGCCAATTATAGGATCCCCAGTTCTTACTAAATTATATTAGCAGGAGCTGGTAGTATATTTACTTGACTATCATATGTAACTTAATTTGATCTATACTTGAAGGATGGTGTTGATGTCAGGTATTTACATTGGCTGGGATATAGCAGTATTATTCATATAAGCTGCACATAAGATACTCAATAACTGCCATATAGCAAATTTACTTTCATCAATATGATATCACATTAAGTGTCCTGTTCATGTAAATGCACAGTCTCCAGATTTTTAAAATATATTTATTGGATCAATTTGTTTTCTTTCTAAATTAGTTACAGAATTATTCAGTGTTTCCTACCAGATAGTAGAAACACCTAACTTATAATCTTGTTTCTTCATCTACTGTGCCTCTTTCTCTTAATGGTTTTCCATGATTCTGCCTGGTTAGAAAACAATAAGGAATTGTTAGTAGCAGTTTTTAAAATGTGTTAATGTCACAATAAAGCCATCAAACCATCATTACTATCACGTTTCTTGCTATCCGAGATATTTGTAAATAGTGATTAGCTGTAGTACTTGCTTTATAATTTTTTCTTTGTTTTTAATAAACCTTAGAGAATTTAATTTGCATTTGAACTATCAAATCATAATTGATTCAATTTTATTGAGATTCATCATATTTAATTTTGAGTGAAGGAATTGTGTTCAATTGTAAAAATCTTAGTTTTGTTTCCTGCTATCATTTTAAAAGTCACACTTGAACTGTTTTCAGCCTTAAGGTTAGATGAAATTGCATTTGAATTTACAGTAAATTGAATTCTGGAAGCATTGTGGGAATCTGATGTGGAAGGCATTATTGACTCATTTCACAAAGGAGAATTTGTTTTGTTTTGTTTTTGTTTATATCCTTTTAGAAAAACTACACGGACCAAAAAAGTACAGCAGTTTTATTTCTGTGATGCCCATATTACTAGATTTCTTTTTTTCCTTGTTAGAGGCATGCTTGATTTCAGTATTTAAAAATTATACTCTGGTCAACATTTTTGTTAATGTAAACTATGTCAGCTTTATCCATGATTGAATTTGAGAAGATGTTGAGTTTTCAATCACCCAAAAAGAAAACTACACAAATCATTCCAGCGGTATTAAAACATTTCAGCTTCTCAGTATAAAGCTGAATGTTAACGTTTTGCAGGTCTCTAAAAAAAGTTGCTTAGCAAAGGAATTGCTATTATAATAGAGTTTCAATCAGATAATTCTGTGTGTAGAAAATGTGGTAGATAGCTAGAAAAGCATAGAGTGTTGACATTTTATTTTAGAACTAAAAGAGAAATGCCAAAGATGAATCCTTCACTGCATTATGAAAATATTAAAGTGTTTCCTTGGACTTTATATAAATCTTCAGTAAATTTTATAATTGAAAAAGGCCTTTTTGTAAAGCTCTTTAAGAGAAAAGCAATTTATCAGAATCTTCACATACAATATCAGCTTTAACCTCTAAAGCATTTTAAGATTTTTAAAAATAAACTTGAATTTCTCAAATATGTAAAAGGCAGTTCAAAACAATCTTAATACTTTTTAGAGGAAACAATTTGCAAAACAGGGCAGCTAATCTCATACACTAAAATTGGAATATTAATTTGTTTATGAAAGTAGAATGGCAGTGTTGGAATTTGTGGAAGGCAGTTTAGCATTTTCTCTAGTTACACCTGAATGAATGTCTGCCTTCAATCATATTGTAGGGGTCTCTGTATAGTCTTGAAATCATTGTAGTTTATTTAAAAGATAAAAATGTATCCTGAAAGGGATGATTTATGCTAATTGAAGATGTTTTTCACAGGTAAACTACATTTTGGTTGTACATTTAGCTAGTGTTTTATGACGTATGTAACTTAAAATATTAACAGTCTTGTATAGTTAGAATATGTGAATTAGTTATTTATTTTGTATCAGGAATGTTTTGGTACTGTGTTCTTTCTGAAACCACTGAACTTACCAACACCTACTGCTGTGTATAACATATACTGAAGATTGTAGTTGCTGTGTATTAACAGATTGTTCTTCTTAAATTTGTGTGTAATTCACATTTTAATGTAAATAAATACCACTTCGCGGTTTATTTTTTAAACTGTGTACTTTATTTTTCATTCTTTGTTCATTTTTTGAATTGTATAAATAAAGTGGGGACAGAGCTGATCTGATGCTCATGGTTTGTGACCTCAGCAGCTATTGCCTCATACCCTGTATCCTGACTATCTCGGGTTGCTTACATACTTTGCTACTTGTTGCCCTAATTTACAAGAGACAGTTCCTATATCATAGAAACAGTTTCTCCCAAATTCTGAATGCTAATTCACACATTTTGGCTATAATATAGATAGTTTGTATTGCATAATAGACTATTCCTTTGGTTGATGGTTTAATACTTTATAATTTTCTAACAAAATTTGTATTATCAAAAGAATTTTGACAAAAACCTCAATATTACATTTTTAAGAAATTCATTCAAATAACATCTCAAAATAGCCCTTAAATAAAAGTGGTAGACTTAACTCTCACCAATTGTGATTCTTTCATAGGTATTTGCCAAGGGACTCTAATTTGAGGAAATGGGCCTCCCTGGTGGCGCAAAGGGTTAAGTCTCAGCACTATGAAACTATCAGCAGCCACTACAACAAGAGTTCGATCCCCAGCCAGGGAACTACCCAGACCTCTCCAGACTGGCCCGCTGCTCCCCTCAGCTATGTATTTAAGTCAGTCTGCCTGTTCTGCTCCCCACTCTTGTCTCTGGTGAATCCTCTCACCCCTCACATCTCTGGCCTGTACCCCAGATCTTGTATGCATAAATAAATACATCTTTAAAAAAATTTTGAGGAAATATAGTGACATTTCTGTATTTAACAAATACACAGTGCCCACTGAGGTAGGTGTCCTCTAGTAAATCGTCCAGTGATCCTGACCTGATGTTCGCCAAGTTGTGTAATACTCTTGCCTTGAATTTGGGCAAGATTTGATGACTTGCTAATATTACTGAACATGACAGAAGTGCTTGTGATGTCACATGGAAATGTGGGTTAAAAAAAGATCGATATCTGATAGTTCATGGGTAAATAGGTGGTGAGAATTTTATGGGGACTATAACCAAGATGAAATGCATACATTGTACAAAAATGAAAAATGATATAAAAATAAAAAATAAATTAACGCATTTAAAAAAGAAGAGAGACCAGTCTACATTGCAACTGACAGTGAATGAGTGTTCTTTTTTCTGCACAGCTTGCCCACGCTTGCTTCTGACTTTTGTAATAGTGACCATTCTCACATTTGAGATCATTTCTCATTGTGATTTTTATTTACATTTAACTCATAAGAGATGACTATTTTCTTGTGCCGGTTGTCCATCTGCCTTGATTTGTGAAATGTCTATTTAGCTCTTCTAGTCATTTTGATAAGTTTATTAGTTTTGGGTTTTTTTTTTAAATTGTTTGAGAACTCTGGAAATCTTAGATATTAGTCACTTGTTGATTGTCTGATGTGTAAAAAGTTTCCCCCATTCAGAAGGGCTTCTTTTAGGGAGAGTTTCTTTCACTGTGTAGAAGCTGTGATCTGATGTAGTCTCATTGTTTATTTTTGCTTTTGTTTCCCTTGACAGTCTAGTTGAGTCTCCAAAGACATCACTGAAGCCAATTTTGCAGCCTGTGTTTTCAGGTAGGTGTTTTATGGTTTCAAGTATTATATTATAGTCTTTAATTCATTCTGAGTTAATTTTTATGTATGATGTGAGATGGTATGCTACAATAATTTCATTCTTTCTTGCCTTTGGTTTTTGTATTAGATTCAAAAAATCATTGCTAAGACCCTTGTCATACTACATTTTCTTTCAGGAGTTTTATGGTTTCAAGCCTTACATTCAAATCATTTAATCCATTTTGAATTAATATTTTAAATTACAGAGTATCTATGATTGGCTTACTGTAGGCGTAAAGAAGCTAAAGCATGACATTTAATTGACTAATGAAATATCTAAATCCTTCAGTGGAATCAACAGATATTTATTCAAAATTTACTGCATTCAAAGAATAGTGGTAGGCATTTCAAGGATTGTAAAAACAGGACAATATTTCAAGTAATTTACACACTAATGAGAGCAAGTTTTAGAAAAAATAGGGTTTTATAATTTAAGCAGTTTTCGTAAGTACTTTTAGGGGATGAAACAAGATTATGCAAGGTTGTTGTATAGGGAGGAGACAAAATAAAAGAACTGGTGAACATTAAAACATGTTAAAATATTTTATTAAAATCAGCTTGAAGGAAAAATACTGAAGTTTCAACACTTCAAATTTGAAGGGCAAGACAGAGAAATAATGTTGCTTTTATAATATTCCATAAACTTTTAAGTCAAAAAGCCTTTAGAATAGTCTTAGAACTACAAATCAGTAATCTTCTCATGAATGTATATCATCTGATACATAACTCACTGAGATAATCCAGCCAAAAATAATGTTCAAAAAAATGCTTTTCTCAAAGTAGTAAAAATATTTTTAAAAATTATTTGTAAATATATATAGCACATAAAATTCAGTTAACATATAACCATTCTTTCCAAAAAGCAGCTAAATAGCTTAAAATTTCTTTCTCTTGTTCCTCCATAATTTTATATACTGTACAGTGACTCAACACATTGCTTATATATATGTGGGTAAATACGTATGTATATACATTTATATACTTGTGTCTATTGCACTAAAATACCCAGTTATTCATTCTACAAATATCTGTAAGGTACCAACTACATGAAAGGCACTATGATACATAACAACTAAAATTGGACACTTGCATTCAAGAAGCTTTAGTGGGGAGAAAGACTAAATGAATTAAAATAGATTATGATCCCTCCCATGACAAAGGTTTGCACATGGGGTTAGTGAGTACACACACACACACACACACACACACACAAAAAAGCACATTTGGATCTGAAGAGAAGAAGGAAAAAATGAAACCTTTAGAGAGGTGACCCTGAACAAAGTCAGAAACGTCAAGTATCAGAGGCATTTAGCACCTACGAGAAGGTAGCTATTACAGAGACCGTGAATGTTAGAGAGAAGATACAGCCCAGTAGAATTAGAACTATGGTGCCAATCAACATATGTGCCAGATTGTAGCCTCTTTGTACATTTCTCCCCGTCGTTTTTTTTTTAAATACCAGTCTTTTCTTTTAACTTGATGTAACCAAAATACAATTTAAGTTATTTATTTTTTGTCTCTGAGTCTTGTTTTATTCCAGCTTCTTTTATCATTTCAAAGAAAAGTCCTTTCTGGTGTATCAAATTCTGTGGTGTTTCAAATTCTATAATCCTTCCAGAGTCTAAAACAAGCACCCTGCAATGTAGAAAAAAATCCAATTAGGCAAACTATAATCATTTTTTCCAGTTCACCTTTATTTTATTTTTGTTAATATAAATATTAGATAACTAAGTTATATCAGATATTCTATTTACTTTATCAAGTTTTCTAGTTTATCTTAGCATTAAAATTTTCTTGTAGTTATTTTGGAAACTCCCATACCACTAGGAAAAATTTTATATTTCTTTGTACAGATACTATTTTTCATTTGTGGTAAATAATATTAAAATCGAAATGTTTTATATGTTCAATAATTACCTCTGTAGAAATCGATTTATTTTTGAAAACAAGAAAAGCTTACCTATCTGAATCAATGACAGAATGCAGTCGATGAGCAATTGTCAGGACAGTACAGTTGGAAAACTCCTTCCTGATCGTTGACTGTACCAAGTTATCAGTTTCAAAATCAATGGAAGCTGTTGCCTCATCCAAGATGAGAATTTTTGTTTTTCGAAGCAAAGCACGAGCAAGACAGACAAGCTGCCGCTGTCCAATGCTGTTAGAGAAAAGAAAAAAATAATTTCAACAGTAAATTTTATAGTCATGCACTTCCTGTTCTAAAATGATTCTACCACACATTCATAATTAAATATTTTAATCAAAAGTATTCAATGAGTGACAAATATCCAAAAAGAAATGAGTATACCAGCCACAAAGCCAAGTTCTGGAAATAGAGCAAAGAACAAAGCAGGCAAAAATATTTGTCTATACGGAATTTGCATTCTCAAAATAAGCAAAATATATAGAAATAAGAAGAATTCAAACAGACAGAAAGGGAGGGTGTAAACTGGAGTGGACATTTTAGATGGGCGTGTCAAAGAAATCCTCACTCAAAGAACCCTTTTAATTTAAGACCTGTAAGAATTGGGTGCTGAACCAAGCAGATTTCCAAGGGAAGCATTCCTGGCAAATGCTACAGCTGGTATAAAATCCCTGAGACAGGGAGGAGCTGGTCAAGCATATTCATGAACCAGCAAGGAATCCAGTGTGGCAGAAACAGAAAGGAAAGAGGAAAAAAACCAAGGCATAAGCAGAGCTATGGGGTGCAGGAGTTGAGGGGAGCTAATTCTCTTGCATAGTCTCTGAACACATGAAGGGAACTATCTAATAACATCAAACAGACTTAAGACAAAGGAGCCACTTAAAACATTTTTTTGGAAGGTAATTCTTTTAGGAGTCTGCGCTAAAAAAAGATTCAATTAGATGATTTATCATATTTTACTATTCCTCTCCCTTTTTTTTTCCCTTTACCAGTAGTTTTCCAGCCTGTGGTGGCCATCTTATTCCTTGTCCCTCTTCTCTATAGAGAATCAGCAATGGTGTGTTTTGAACACACCAAAGTCCTGGTGGCTTAGAACCAATTTCCCTTTTAGGCCAGCTCTAAAAAGGTGGGAATGAATTTCTAAAAAAGTGGGAATGAATAACCTGGGCAGAGGGCTTTGTTCTTAGCTTACCTGAGATTTTCACCACCCTCAGAAACCTCATGTAACAGTTTTTTGGGAAGGGAGCGTACAAACTCTTTTAAGTGACAAAGTTCCAGCACCTTCCACAGCTCGCTATCAGAATACTTCTCTAGGGGATCCAAGTTCATTTGAAGGGTTCCAGAAAATAAAATAGGATCCTAGAAAATAAAATTGGTACTTGGTAATCTTGCTGTCATTTGAGGCATAAGTACAGTTTTAAAAATAATCAGACTCAGAAAATAAGTATGGAAATACAAAAATGACCAAACCTAATATAGTTATTAAATTCATTTCATATTTAAAATAAAAGCAGAATAGAATTAGAATAAACTATAAATCATATTAAATCCTTAAAATATTTGTTTCTCTTTTTCCTCCTCGTATACTTGTATAAAAAAATGTCAGTCACAACAATAGTGATCATAAGGGATATGATATAAAATAGGATATATGTACAATATGTATATTTTATTATCAAGAAACACTCCAACCAGAAATAATAAAAGTCAAATTCTCCATTTTACAGAGAGTAAACTATAGATTCCAAAGAACTCTTGTCCACCAACTAGAAAGTAAATGTTTGGAAAGTAAATGTTTGGTCAAGTCCAATCTCTTTCTAATACACCAACATGGCTGGTAAAACTGTATTTTAATATACCTGCATTTTAGTCATAAAAGAGAAGTGGTTAATCTCTCCTTTCTTTACAGCATTCCCTGCCAGAATCAGATATTACTCAAATTTTTGAAGGAAATTTATAAGCATAAATCTAAATAATATGACACAGAAATTACAGTATTTTAAGATATTTTTAGAAATTAATACAAAGATCTCATAAATGTTCAGTTTAAATTTCTCAGTCTCAAGTGAACACGTCATCTTTAACTGCAGACATATGTTTAAACCAATATGCATACTTGGTAATGATCAAGTTGCTTTGATTTCACAGATGGAAGAATCAAAGGACTTTAGAAAATGATGTGATCATTTTTTTTTTCATGTTTCTAAACTTCAAGTCAAAAGAATCAAAATTCTACAGTCCTATCACCAATCAAGCAAGAGCTTCAGATATTTCTTTCTCTCCATAAAACACAATGCATTCACTCTGTTCTTCATTAAAATTTTATTGCATTTACTATTAGGAGGGAAACTTACAAAATGATATGCCAGGTTTTCAAATAGAAGAATGTGTTAGAGTAAAACTTTTTAATAGTATTATTTACATAGAAATTTTTCATAATAGTTTATGTGGCTTCCAAAAATTAATATGCCTGGAAGGACCACATTAAAAAAAATAAAGTTTACCTGGAGTGAGTTCAGAAAGGCTTTACCTGGGGTATAATGTTAAGTTTGCCACGAAGGTCATGAAGTCCTATAGTTGATATGTCAATTCCATCAATAATAATTTTGCCTCCTGACCGCTCCACAATTCTAAATAGGCAGTTTGATAATGTTGATTTGCCTGCCCCAGTCCTTCCCACAATTCCAATCTGTAATAAAATGATCATAAACAGTTCACACTATACTTTTTTTTTCAGGAAATAGAAAACAGATATGTTGGATGGCTGACAATTGGGATCTAATTTTGACTAGAATAAGCTCGACTGGCATGGAAGAGGTAATGTGGCTTCTAAGGAAGTCTTTAACTATACATACACTCCCTACTCATTGGAAAGACTCAGGCTAATATGTGATTTCCCCCTAGTCCTAAGTAATTGTGTTACTATCTAACTTAAGCAAACCAATGGCCCCCAAATGAACAGATCTAGCCATTAGAATGTGGCAAAGCAGACAATGGTAATGAGTTGGCTTGAGAAACGAGATTGTCTGCCCTGCCTCCCTCAAGCAAATAAGCAATCAAAGAGGTCTTGTAATGTTTTGTCAGACTTGAAAATCTAAAGGCATGTCTGGGAATTTCCTTGGTGTGTCAAAATAGCCGCTACATTAAATCTATTGAGGGTGGCCATAGAAAATGTCTGAAGATTTTGGACTCCTGGACAAAACAGTTTGTCATAATTGAAAATGTGACTGAAAGTGTTCACTTGGTCCTAAGAACTAAAGCAGTCTCTCTGGTGTTGATTCCCATCTGGGTGGTAGGAAAATTAAACAGAGAGAACATTAAGGTGCTTGAATTGCCTTAATAAAAGATCTTAAATCTCAAATCTGGTGAACTTTATCAGAAAAGTCAGGAATCTATTGTATCAATTGGGGTAGCAAAACTTCACAATGATTTCATTTGTCCCAAAATATTTCTGTCCTTAATATCACCACAGTAGACCTGATTGAAAAGGTTAGAAAAACAGATGTTTGGGGTTATAAAAGATAAATCTCTGTCAGAAAGGGGGATATTGTGGCTTTTTCTATAATTGTAAAAGGACATTCTGATTAGGGAAATAATATACTTTCTTAAAAATATTTTGAGAGGGGCCTCCCCGGTGGCACAGCAGGTTGAGCGCAGCGCTGTGAAGCTGTCCACAGCCTCTGCAGCGCGGCTTTCGATTCCCGGCTGGCCAGGGAGAAACCCACATGGCACAGCAGACCACTCCTGACTCGCCCATTGCTCCCCTCAGCAGTGTATTTCAGTCAGTCTGCCTGTTCTGTTCCCCGCTCTGTCTTTGGTGAATCCTCTCTCACCTCCCACACCTCTGGCCTGTACCCCAGTTCTTGTATAAATAAGTAAATATTTTTTAAAAATAAATAAAATATTTTGCTTTAAAAAAATATTTTAAGAAATGTGGAAAAAAACATAGAAGTAAAAGTGACCTAAATCCCATTATCCAGAGAGAAGTACTATATGTCACTATATATATATATATATATATATAGAGAGAGAGAGAGAGAGAGAGAGAGAGAGAGAGAGAAATAGGAGGTATTCTTTTTGTATTTTTGCTGTGTATATATTTGCTTTTTTAAAAATACAAAACTGATATACTATCAATTTTTTATACATGGTTTTTATTAACTAAATTAGAACTCAACCATTTTCCCATCTTACTAATAGTCTTGGGAAATATGATGTCATCAATTATATGAACATTCTCTCCTATGGATTTGGTTTATGTTGGGCAATTATTGTAGTCCTATTGTTGCATTTTACTTTATAGTTGAAGTAAAATTAAATATACTGGTATATGTCTGATGGAAGTGAAGTCAGTATCTCAAAGAGAAATCTGCACTCCCACACAAAATAGCCAAGACAGGGAAGTAATCAAGATGTCTGTTAATGGATGCATGGATAAAGAAAATGCAGTGTTCATACAATGAAATATTATTCATCCACAAAAGAGAAGGAAATCCTGCCATTTGTGATGCCATGGATGACACTAGAAGCCATTATACTGAGTGAAAAGAGCTGGACAGAGGAAGACAAATAGTATCACTTAAATGTGTACTATAAAACAGTCAAATTCATATAATCAGAGAGTAGCATGGTGGATACCAGGTATTCAGAAAATGGGGAGATATTTGACAAGCACTGGTTATCTAATGTATAACATGTATACTACAGTTAATAATGTTATATCATATATTTGAAATTTTCTAAGAAAATGGATCTTAAGTGTTCTTACCACATCCCCAAATAACCCCTGGTAATTAAAAAATGCAATATTATTGTCTCAATATTATTCTCTATTCACTACAGTGTACATTAAAATCTATTTACTACTTATTTAGTGCTTATTTACTACTCATTGCAAGTTTGTGTCCTTAGACAACATCTGTCCTACCCCACCAACCCCATTCTCGGGTAAACACCATTTTACTCTGTTTTTATGAGTTTGACTATTTTACATTCTACATATAAGTGATACCATATATTTACTTTCTCTGTCTGATTTATCTCATTAATATAATGTATTCACAGTCCATCCAAGTTGTGATTAATGACAGGATGTCTTTCTTGCTCATGACTAAATAATATTCCTCCTTCCCTCTGTGTGTGCATGTGTGTGCATGCATGCATGCGTGGGTATCTCACATCTTTATCCATTTATATAGATGGACACTTAGGTTGTTTTCATATCTTGACTATTGTGAGTAATGTTACAATAAATATAGGCATGCCTATATATCTTTGATATCCTGCATCCATTAAAAACATCAAACTTGCCAAGAGAATAGTACTTAATTATTCTAATCACTAAAATGAAATGAGGTGCCAATATTACTACAATGGTAGTCATAACATATAAGTGTATCAAGTTTACATGTTGTCCACCTTAACTTTACACAAAGTCAAATGTATTTTCAGAAAATAAACTGGTACTTATGTGAGATAATGAACATGTTAATTTGATTGTGGTAATCATTTCACTATATAGATATATATCTAACTATCATGTTATACACATTAAATATATACAACTTTATGTCAATTATAAATCAATAAAGCTAAAAAAATTAAAGTATACTAAAACTATGTTTCAAGATGGAGCATGAGCATCTTGAATATACATTTTTTTATTTATAGAAGAAAAACTTACTATAAGCAGCAGCAACCTCATGTCTATTATTTTTTAATAAAATTTGAACAAATGATCACCTTATATTAAACATTATATGTGGTCTGCATTTGGATAAAAAGGAAAGTGAAACTTATGAAATACATGTGGTACCTTCTCTTCCCCATGAGTCTGGAAAGTGATATCTTGTAATGCTAACCCAAGATCATCTCGGTATCGAGTCTGATAATTAACAAATTCCACTATTCCTTTATTGGGCCATTGTGATGGAGGCCTTTTAGACATTATCCAGGGTGCCTTAAAACAAAGAAATAATGTTTAAACTATAATTATAATAAAAAACCTTCCCCCTGAAAATTATCAAGCATGTTAATAGCAGTGAGGATCAATGACAAAAAAATAATACTTTTTGATATTATGATTTTTCTAAAATAATCTTAAATATTGCAGACAAAATTTTTCATCTATTTGTGAAGTTTTAGATATGTTTTCAGAAATAAGAAGGATTATCTCCTAGAAAATTCAGAAAAAAAACAATTAAAATCCCGTAAAAGAGCTGAAGGCAACAAAATTTTAGCTGAGATGAGGGCAGTTTGTGTCATGCATTCATTTCCCAAATATTCAGTGTTCACTCTGCCAATATATGCTTCCTGGAGATTCAGCAATGAGTAAAACAAAATGTCTTGCCTTTATTTATTAAGGTTCATTAAAATTCATTAAGACTGAATGAACAGGGCCTCCCCGGTGGCGCAGTGGTTGGCCACCAGAGGAGGGTCCCACATGGCGCGCAGACCTCTCCTGCCGCCCGCTGCTCCCCTCAGCAGTGTACTTCGTCACTCTGCCTGCTCTGCTCCCCGCTCTGGCTCTAGTGAATTCTCTCACCCTCCTGTGCTTCTGACTGTACCCAGTGCATGTATAAACAAACAAACAAATAAATAAATAAAAAACATGCCTCTATTTAAAAAAAAAAAAAAAGACTTAAAAAAAAAAAGACTGAATGAACAGGGCCTCCCCTGGTGGCGCAGCGGTTGAGCCTGCATCCTCTGCAGCGCGGTTCAATCCTGGCCAGCCGGCGAGGGTCCCACATAGCACAGCAGACCTCTCCTGTCACGCCCGCTGCTCCCCTCAGCAGTATATTTTGTCAGTCTGCCTGTTCTGTTCCCCGCTTTGTCTCTGGTGAATCCTCTCACCCTCCCGCGATTCTGGCCTGTACCTCGGTTCTTATATAAATAAATAAATAAATCTTATAATTAAAAAAAAGACCAAATGAACAAAATAGCACATGCAGAGCATTAGATGATAATAAAACTTTGGCAAGCAAGAAATAAGATTGGTGGTGGTGGTAGTGTAATTTTAAGTAGGGATGGTTAGGGAAGGCTTGATTGGACATAGGGAATAAGCCATGTGAATATCAGCAGATGACAAAGGGTACTAATAACATGTGCTGAGGATCTGAGATGGATTATTGGAGGTACAACAGATGGTAGAAAGCACAGAAGAGACATGTCCTGCTCAGAAGCTGCACAGGGAGGGGTAGTGTTTTCATGAGATAGAATGATCACTGGGATCAGATTGTTAGGGAGAAAGGATGTCCTGAGCAAATTCCATACTGGCTTTGTGGATGCCACCCCCACTCCAACAAGACACTGGGAACTACAAATCCTATGATCCCCAAAGGGAGGTGCGAGGACCTAAGGGCAGACAAAGTTAAGCAGCCATTTTCTCCGTTTGGTTATTTAACTGGCCATGTGAATGAGGGCAGCTCTCTTGGCTCATGCTCTTGGCCAGGCAGTGTTTTGTCTCAGAGGGTCATTTGGGATTCCAGGTCGGCAGAACCAGTAGGACGCATTTAAGAATTTATCTCCTCTTTCTCCCTGAGTTGTTCATTTCCTCATTTCCCCTTCCCTTGCAAATAAACCTTTTGTTAACCTTTTGTGTGTGTCTGCAGTTTAAGTCCCCTTTAAGTGTGCAAGTGAGGACCCACATTCAGGCAACCCGTTTTATATTGGGGTTGCCCTGTAACAAGATGACAGTTCAGATAAAGTGAGGAACTAGAGGGACAAAAATCAAGTTGACTGAAGTGGTCATTATTTAAGAGTGCTTACCTCTTTATTCATATTTTCATATTCACAAACTCTTTCAATAGAAACTGCATTTGTTTCAATTTCACATGCTTTCCTTACCCAAAAATTCAGAGATTGAGTAATCTGGGTGTGGGGAGGGACATCAAGAATATTCCTTAGTCTTTTACATAATATTAATAATACATTATAAGGTTATATTTTCAATGTTCTATATACATTATATCTTGTGGCTTTTTCAAATTATAAGCATATTTATATATACAATTACAAGTTTCTTTAAATATATTTAACTCATAAATAAAATGAATAATGATTTGGCAGAAGATAAAATGAACATAGTTCAACATATATTAAAGCTGTCCATATTTGGTATAAGGAATGATAAATACCAAAATTAACTGGATGTGCCTTTTTCTAAATGAGAAAAAAATTTGTGTACATGTTACCTTGGACATTCTTACTTCCATCAGAAGGAGGATTCTCCTAGCTTTCTGATTACTCCTTTCTCCTTTTTCTTTTAACTCTACTATCTTCTCACCTTGCCCCCAAATATAGTTTTTCCAAGGTTATAACTTCAAATTTAATTAGAAAAGTCTAAAAAACTCAGAAAATTTCATTTGTTTGTTTCTCAGTTTTGTGCCATGACTACTGACTTAAACTGATGTGGGGCTCTTTAAGGTATTTATTTAACCCACCTAACACACAGAGTTCTCCCCTGAACTCTGCATATGCATATGTACCATATTTCCTTTCTAGAAGTGTAAATTCTAAATTCTGAAATGCAGCAAATCTCAAGGGATTTTGTTAAGAGACTAAAGGTATATACCCAAATCAGCTAGAGTTCTTTTAAATTATGTGAAATTATATTAAGTACATTAAAGAATGTTCTGTTTCATAAAGGGAACATGATCACACTCATATCACTAGTGCTTTGTAGTGTAATATAAAACAGGGCTTATCAGAGGAAAACTTACAAGCAAAGAAGAACATATATTTTCCCCAGAGCTTGCCTTATCTTCTTGCTTAGACTGGGCAAATTTGAGAGATCCAGCCATGGTAGAGGGAGCCCCTAGCCCTGTTACACTCTGTAAACCTATAAGGATAGGAGAACAGGAAACTTCTGAGTAATTTTGTAGCAGCAGGAGTTTCCTGCTCCCCTAGCACTCAGCTTGGGCATCTGCCTGGTCTTTCTGTGAGCTAATTTAGAACTGCTGAGCCAGCTTCCTGCTAGTACCAAGAGAGGAAGAAATGAGCCTCCTGGGTAATCCAAATGACTTAGTTAATACAATCTATAACTCAGACAGGCAAAGGAGATGAGAATTTAATTAATTGGATTATAAACATATCACATACCACAAAATCATAATTACTTACATTTAGGGCATAGGATATGGACAAACCAACTATTGCTGAATCTATAGAATTGCCAGCCAGCACAGCAAGCAGTGCAACAAAGAACACCATTAAGTTGCCAAGAAATTCAAGTCTTACAGACAGCCACCTGTAATAATGGAAAATAATCTTTAATAAATGAGACGCAAAAGTTTTGGTGCACTTAGTACGAACTCTCCTCAAAGAAATCAACAAGATGATTTGAAATCAAGAAGCAACATTTAGAGCTGCTTTCTCTTTTTTCCTCACTTAGGTAGGAGGCAGTCAAACACAAGACTATCATAATGATGATAGCTTATAGATTTCTCTGCATAAATATGTACTTTATTTTGGCCGAACATTGCTTTAAAACCTAATCAGTAATGAAGAGCAAGAGAAAAGAGTACCAGCTAAAATGATGCATTGTATTTTTTAATATTATTGGAAAATCAACTACTTCTCTGATTATATATACTTTTTTAGGTTATAAATTTAGTCTTTAGAGATTTACTTTGGGGCCTCCCTGGTGGCACAAGGTGTTAAGACGCAACCTATGAAGCTGTCCGCAGCCTCTGCAGCACAAGTTCAACTCCCTGCCAGACAGGGAGCAACCCACATGGCACAGCAGACCTCTCCTGACTTGCCCACTGCTCCCCTCAGCAGTGTACTTCAATCTGCCTGCTCTGTTCCCCACTCTGTCTCTGGTGAATCCTCTCACCCCCCCACACCTCTGGCCTGTACCCCAGCTCTTGTATGCATAAATAAATAAATCTTTTTTTAAAAAAAAAGATTTACTTTGTGCCAAACTACCATTTAATATTTATTCTCCTTTATATAAAATTATAACTGCAAATACAAAATATCATATTGTATACAAATAAAATATATTCTACAAATATAAATTCAACATAGTCACATCATCACTAATTCTAATAGTAGCCAATATAACCTTCAAATACCTTGAGCCCTTATTTTCATATAAATTAGTATATAACTTTTATATGAATGTAATAAATAAAATGTAATTAAAATGGATATTAAATACTAAAATTATTTAAGACTTTCGTCTTTGTCTTTAACATCACCAAATGCCACAATAAAACAATGTTTCTGTTTAGAAGTCAGTGAAGAATATCAAAGAACAGATTGGTCCTGAATTTTGTATTGATACGACTTACCTATTTGAAATTATGTTATTGTAGAAACAGACCAAGTTCTCATTCACCACCTCTTTGTTTTGCTGGATGAACCTCTGTTCGTGTCCAAATGCCCTAATAGTGGACACTCCAGATAAGGTCTCACTAAAGTGGGAAATGATAGGAGAACGAGATGCCCCTGCTAAACGTCGAATCTGCCGAGAGCTCGCCATGTAGTATCTCTAGTCCAAAACCAAAAGGTGGAGGTGAAAAGATGTAGCAGAAGTTTCTCTGTGGTTTGAATACTGCAAGACACTTGTGTACTGGTTTAAACAATGGTTCCCAGGGCCTCTCCAGTGGTGCAGCAGTTGAGTGCTGGGCTGCAAAGCTGCCCGCAGCCTCTGCAGCACCGGTTCGATCCCCAGCCATCGGGCGAGGGTCCCATATGGCGCGCAGACCTCCCCTGCCTCCCACTGCTCCCCTCAGCAGTGTACTTCGTCGGTCTGCCTGTTCTGCACCCTGCTCTGGCTCTGGTGAATCCTCTCACCCTCCTGCGCTTCTGACTGTACCCAGTGCTTGTATAAATAAATAAATAAATCTTTAAAAAAAAAAAAAGAATGGTTCCCAAAAGTTAAGTTCATGGTCTACTTCCCAGCACCTGTAAGTGTGATTTCACTTGTAATGAGATCTTGGCAGAGTATCACTAAGGATTTCAAGAGGAGATCATCTTGGATTTAGGATTTGCACTAAAATTCTATTATGATTGTCCTCATAACAGACAGAAAAGGAGAAGACACAGACAGGGAGAATGCTTATGAAGATGGAACAGACTGGATTGATTTGTCAAGGAAAATGTCAGGGTTCCCTAATAACCACTGGAAGGAGAGGAGAGAAACAATGACGAGATCCTCCCTCAGATAATCCAGAAGAAACCAACTCTACCTGCACCATGATTTTGGACTTCTGGCCTCCAAAACTGTAAGAGAATAAATTTCTGTTCTTTTAAGCCACCCAGTTTGTCACAGAAGTTCTAGGAAATTAATATAACCTCATAAGAGTAAATTCTGGATAGCACAACTAGAACATAATTAGCAAAATTTCACTTTAATGGTGCTCTAAATGATCTTTATTGGCTATCTACTATGGCGAAAGAGCTCTGTGTCATATGGTGAAAACATAAACAGTCAGTAACCCATCCAATGAGGGAAACAAGCCAAAGGGACAATATTTTTAGACCTAAATATAATGATAGAAAAATATTTTATTACTTTTTCTTTATGAAAAATACCAGTGCAGTCTATAGTTATAATTGGTTACTTCCCCTTGGCATTGGGTTGAGGACAATTGGGATGGGTGGGGACCTGGAGAGCTGGGGGGAATATACTCTTGAGTTAACTGGACCATCATTCACCAGCCCCAAGATAACTGTTGCAAACTGGAAATGAAAACCAGCAGCTGCCACATCTTGAAAAACCTGCAGTTCTGGAATTTTATATAAAATCCTGATTTTAAAATGTCTTCATTTTTTATTAAATATATATACATATATGTGTGTATATATTACATCAGTGTTCATTTTTGTGTGATGTTTGATATTTCCTCTCAGGTGTAATCCCAAATTCCCACCACCAAGTCACCCATCATCATAGTAAGGAAAGAATAAAATACAAGAGACAAAGCTAGCAGGCAAGCTATAAATTAGAGACATACAGCAGGGGAGGGAGGCAGGAGAGTGATCAAAACAGGGGAGGGAAAAGCACAAGAGACTGAAATCTTCATTTTGACAAAAACACTGAGTAAGCTAAGCCAAAACATATCCTGAGCTAAGTATGATCTGTTAGCTTGCAGTTTACAAACTCTGCTCTGAGTTCTCTGAAAACTGAAAAGGACTGTAACACTTGGGAATGCAAGGGAATCTAAAAGATTGTATATAGACTGGGAATTAAGATTGGAGTCATAGACCCATCTGCGTATATGATTAATGGTAAGACCCTTTTCCTTAGACAAATGTATATACACATGAGCACTCAGAGCTTGTCATAAAAACTCAGTGAATTATAGAAGTCCTGGACTCCATCCATGAACCTCTCCAAAGAATTTAGTTTAAGAAACTGTAATCTAGATCATTGTTTCTGATGCTTTAGCAAAAGTCACTTAGAGAGTTTATTAAAATACAGAGGCTCTACCCTGAGAGATTCTTTCCATCCAGTTTTATTATTTTATGATTAACAAATTAAAAATTGCATATATTTAGGTTGTAAAATGTTTTCTTTAAGGGTCACAGCCAGGGACTCTGGCTCAGTAGGTCTAGAGTATGACTCATGGCTCTAGGGACCATGCTTTGAGTACCACTGACCTAAAGCAAAACTCTTACAGGGAAAAGAAATGAAGCCTGCAAAGGCAAATGATGTGCCAAACAGAGTAAAGTGACTAGAATTTGAGGTTCTGATCCACATTCATGGTTCACCCTTGACAGTTCCCACTTAAAAAAACATGGTTTCTAGACTCTGTTCTTAGTCACCTTGCTACCAACCATTAAGACTATTTAACACAATTTCATTTGTTAATGGTATTTTTAATCAGATATTCTTGATCTTCAATACCATCCCTCAGTTAAACAGGTAGAGAAAATAAGGAAAAAATGCAAGGTAGGGGGAATGATGATAGCATAGGTGTAGAAATGAGGAAACGATTAATCTTCTGGTCTGAGCAGACTAAACCCCAATATGAATTTAAAACTTACTATTTTTGCTAAGCATTAAAATACAATTACTATATCCATTTGTGTAAAGAGCTTCAAAAATGCATTTATGTTGGGCCTCCCCAGTGGAGCAACGGGTTGAGTGTAGCACTGTGAAGCTGTCCGCAGTCTCTGCAGCACTAGCACTGGTTCAATTCCCAGTGCCCAAGGAGATACCCACATGGCGTGGCAGACCTCTCCTGTCTCTCCCGCTGCTCCCCTCAGCAATGCCTTTGGTCCATATTCCTTTTCTGCTCCCTGCTCTGTCTCTGGTGAATCCTCTCACCCTCCCATGCCTCTTACCTGTACCCCAGTTCTTGTAGAAAAATGAGTAAATCTTTAAAAAAAAAACCTTCCATTTAAAAAAATACATTTATATTTAATTTAAAATATATGATAAGAAATTTTGGTCTTCCCTGTAGCCTCACAATATCATAATTTTGGAGTTGAAGTTGGTTGACAATACTTTACGTAGAAGACAAAGGTATATCATGATAGGTCTACTTAGTTCTTGCAGCAATAGTTTTCTGACATCTGGGATAACAGGACAAAAAGGCAGTATCTCCTCTCAGATTTACAAGCAAATTAACTTTCTGCAAAAATGTAAACATACAGGTTTGTGGCAGCCATAGAAATGTATCATTCCATTCTCTCTTTTCTCTCTCTTTTTTTTAAAAGATTTTATTTATTTTTGTATAGAAGAACTGAAGTGTAGGCCAGAGGTGCAGGGGGTGAGAGGATTTACCAGAGACAGAGTGGGGAGCAGAACAGGCAGATCTATTGAAATACACTGCTGAGGGGAGCAGCGGGTGAGACAGGAGAGGTTTGCTGCACCATGTGGCTTAGCTCCTTGGCCAAGGATCAATCTTAGGCCATTGTGGTGTAGAGCTGAGACTTAACCCCTAGGCCACCAGGGAGGCCCCCCATTCCATTCTTTTGCAGCATCCCTGACAGAGCTAACTGGCAGTCTCCCCCCATACACCCTGTCCCCAGGTGCCCTACTGTATTGGCATGGTTTCTGTTTCTGCACAGGTCGCTCCCAGCCAATGAGTGAGCATTGGGGGAAGGTGCTAAAGCAGGCCAATTAGTGGTCAAATTCCCATTTGTTTGACCAAACATTTTATGGAACTCTTCTGCAGTCCAAGACTCTTCCCTACTAAATCTTTCTCTCCCCTTTTGCTCCTTTACAAGGATCAAAACTGCATCATTGTCTGAGGGCTCACACAACCCTCTCCTGTTCCTTCTCCTTTGTTTTTAATAGACATTTCCCCTAGTAATTCTCTAGTACATCTAATTCTTTACTGGAGTCTGCTTGTTGGAGAAACTTCACTTACAGGAGTGAAGTGGGTTGAAACTATATTTTCCTGTGAACTTTTAAGTTATTAATACACATAAAAAGTCATGTACTTACTTGTATAGTGAAGTAGAGAAATACCAATGGAATAACCCCCAGAATGAAGAGTGGTAAAGCTCCCACAATCACCAAAATTGTTCCTATAACATCCAATGTACAATTCACCCAGGTGCGCAAGTAGTAATGGAAACGTATATCAATTATAAACATGTCCTGAAAAAAAGTGACATTAGGTGACTTAATTTTTAACTTTCAAAGGTTTAAAATGAGAGGGAGGGGAGCTATAGCATTAAGTGGAAAAATAAAAAAAAAAAAAACATTTACCCAGATATGACAATCTGATAATGAAATAAATCTATCAAGTCTTTGTCCACCCCAACCCAGCAGTATATTTTTCCCCCGTTGGTCAATTTTAACTGTTCAAAGGGCGTTCTAGTAACAAGATATCTATGATCAAGCAATTTGTACTTCTCAATGACAACTACAAAGCACTGACTTTATCTGACCAAAGTCAGATACCACTAAAAGAAAGAATCCAGGGCCTCCCTGGTGGCGCAGTGGTTGAGAGCTGGGTTGCGAAGCTGCCCGCAGCCTCTGCAGAGCCGGTTTGATCCCCGGCTGCTCCCCGGCCACCGGAGGAGGGTCCCACATGGCGCCCTCTGCTCCCCTCAGCAGTGTACTTCGGTCCTTCTGCCTGCTCTGCTCCCCGCTCTGGCTCTGGGAATTCTCTCACCCTCCCACACTTCTGACTGTACCCAGTGCTTGTATAAATGAATAAATAAATAAATCAATCTTTAAAAAAAAAAAAAAAACTGGAACTTTGCTTTAAAAAAAAATAAATTAGAGGAGGGGCGGAGCAACATGGCGGCGAGGAGACGCTGCGAGTAAGATCTCCCATTAAAAAAAGTTAATAGGGAGGAAAAGCGGCAGGTCCCAGTGAGAACTGAGACAGGGAAGATAAACGGACGACTCCAGCAAACTGCCCGAAGAAGAAAGTTGCCATAAAAGAGGACGAGAAGGGAGGGAAGCGCAGAACCCTGCTCCCCTCCCCCGCCCACAGAGGCGGCACTCTCCGACCGGCAGAGACGAGGGAAACAACAAACCAAAACGCCCAACAAGAAAAACGGATGCAGCAAGTGGGACTGTGAGTGGAAAGGAACTATTTCAGCCACCACACCCCGTGAACGGGAGCTGAGGCGAACCCTGCAGGATCCGCCGTGGAGGTGAGCTCCAGGCGCCAGTAAAGAGAGCCCCGCCCACCAGGAGGAGCCCAGCACCAGCACACAGCCCCAGCCGCCCGGTAAGCTTGCGCGAAAGCGGCGCTCGGATTGCAGCTGCCCAGGGCCCTGCGCCTGCGACCTAGGCTTGTGGGGAGACGGCGGAGGCCCTCCCTGAGTGAGCAGGAACAAGGCGCCCAGGCAGGGGAGCGGGATTCAAAAGGCGCCATTCCCGCGCCACTGATCTGGGCTACAGCCCGCGTCCTGGAACTGAGGGCTTTGGAACTGAGACCCGGGGCACGAAATTAGGGGCGTGGGTTCCCCACGACGGTGGGGCACAAGGCAGACACAGCACCCCAAAGCCGTTGAGGTGTACCCTACCATCCCCGCTCTGCTCCCTGTCCCACGGGGTGGAAAATCAGCTCCCCAAGGGCTCTAGGAGAGATCTCTGGTGCCACCTAGCGACTTGACCCCAGCACAGGCTACTGAAGGAGCTAGTGGCCAGCTGGGGAGTTAGCCCACACCGGGCCCCTTCTGAACAAGTAGTCTGAGCCCACAGGGAGAGCGAGCACCCACAGCCGGGGCAGACCAGGCGCGCAGAATAGTGTGCCTGAGACCAGAAGCGCAGGGAGTGTGTCCCACATCACCATTTTAGAACAGGGACATTTCTTCAGTAAAGACTACCTGCAGAAGGCTTCCTCAGGAGCCAGAGGTGAGCGGGGGAAGTTCGCCCACGCCAGACCCCCTCTGGCCTGCAGTCCAAGCCCAGAGGGGAGCAGGAACCCACCGCCGGGGCAGACCAGGCGCACAGGGGAGTGTGTCCCCACATCGGCATTTTAGAACAGGGACCTTTCTCCAGTAAAGGCTGCTTGAAACTGACAGATGACTCCTGGAAGAACCAGAGGGGAACAGAGAAGCCCACCCAAGATGCCGGCAAGTCCCAACAACACAGTGTCCCAACGCATACGGCAAATTAGAAAACAGACAGTAGGGAGGAGAAGAACCACACGCAACCTAGCAACTCTCCAGAGAAAAAGCACACCACAAAAAGAAAGCCAGCCCCCAGATTGCAACGACAATAACTTGGAAGAATTTCTGAGCCTTCCAGAAAGAGAATTTAAAATTGCCGTGATTAAAAAACTGACAGAAGTCATAAAGGAAAACAATGATAAGGGAAAAATAATCAACGATCAGAAGAATGCAATTGAGTCCCTAGAGAGGGAAAACAATGGTCAGAAGAAAGAAATTGAGTCCCTAAAGAGGGAAGTAAAAGAAATGCAGGAGATCAAAGAATTAATGGAAGAACTAAAGAATTCTGGGAAAAGCAATGAAAGCAGAATAGATGAAATGGAAGAACGAATAAGTAATCTTGAAGACACAGAAATAAAAGAACCAAAACAGAGAAGGAAAGAGAAGTACGAAGGAAAAAGAACGAAGAAAGACTTCGGGAACTATCGGACTCCATGAGGAAAGGAAATATAAGAGTTATAGGAATACCAGAAGGAGAGGAGAGAGATGTAGGAACAGAGAAAATATTCAAAGAGATAATTGAAGAGAACTTCCCAAATGTGAAGAAGGAGCTGAAAATTGATATACAAGAAGCAAGAAGAACACCAAACTTCCACGACGAAAGGAAAAATACAGCAAGACACATAATAGTAAAGCTCCCAAGAATCCAGGACAAGGAAAAAATAATGAAGCTGGCAAGAGGGAAGAAACAGATAACATTCAAAGGAAAACCAATCAGGCTGACATCAGACTTCTCCGAAGAAACACTACGGGCAAGGAGAGAGTGGAGGGACATAGTCAACAGACTCCAAGAAAACAGATGCCAACCAAGAATACTCTATCCCGCAAAGCTCTCCTTCCTCTTTGAAGAAAGAATATGGACCTTCCCAGACAAACAGAAACTCCGGAATTTCATTGCAACTAAACCCCCACTCCAAAAAATACTACAAGGAGTTCTAAAGCCAGAACCTCAGAGCGACGAATAACAATGAAAGAAGGCCAAAAAAAAAAAAGTTATTAAAAGAATAAATAAATAAAATCAAAGGAAAGACAAACACAATGGCAAATACAGATGTTAACATATCAATATTAACTCTAAATGTAAATGGACTAAACTCTTCAATAAAAAGACACAGAGTTGCAGCCTGGATTAAGAAACAAAACCCAACCTTTTGCTGTCTCCAGGAAACACATTTAGCTACAAAAGATAAAAATAGGCTCAAAGTTAAAGGATGGAAAACAATCCTACAAGCAAATGGACCAAAAAAGAAAGCAGGAACAGCTATACTTATATCAGATAAAACAGATTTCAAACTCAAAAAGATAAAAAGAGACCCCAATGGTCACTACATTATGATCAAGGGGACAATACTTCAAGAAGAAATAACACTCATTAACATATACTCACCAAACGAAGGAGCACCAAAATATATCAGACAACTGTTGTCCTCTCTGAAAACAGACATCAGAGAAAACACATACGTAGTGGGAGACTTCAACACACCACTATCAACAATGGATAGATCAACAAGACAAAAAATAAGTAAAGAAACCAAAGCTCTAAATAAAGACCTAGAGCAATTGGCTTAACAGACATCTATAGAACACTAAACCCCAAAAAAACGGAGTACACATTTTTCTCAAGCGCACACGGATCATTCTCCAGGATCGATCACATACTGGGGCACAAGACAAACATCAACAGATACACCAAGATTGAAATCATATCAACCATCTTTTCTGACCATGAAGGCATCAAACTAGAAATAAACCATAAAAAGAAGGCAAGGAACTTTCCTACCTCATGGAGATTAAAAACCACACTACTGGAAGACCATTGGACTAATGAGGAGATCAAAGAAGAAATTAAAAAATTTTTTGAATTGAACGACAAGGAGGACACCAATATCCTAAATGTATGGGATGCAGCAAAAGCAGTAATAAGAGGAAAATATATAGCAATAGAAGCTCACATCAAGAAACAAGAAAGAACGCAAAGAAACAACCTAATCTCGAAGCTCAAAGATCTAGAAAAAGAACAACAAGAAAACCCCAAAACCAGTAGAAGAAAAGAAATAATAAAAACCAAAGCAGAAATAAATGAAATTGAAACTAAAAAAACAATCCAAAAGATCAATGAAACCAAGAGCTGGTTCTTTGAAAAAATCAATAAAATAGACAAACCCCTAGCCAGGCTCACAAAGGAAAAAAGGGAGAAAGCACAAATAAACAGGATCATCAATGAAAGAGGAGAAATCACAACGGACACAGCAGAAATCAAAAGAATAATCAGTAACTACTATGAACAGTTATATGGAAACAAGTTTAACAATCTAGAGGAGATGGACAAATTCCTACAACTCTACAATCACCCAAAGCTAGATAAAGAAGAAATAGAACACCTAAACAGACCAATTACAATTAGCGAAATTGAAATGGTAATCAAAAACCTCCCCAAAAACAAAAGCCCAGGACCTGATGGATTTACAAATGAATTCTACCAAACATTCAGAGACGAATTAGTGCCTATCCTTCACAAACTCTTCCAAAAAATTGAGAAGGAAGGGACAATACCAAACACGTTCTATGAAGCCAACATTACACTAATACCAAAACCGAACAAGGACAACACAAAAAAGGAAAACTACAGGCCAATCTCCCTAATGAACACTGATGCAAAAATCCTCAATAAAATTTTAGCTATCAGAATCCAACAATGTATCCATAAGATAATTCACCACGACCAAGTTGGATTCATTCCAGGGGCACAAGGATGGTTTAACATCCGAAAATCAATCAACGTTATCCAACACATCAACAAAAAGAAATATAAAAACCATATGATAATATCAATAGATGCTGAGAAAGCTTTCGACAAAGTGCAACACCCATTCATGATAAAAGCCCTTGAAGTTCTTGGGATACAAGGAACATACTTCAACATCATAAAGGCCATCTATGACAAGCCAACAGCCAGTATCATTCTCAATGGTGAAAAGCTGAAAGCAATTCCATTAAGATCTGGAACAAGACAAGGATGTCCACTCTCACCATTGCTTTTCAATATAATACTGGAAGTCCTAGCCAGGGCAATAAGACAAGAGAAAGACATCCAAGGAATCCAAATAGGAAAAGAAGAAGTCAAACTATCACTATTTGCAGACGATATGATATTATACATAGAGAACCCCAAAAACTCCACAGAAAAGCTAATTCAACTCATCAATCAGTTCAGTAAAGTGGCAGGATACAAAATCAACACGCAAAAGTCAGTAGCCTTCCTATACACAAACAATAAATCTGAAGAAGAAGAAATCGAAAAGACCATCCCTTTTGTTATTGAAACAAAAAAAATCAAATATTTGGGAATAAATCTAACAAAAGAGGTAAAGGACCTATACAAAGAAAACTATAAAACACTGTTAAAAGAAATAGAAGAAGACACAAAGAAATGGAGAGACATCCCCTGCTCATGGATTGGAAGAATAAACATTATTAAAATGGCCATCCTTCCAAAAGCAATATACAGATTCAATGCTATTCCAATCAAAATTCAATGTCATTCTTCAAAGAAATAGAAAAATTATTGATGAAATTCATATGGAATCACAAAAAACCCCGAATAGCCAAAGCTCTCCTGAAAAAAAAAGAAGGGAATGGAGGCATCAGACTCCCAGACTTCAAACTATACTACAAAGCCATAATCATCAAAACTGCATGGTATTGGAACAAGAACAGACATACAGACCAATGGAATCGAATAGAAAATCCAGAAATAAACCCACAGATTTATGGTCAACTAATCTTTGACAAAGGAGCAAAGACTATGCATTGGAGCAAAGAAAGTTTGTTCAATAAATGGTGCTGGGAAAACTGGGTCGCTACATGCAAAAGAATGAAGCTTGACCACCACCTCACACCATACACAAAAATCAACTCAAAATGGATTAAAGAACTAGACATAAGACCTGAAACCATAAAATATATAGAAGGAAATATAGGCGAAACACTACGTGATTTGCACATCAAAGACATCTTTACAGACACATCACCCAAAGCAGTGATAGTGAAGGCAAAGATAAACAGCTGGGACTATATCAAATTAAAGAGCTTTTGCACAGCAAAAGAGACAATAACAAAAAACAAAGAGAAACCCCACCAACTGGGAGAACATTTTTGCACCCAACACTAATGATAAAGGACTGATCACAAAAATCTGCAAAGAGCTGATGAGACTCAACAACAACAAAGAAAATAATCCAGTCAAAAAATGGGCAGAAGAGCTTAAAAGAAACTTCTCTGAAGAGGAAATGCAAATGGCCAACAGGCATATGAAAAAATGTTCAACATCACTTGTCATCAGGGAAATGCAAATCAAAACTACCATGAGATACCATCTTACACCAGTGAGAATGGCACATATTAAAAAAACTAGCAACAACAAATGTTGGCGAGGGTGTGGAGAAAAAGGAACTCTTCTGCACTGTTGGTGGGAGTGCAAACTGGTCCAACCACTGTGGAAAGCTGTGTGGAGATTTCTGGACCTACTAAACATAGAGCTTCCATATGACCCAGCAATTCCACTCCTAGGTATTTACCCAAAGGACACAGAAACATCAATTCCAAAGAACACCTGCACCCCTATGTTTATAGCAGCACTGTTTACAATAGCTAAGCTTTGGAAACAAACCAAATGCCCAAAAATAGATGACTGGATCAAGAAGATGTGGTACAGGGCCTCCCCGGTGGCGCAGCGGTTGAGCGCTGGGTTGCGAAGCTGCCCGCAGCCTCTGCAGGGCGGTTCGATCCCCAGCTGCTCCCCGGCCACCAGAGGAGGGTCCCACATGGCGCGCAGACCTCTCCTGCCGCCCGCTGCTCCCCTCAGCAGTGTACTTCGGTCCTTCTGCCTGCTCTGCTCCCTGCTCTGGCTCTGGTGAATTCTCTCACCCTCCCGCGCTTCTGACTGTACCCAGTGCTTGTATAAATAAATAAACAAATAAATAAATCTTTAAAAAAAAAAAAAAAAAAAGAAGATGTGGTACATATATACCATGGAATATTACTCAGCATTCAAAAAAGATAAACACATGCAATTTGCAGCAACATGGATGGCGCTGGAAGCGATCATGCTCAGCGAAATAAGCCAAAAAGAAAAAGAAAAATACCGGATGGTCTCACTCATAGCAGGAATCTAGAAAACTTAAATAAGGGACCAGGAAAATGAAAAACTATAAGAAAGTGAAAATCAAAATCAACAAAAAACTATGAACCAGAGACACTTTTAGGGGGGCGGGGGCGGGAGGGGAGGGATTGGGTCAGAATGGGGGGCGGCAATTGTATGGGGAATATAACAATAAAATTTATTAAAAAAAAAAAAAAAATAAAAAAATAAAAAATAAAAAAAAATAAATTAAAAAAAATAAAAATAAAAAAATAAAAGAAAGAATCCAAAACCCACTAGTTGTGTGTTCGGGGACACTGGGCTACCCTTACCATTTTTACTACTTAAAAGCTGTAAAACATGCCTGAGGCAAACTTATCCACTGAGAACATGTCCTGTCACCTTCTTGGGTAGGTGGATCCCAAAACAAAATAATCTCATTTACAAAATTAGAAGCTTAAAGATGGTTGTGGGCAATGGAAAAGAGAGGACAAAGGGATGGTCATGGATCGATTAGTCATTTATAACGTAATCAAATCTAGCTCTTTTTTAAAATATTTATTTTATTAATTTGTGCATACAAGGGCTGGGATATAGCCAGAGATGCAGGGGGATTCACCAGAGACAGAGTGGGGAGCAGAACAGGCAGATTGACTGAAATACTCTGCTGAGGAGAGCAATGTGTGAGACAGGAGGGGTCTGCTGAGCCACGTGGGTTAGCTCCCTGATGGGGATTGAACTGGTGCTGCAGTAGCTGAGGATAGCTTGATAGTGCTGAGACTTAACCCTTTTCGTAACCAGGGAAGCCCCTCAACTCTAACTTTGTGGTATAAGATGTGATCTAAGAGATCCCAGAGAATAGAAGAGACTGGATCTTGAATCACGTCATATGTAATTTTCTGCCTGTCTTTAAAACATGCCTTCCCATATGCCCATCTGTTCAACATCCAATCAGTTGACATCTTCCTATGTAAAAATGACAATTATTCAGTAGGGTCAAAGAGTAATGTCTACTGAGAGATGGAGAACACTTGGTTGTCTGCCTATACATTTTTAAGGAACAGTGTGTATATTCAAAGAGCAGTATGTATTGGTATGATTAGCAAGATTTGATATTTCATCAAGCATTTAGTATGCCAGGTATTTATATTTCCAAGTATAGTCTTCACTTTCCCCAGTGATGAAGACTGAAACAATTCTATGTAAACCAAATGCTATGACACATCAAAATATATATATTTTACATATATGCATAAATATACTAAGGCAGGAATTGCTAGCAATATGTGGCTACTAAGCATATGAAAGGTGGCTACAGCAAATTCAAATGTGTTAGAAGTATATGATACAAATTAGATTTTAGAGATCTGCTTTTAAAGATATTTTACAAAAAGAATATAATTTTATGAATAATTTTGCATTGATTAGTTTGAAATATTTCAGATCATCTGTGTTAAAATTAACATATTATTAAAATCAGTTGTTTCAGCTATTTCTTTTTACTTTTTTTATTGCAGCTACGAAGAACTTTAAATTACATATGTGGCAGGTTGCATTACAGTTCTATTAGACAGTGCAATTATAAGTGTTTGTTGTAAGCACAATGGGAAAAACCCTATAGGTAAGCAGAAACATTCTGGGGAGCTCAAGCTACCCCCGCCCCTTGCACCATAAGCAAGCTGATTATTTTCTTAAAGGCAAAAGGCTTTTAAAAATCTAAGTCTCTCCATAAGAACTTACATTTTCTTCCCTTCTCATCTAAACACTGATTCCCATAGTCAAAGCATGTAAAAATTAGAAGCATAGATACCAAAGCACATATACATTTGGATTCTTTCAGCAATTTTCAAGGGTTCTTTTTTTTTTTACTTTATCTTTTTTTTTAAATAAATTTTATTTTTATATTCCCCATACAATTGCAATCCCCTTATTTTGACCCTAATCCCTCCCCTCCCCGCTTCCCATCCCCCATAGAGTGTCTCTGGTTCATAGTTTTTTGCTGATTTTGATTTTCACTTTCTTATAGTTATTCATTTTCCTGGTCCCTTATTTAAGTTTTCTAGATTCCTGCTATGAGTGAGACCATCCAGTATTTTTCTTTTTCTTTTAATCATATGTGTAAGATGTTCTCTGTTATATGCCAATTACGAATGTCCCAAGGATTAGAAATAGACTTAGCAATAAAATCCATACTACATATGCTTTTTTTTTAGGATAATATACTTTACAAAGGATATTATAAGGCACTAAAAATGCACCATCATCTTTAGGTATGCTACTTGATAAAGAATGGCTTTACTTACCTTGGTGAATCGATTGATGGTCTGACCTATGGGGCTGTTTTCAAAAAACTGGAGTGGGAGGTGAAGGACATTGTCTAGCAGCTGAGCATGCAGAATTCGAGAGGCAGCTAGGGACCCTTTGGTGAGGACATAGGCTCCAGCGCAGACAAAGAGACCTAATAACCAAATTATTAGTAGGCCCAGGTCAATACTTTAAAGAAATTTTGTTATAACGCTCAATATGTTGCTTATAATAGCATTTCTTTTTTAAATTAAAAACTCAATATCAAACTTAAGTATGTGTATGAGCCAAACTAAGTATAAATAGATTGGTGCATTGAAAATAGATACGGACATTCGTATTGGGTTGGCCGGCGATCATCCTCTCATTCATGTCATAGGCTCCAACAGAAATGCACCAAAGACAAGGGATAAATCTGGTTCACAAAAAGTTAACTCCCTATTAACTTTAAGGTATCTTTGGGACCAGTGTCAGTCACTGGAGCTGTCAGCCAAATACTTTCAATTTTCCTCATTTCTAGATCCATGGTAGCATTGCACTTTCTGGCCCTCTTGTGGTTAATGGGATCAAATGAATAGTTCTGAACAATCAGTTGTGAAAGAAACAATCGCAATACTTCTAGTATAGAACATTTAATTGCTGGTGTCAGACCACTAAAGCTCCTATTCCCTTTGCACAGTGCTGCCAATATTAAATGGTTGGTAGAATACTCCCTCCACATGGGTTCCTAGGATAAACAGAGGCCCTTTCCTAATCCACAGTGGATACATGGCACGACTTAGGAAAAAAATATTTTGTTGTGCTAGGCTACTGAGATTTGGCTGATAGAAGGGTTCCTTATAACAACTAAAAAGGCAGATATTGTTCAGACATAAACTTGAAGCTTTGGTAGCAGTGTTTGGAAAACTGATACTAGCACATACATGGACTGTTGTTGGCTACATTTTACAAAATATTACAAGGAAGAAAAGAGCTCGGAAAAGAACTATGTAGATGTGTAAGAAGAAATGAAAAGACAAAGAGACTCAAAATTAGGGAATTTATAGGGCTGGAAGAAAAAATAATGCTCTGTTACAATGATTGGTTTGAAAACAGCTTATTTGAATCAAATTATTTCCAACAGTAATTTAATCGATTCCTATGGAAGGGAAGTCTTTGAAAGATAACGTTGCCATCATTTTATGGATCTTGAGAATGAAGCCAACAAGAATCATGAATGCAAGTGATAAGTACAGAGTTGTGGCCACTTCAAGTATGTTTAAGGCCTGGACTTTTCTGTTTGGGGAATCAGTAAATTTCAGAGTCACTTAAGCCAGGTTTTAAAATATATACAATTGCTCCATTGCACTCTAACATACAAAATTGCTAATAAAAGTGTGCTGCTAATATGATTCTTGTTCCTTTGCAGATATAAAGTTTAAAAACAAAATCAAAATATCTGACACTGACCACCTTCTAGTCTTTTAGCTAGTTGTTTGATATTTTAAACAGTAGCACATACAGCAGTTAAATTATTTCACGATTTAGTCTCTACTCTTTTCCTACCCCACTCCCCCCTACTTCCTTTTGCCCCTTCTAAAAAATAGGTGGTCACCACTTTTTCTCAATTAAATATTTAGTGTTTACATTACCACTAATCACATATTACTCAAGAAGTTCACTAAATTTATAATGCGTGCACCATTATTTTTTCCATGTTAGTTTTCTATGCAAGAAGACTAATTTATTCCCAAATACTTCAATAGTCAGCAAATCTCTTCTGAATAAATTCAAACTCATTAGATATTCTATTATTTCTTTCACTTTATTTAGCCTCCTCCTCCCTGCATACAAACTACTCTCTGAATACCTCTGTCTCTCTGCTTTATACTGAAATGGTTTCAGGAACAGGCATTTGCATTCCTCACCTATGGGACAAGTTGTTAAATGTTAAGGATCTGATCATTTTCCCCTGCATTTACAGAAAGTCATTTTATATGAATGTTGAAGTTGCTGCATTGTTCCTCTAATTTTTTCTCATCTGTCATTTCCCATCTATGTTTTTGATCTTGCACATCTGGGATAATTTCTTCTAATTTATCTTCTCCTACTTGTACAATCTTTTAAGATTTTTTCAATTTTTCCTGAACTTTCTTCTTCTAAGATTGAACTTATTTCAGCACACAATGCATTTGTTTTGAGGCAATATTTTGAATCTCTGTGGATGCTAATTAGACATTTTAAACTTCTACTTCAAATATGATTACTTTACCTCTGGGCTCAGCTGCTCTGTTTGTTGAGTTTTATTTATATTGTTGGTCTGATTAAAATGTATGACCATCCTTCATTGGCATTTTAAACTTGTAAGAGAAAAACCTGGCTAATTCATCGAGGTTCTTGGTATGACTTTTTTGCTGTTGCATGCAATAACTTATCTCAACATTTCTCTCCTCTAATGGAAGGGCTTCAAGTTCTGTTTAAGTCTTCATATTGGTCTCCACTTGAGGAAGCTTTCTTCTATGTTAATCACACACACTAAGAACCCTAATTTCCTATTTAGACATAAACTTTGTCATTTTCATTGTACTGCCACTATGCCAGCTGCTGTGTATGTATTGTTGTTGGCATCAGGAGTGGGTGTTGTAAGAGAGGCTGATGGGCCAGGACAAAAATACTTTAGTGAATTACTTTGATTATGTTCATGCAGCCCAACCCTACACTCTGTACCTTTGACCATGAGTTTAACATTTCTCCATGGCTGTATTGAACCTCTCCCTCTTAGAGCTTTTCTCGTCCTGGCTATGGTGCTTCTAGCCTTCATTATCTATTATTATAATCACTTAATAGAGAAATTTAGCACTCTGAAATCCCATAAGTTTTCCTTTTTAATTTATTCTCTATCATTTCAGTGGAACTTTGTGTGGTAAGTCAAGAAAGTGATCCACTCACTCTTTTAAACTGGAAACAGCAATGGATTCTTTACACATTGCATTTTGAAAATAAGGTGCCTATATCTTACACCTGGATTGTAGAAAGGACGTTCCTAACAATGAAACACAAAGCACAATAAACTAGGCATATTCAGTCATAGAGACTTTAAAGCAAATATGTGGGCCCAGGCAGAAAAAATGTTCAGCACTATTTTATTCATTTGGAAATAAGATCTTCATTAATGTTATAAGATTTAGATGTAACACCTTCTGTTTCAGTGTTCATTCTGTTTGAATGTTAGCTTTCTGTATTATTCAGAGCAGACCTCTGGTATTAACATGTGAAAGTGGTTCTTATGCTTCAGAGCTGAAAAAGAAGAAAGTGAACTATGATGAGGTCAGTGAAACTAGCCTGTTCTTGAGTGGACAAGGTTCTGTAAGATGTAGCTGTGGTCTGTGAAAAATGCAGATATTGCATAGTTTCATTTCTTAGCCTCACTTTAATTATGGATGATTTATAATTCCACTTAGTAACAACTTGAGAGAATTTTAAATTTTTCAAGAATTAGAGAAGATTCATCCTCTCATGATTGTAGACTCTAAACAAAAAGCCAGGAGAAATCTTAGAAATCTTTTAGTTAAATTGCACATAAATCATTGCCTTTGTAACAAAGGACTAATATAGGGGTAACAGTACCTTTCTAATTATTATCAAGATTAAATGAGACAAATAAATTATTCACCGTGGGTCAGATCGAGGACATATACAAATTCTGGTTTACTTTCTCAAACATAGTGAAAGAAAAAAATAGGCATCTGAAATATACCCAAATATATTAAAATTATATTTGTGTATAAGTATATATATATTATATTTACATATAATAAAATTACATAATTTTATTTTGAATACAATGTATGTCATATGCTTGCATGTGAATGAATTAGTTCATGAATTAGCTCAGAAAGAGAGAAGAGAAGCAGCTGGACTTCTTTGTGTTTTTTTTTTTTTACCTTGTATTAATCCCAATAGTCCATAGATATTAAGTTTATTGCTTCTTATTTGCTTCCATTCTGTGAACTCATTCATTTGTTTTGCTTCTTTTGCCCAGGAACTTAGCCATAGATTCTGTGCAATGCCCACCAAATTCTGCCCGAGGCAAGAGACCACACTCAACCACACCCAGAGCCAGCCAAAGGCTTGGAGATACTTCAGAATGATGGAGAACTTCACCTAAAGGCAAAATTGAAATAAAATTAGGTTACTATACTTAAAAGCTAGACTAAAAGCTAAATATAAATCTTACTCTTATATTTCCAAAGCATTGCTATTTTATTTACATCACTAAATCCTCTAATCCTCTGATTATTCATTTCTAAATTATAATAACTAGCAACTTTATAAGGAAATGTATTATCAGCACAGGCCTGTAGACTTAACAAAATAAGTACTCAAATAATGTTATTTACTATCAGTAGTAAGCAAAAATAAACATAACTAAAAAGCATACAATCCTAACTAAGCATCACTATTTATTTGAACTATTATACAGCAACCCTTTTCAAATTCAATGATAAATGTATGGTGTTTATTAATAATGTAGTGTAATCTTTTATACTTGAGTGCTTAATCACAAATTAGTTCTACCAGTGCTTACCCCACCAATTGGGATTTTTTCTTTTTTCATTGAGAACTGTTTTCCTTGATCCAGTGGGGGTCTGATAAAGCAAAACAATGTACATTTTTTAGGGTTCAGATCAACTAAACTTTAAAAAATGTTACATATTCTTAATAATTTTCTTGCATATTTCTCTACTACCTTAACAGCAACTTGACTTACCCCGTTGATGGTCTATGCAATTCAATATACATTTAATACCAATTTGTTATTCTATAACAGCATTATATTTGATCATATGACAACCTATGTCATCATTTTACTATGTTACCATTTATTTAACAAAATCAATTGTTGTACTGGTTGCAGTTTTTCCTACCTTAGTTATGAATGTAATGATTATTCTTTTTACACATTTTTCATTGCCCCTTGTGATAAGTTCCCAAACATGGACACATAGAGTATGCTAAATTCCAAACTATGCTAAATTCCAAACCATATGATATATTTATAATCAAATTGACCTCTAGTAATATTGAATTGAAGCACAAGCATCTCAGCAGGTCATGAGAATCCCCTTTCTCCATATTTCCCATTTTACTTATCAGAATCAAAAATGCCCTATTCAACAAGTCTGGTCATTCTTTTCATTTTGTCTCTGGCACCAGTATCAAGGAACATTCTGTGGGTACATATAGTACATTCCCATTGTAGGATTAGCTTCATCATCAGGAAAAGATACACTATTTAACAAACATGATCATTGGAATAGCTCCTGGTATATGATTTGGGTTAATTACTGTCATCATCCTTCAAGCCCTTGGCATAGCCTCTGTTTGGATAAGCAAATTTAGCTTGATGTCAAGCCAAAGAATTAATTCTTAATGTAGCTGGATATAAAATGCTATGAAGCCCAACTGTTAAAATGGAATTAAAACATCCTAATTAGACATAACTAACAAAGACCAATAGTTTATGGGATACTATACAGGAGGAGATAGCATTAGGCAATGCTATTTATTCATTTTCCACAAAAATACTGCATTTGGTTCTGCCACTTTGTTGTGAATAACAGGTTTTCTTTGCATTTTAAAAGAGCTAATTATTTTAGTCTGGTAGAGAAGTTTTAAAAATTAATCTTGTTCTGTCCTTCAGAAACCCTTTGGAAAGTTGGCACAACAGCCATCTGCACGTTTTTGTATAAAAGGTATAAAATTAACATATTGAAATCATTATTCCTGAATGAAGCATACAATTGCCAAGGACAAGGTATGTATGAGGATTGAAGCGATCGAAACAGTGTAGCATGAAAGCCAGAAGGGGGCAGTATAGATACTAAAAGGACATTCTCAGTTATTTTTCTCCATAGAAGATAGTTCGGGAAATAAAATAATTAATATGTACTATATAAATTCAGATAAAAACTAAAATGTGGAAGGAGTTCAGATTATTTTAGTGCCTATTATAAAAGTGATTTAATATAATTAAATCTAAATTATTAAATTTCAAGGGAGGGATTCTCAAATATTATTCAGTCCAATTTCCTTATTTTCTACTTCCCTCCTCCTGAGCATTTATCCAATCTCCCTTTGAACTCTCCCATTAAGAAGACTCACATATTCTATCTCAGTATATCTCATTGTCATGAGTCTCTAAACCTCTCTTGATTTCCTTCTTGTATCTTCCAAACCTTAGCCTATCTTAATTCTGCTCTAATTGTTAATAACAGGGTAATTCTAAGAAATAAAAAAATTAGGTTAAAAAGTTTGGAAAATTTGGGCCTCCCCGGTGGCGCAGCGGTTGAGCGCTGGGTTGCGAAGCTGCCCGCGGCCTCTGCGGCGCCAGTTCGATCCCCAGCTGCTCCCCGGCCACCGGAGGAGGGTCCCACATGGCGCGCAGACCTCTCCTGCCGCCCGCTGCTCCCCTCAGCAGTGTGCTTCGGTCCTTCTGCCTGCTCTGTTCCCTGCTCTGGCTCTGGTGAATTCTCTCACCCTCCCGTGCTTCTGACTGTACCCAGTGCATGTATAAACAAAACAAACAAACAAACCAGCAAACAAATAAATAAAGCATGCCTCTATAAAAAAAAAAAAAAGAGGGCCTCCCCGGTGGCGCAGCGGTTGAGCGCTGGGTTGCGAAGCTGCCCGCGGCCTCTGCGGTGCAGGTTCGATCCCCAGCTGCTCCCCGGCCACCACAGGAGGGTCCCACATGGCACGCAGACCTCTCCTGCCGCCCGCTGCTCCCCTCAGCAGTGTGCTTCGGTCCCTCTGCCTGCTCTGCTCTCCGCTCTGGCTCTGGTGAATTCTCTCACCCTCCCGCGCTTCTGACTGTACCCAGTGCTTGTATAAATAAATGAATGAATAAATAAATAAATTTAAAAGAAAAAAAAAAAAAAAAAAGGAAAAAAAAAAAAAAGTTTGGAAAATTTTATTCATGAAATCTTACCAAATATTAATACAGATTTAAAAAAGGAAAGCTAGAATACAACATACCATAAAATAATAAACTAGTATAGCTGAACTTATATGTATTTTGGAACAATAAAAATAGGTCTCTGGGCTCTCAAACACAAGATGAAAAATGATTGAATCATCGTGGTCAAAATCATGAAAAGATCAGCATAGAGGACTTGTGGATGTCTAGTAACATTATCACAGTCACTAAAAAACTAAGCTTAACATGGGTTATGTTAATGGGTATGACATATTCAAATCAAAGTGAAATTCCTAAGGTACTTTTCACTGAAAAAGTAAATGTTCAGAATGTTAGCTCCAATTTGAGTCTCTGCAATTTGAAAAATCTTTAAAAACCAAACCTGTAACAAATCCTTGGATACCTAGATGGATCTCTATATAAGTCTTGTGTTCTTTTTCAAAAAAGATTTTCCCAAAAACAGTTGACAGAAACTTCAAGTGCTTCAATTTAGATATTATGACTATTATTTCATAAATCTAAAAAATTGATTTATTATCAAAAAAGTATATGATAAAGTTTACAAGACTATTTACTGATTTTTAAGTTTTAAGTTTTTAAGCAAGCTGCTTATAGAGGCATGGTGAAAATATACACAGGTGAAAATTCTTATGTTCTAGCAATGTGTAGACCCTTATAGCACATGATTTTCAAAGTCTGTTTCGGTGCTTCTGGACTTACTACTCTTGAAATTCTTAAAAACTGACACTCATTTAAATAAAAAGTATTGTTATAGTGGCCACAAGATATATTAAAACAAATGATGGATTAAAACACCCTTGAGAATTTTTTAAGTCTCTAGTTATTTATTTTTCCATTCAACAAATATTTATCAAAAACCAGTTTATGTGCAATTTATTGTTCTAGTTGATGGCAATAGAACAATGAACATATAGATAAAAATTCTTGCTCTCATAAAGTTTATTACACAGAGATGGAAGAAAGACAAAAGAAAAGTAAATAAATATAATATCCAGTATTCTGAAATTAATAAGAATTATGGGGAAAAATAATGGTGAACAGAATAGAGATTATGATATGAAACAGGGTGAAATAATTTCAAGGTCTATTCTTTTATTCAAGGTCAAATTAATAAAATTCTGAACTAGTGATCTTGAAGCACTTGCTTCCCTGTAACCCATCCCAATTCACCATTTTAGCCAGTGGCTTCTCCCCTATAACTCCAGCAGATCACTTTTTAATCTCGTTATTCATATTGTATTTCCTTTTCCTTTCAGTCTCCTATTTGTAACTGCTAAATGCTATATTGGGGCAAAGAACTGCTTAGGTTTATTTCCTTCAGTCTTTGCTCAATTTAATTGATTACAAAAAAAAAACATAAAATAACAAAATCCAATCAGGAGCAAAATTTTACTATTTTTGTTTCTCTCACACTTCCATACACCCTCTCAATCCCTCAGTCCTTAGCTCCTCCCTCTCTCCCTCCCTTCCTTCAGCTTATTTTTCTAAGCACATTATTCTCCTCTTAGGCCAAGTTTATATTTCTAAGTCATATATCATGTCTGTTTCCACATTCACATCTATAGCATATATGAATGCAATGGGTTGGGATATATTTGGCACAAAAAATCAGGGTAGATTTCTACTACCAGAATTTGGTGGGAAATTGCTCAAAGTCTAGGGTTTCCCTAAGTGGCACAGGCAGTTGAGCGCAGCACTGTGAATCTGTCCGCAGCCTCTGCAGTGCCAGTTCAATCCCCTCCGGCCGTGGAGCAACCCACATGGCGCTGCAGGCCTCTCCTGTCTTGCCCGCTGCTCCCCTCAGCAGTGTATTTCAGTCAATCTGCCTGTTCTGTTCCCCACTCTGTCTCTGGTGAATCCTCTCACCCTCCCGCACATCTGGTCTATACCCCGGTTCTTGTATAAATAAAATAAATCTTTAAAAAAAAAATGCACAAAGTCTAATGAGCATATCTTTCCCACATTAAATCACAGCCGCCTCACTTTAAAAACTTTGTCACACCCATCTAACCTATAGTTTACAAATTGGAAACCACCAAGTACATTTTATATTCATTATACTGTATAGATCTTTTTTTGTGAAGTATATTTTAAAGACTATAAAACACAATTAGTCTGTAATCCCAGTGAATCTTGTATTATGCTAATACTCACCTATCTTTCTGCTCCAGGATTTGACCTTTCAGTATATTTCTGGAGTTGATCACACTGACTGGCTTTAAAGCATGAGCTGAAGAGGAAGATGGTAAGTGTTTTTATATCCACATAAGCAACTAATGCATAAAATAGAAATATAATGAAAGGCTATACAGGTTAGAGGAATTTTTGTGTTCTGTATCCATAGGTAATTGTCTTACTAAAACTCAGATTCTGTAATGAAAAGCCTACAGAGTAATTCATTTTTGGACATGAGAGAGGGTTCAATCTTATTTTGGATCTTTTACAGAAGGGCTGAGTATTTGCCCAGGAGGAACAGACTCCAGTCTTTTAAAAAAAATGCACTTTCATCAAGCCTCACAGAGGATTATTATGATTAAAAAAACACAATGATAAATTGACCAAATCTCTGTCATACTCTTCCTAATATTATTAATACTAGTTCCTATGTGGCAAATTGATCTAAGTGCTTTATGTATATGAACTCTTAATTATCAAAATTAACCCTGTGAGGATGATACTGTAATTACTCTTATTTTAAGACAAAAAGACTGAGTCATAATAAGTTAAGCAAGTCACATAAACCAAGTTCACACACCTGGAACTCCAAGACTGAAGTTCAAGTTATTGTTAATGAACTGGATGGGAAACGTCTCAGAGCTAGCAAATTTTTGGTTGTTTTCTCAGTATGATATTTAAAGACCTTAATTTCAGCCTTAACTTTAAAAGGGAAAAAAAAAATTGGAGATAGCTAAGATCTTCTATATGAATTGTGTACTTTCTTATTTCTAGAGGTAAACATCTAGTTCATAATGCTTCTTGACATACATGAAGCACCTCAATGAAACATGGGGTTCTCCCGACTCAATGGATGAAAATTTAGTTTGGAGATGTTTCAGCCTCTCCTGTCTAAGGCACATCCCTATCTTTGTAGCTTATAATAACAATAGTTATATTTATGTGTTTACAACTTATAAAGTACTTTTATATATATTATATAATGAGCTAAAGTGAACTGATAAGAGAAAAGATGAACTTACCTATATTTTGTAGGGAAAAATAAAACTCAGAGAGAATAAATGAATGGCCTGAGATCCAGAGGGAGGTGTGTGTCTGTGTGTGTGTGTGTCTATCTGTCTGTCTGTCTATCTTTTCACACTAAGACAATGGATTTGCTCCTAAATATATGATATCATGTTTAAATTGCATTGGCCTCTGACATGAAATAGAGACAGTGTCAGATTCAAGTATGTCCCTTACAATCTGTTTTGACTTGTACAAAACAGCTAATCTCTTTGTAAAATCTGAATCATTGTTGCCTCAGGAAGTTTGAAAGAGGATTAAGTAAATGTAAAAAGTGAATTTAGTAACATAGTTACTACTCAAGGCATTTGAGCTACCATCAGTATTATTAGAATGGGAAACAATTCACTGAGACAAACTAAATCCACAAATAATGTAAATTTACGTTTAATGCTGATATCCTGGTATCTGTCTTTATAAACTCAGTTCTCACCTCTGTTGATTACTTTATATAATATGAAGGAAAATGTACTTTATCTAAGTTATTTATTATCAATCACAGAAGAGATCATAAGAATGATTGGGAAAGGAAAAAGTGGCTAGGTCACAAGCAGCTTGGGGACAGGAGAGTGATTAAAATGTACATTGTTCAGTTCCATGTCAGCCAATAAGAACAACAGATCTGGTTCAAGCCCTGTATTTCATAAATGGAAATAAGCAGAAGAGTTAAGTTATTTCTATGAGGACTCAATTATTCAGCGTCAGAACAAGAGCCAAGGGCTCCTGAGGATTCCTTCACTGTTTTTTTCCACAATGTTGTCTGACTTTTACTCCCACTGTGGTGTCCACCTAAATTAATCAGAATTTTTAAATGGAAAAACGATCTACTTTTTAAAGGAATTCTTGAACAGCCTCAAAACCCATAAGGATAAATTGTAATAAGTAAATGGGAGATCAGAGTGTTTTAGAACTGGGTGTCATACTTTTCAAATCACACTCCAGATCAGTCAATCCTGATTCCTCTAAATCTTCCCACTACTTTCACCCCCCCCTTTGGCCATTAATAAAATTACATAAAATATGGTTGACTGTTTACAAATTATCTATCTCTGTATCAATAGTAAAATATCTTTATAGTTGCTTTTTAAAAGCCTTTACATATTTGTATTTAGCATTCAAAATCCCAGAAATAATCATTTTCAAAAACATATCCTATTTCTAGTACAAAAAGTGATCTCTGCTCACCACCTTCCTGAATTTCAAGAGAAAGCACAATGTTGAAGTAATTTTTTAAGTTAGATTTATATTTTTCTAATTCTGTAATATTTTTGATGGCCTATAGTATTGCTCAAAATTCTTTGTCACAAGTACTTTCGCCATAGCTAATTGGTTCTAAGACAATTTTGCTATAAAAGATAAAACAATTGGTTGTCAGTTTAGTTTGATATTTTGTTGGACAGTTCAGTTTCAATTGATGCAGTATTCTCATTTATATATTATATGAACTTTAACCTTCAAAATTGTCTGTTTTGTGACAACTAGAATAGTGGTCTTGAAATAGTAAACTATAGCTACATAGACTTCTTAGAAAATACAGAGATAAAACTTACCAGAAAAATTATGCAAGTCCTTTGGTGAACACAACTGTCTCTCCCACCCATCAAGACAAAAGATTGTCAAGTTTATCAAACTATGGCAAATTTAAAGAGGGAGGCAGTATTTCACAAGAATCTTCTAGCACATTGTTTATCAATTTATATAGCTAATTTAGTTACAATAGCTTATTCTTTCATGCTTGCTTTACCAGACTTATCACCTGATACTAGAGTTGGAGATAAAGAATCAAGTGCTTCTTATTCATCCAAAAATAAATGATTACATGATTCCTGATGAGTATGTTTCTTGAAAATTGTGAATTTTTTTTGCTATTTGATAGTGGAGAACATGATATAGATGGAATTTTTGTACTTAGTACAGAAATTGGCTGGGATGATCTGGTGAAATATAAGGACTGGGCATGTGATGGGATATTTACATATAGTCCAGCTGTGTATAATGTTACTGGTCATGACATTATATGTAATAAGAAACAGCATGTATATGTAACCATGACATTATATGTAATAAGAAATAGCACCATCTCTCATCTGTCGGACAACAGTGTAGAAAGCTTTCACAACGCAATACAAAACTGAGGTATAAATATGCATCTCAGCATTTGGAGGATACTGCTACCCTTCTCAATAAAAGAAGACGTTTTAGTGAAAAGTGTTTATGTCCTTTCTAATGAATACCCCCCTTTTATTTTTTATTTATCTTTTAACAGCAAAACAGGTCTTATGGACAATTTGCTATTGAGAAAAAATACTTATGGTAAAGAAATCTACATCAAATCTACTGGACCTGATTTTTGATGGTGAAATAGTAACATCTATTCATGTGAGGCCAACTTCAAGAATAATATTACTTTCAACGTGTTACTGTTGAGGACTCAAATGCATAAGAAGGGATATAAATGCAGAGAAGGCATATGTTTGTTTCTAAAACAGGACTTAAACAAAAACAAATTCCACAGCTTTCAAAAGATATACTTTTTGTATATTATGGGAAATTAATTTGAACTTCGAGCTGACACATTGCCCATCTTTAAAGCGATATTTTCTAAAATAATTCAACCTAAATTTCATGTGGCTTTTAACATTAAATGGTCTGAAAAAAGATACTACCTCCTGGCATTTCAAATCATCCTGTTAACTCCCAGGGAGTTAGCACTTTCAGTAAAAACAACAGAGTCAGATTCATTTATTTAGAAACAACTGAGTACCTGTTCTGTGCCTACCATGAGGCTACCCTAGGTCTGGTTGATAGAGACCATGAAAAAATGAATCACTTTAGACAAATGTCTCATTCTCATATTGGGAGACATTCACTGATATCTCTTTCCTATAAACTAAGCATAAATTATGAGTTACCTTGATTGAGTAGTTAAAGGATCATTTCCAAATTTGCTAGCTATTAAGGTGCTTCTTTTATTAAGAATGACTATAGCTATCTGATGATGTATCAGATATTTCTCAATGCATACATAAATACAATATTTAATTTTGAGAAAATAGAATCAAGGAATAAGAAATGGCAGCATATAACCACATATTATTTTATGAACTACTAATATTTCTTATTGGCATAGATCCAAAAGAAAACTACATCAGTGAAATGGCTTTTTTTTAATTTCAGGTACCCCCAAAACTAAATTGCATTGATCTTATTATAAACTGGTTTTGGGGCCTCCCCTGGTGGCGCAGCGATTGAGCACTGGGCTGTGAAGCTGCCCGCAGTCTCTGCAGCGCCGGTTCAATCCCCAGCCACCGGCAAGGGTCCCACATGGCGTGACAGACCTCTCCTGCCGCACCCGCTGCTCCCCTCAGCAGTGTATTTCATCAGTCTGCCTGTTCTGTTCCCCACTCTCTTCTGACTGTACCCAGTGCTTGTATAAATAAATAAATAAATAAATAAATCTTTTAAAAAATAAATAAATAAAAAATAAACTGGTTTTGTATTTTTATGACCTATACATCCAAATAAAGTAAAGTGAATTAATGGATATCAGCTATGTAGAAAATGCTGAGACATAGCTCTGAATTTATTCTGTTTACCCTGAAATGATGAAATAGTTAACTGGCTTTACAGTTATTTCTCAGTGTTGTTTTAGAAAGGCAAGGGACAAGGATCACCGCTTACAGGAGAAACCATCATACATGAGAAAAGGGGTAATGGTTTAGCCAAATGTTCACGGTAGGGAAAGACTGATCACTGGCCTATTACGCTAATGCTAGATTAAGAGCCTGTGTCCTAATTAGGTAAAGACCAAGCCACTTCATTTATAAACATCTATGATCTTGACTTCAAGATCTAGGACTAGAGTAACATAAATGAGCAAATAAATCCAGTTGTTATTTTGTAAAAGGCAAATATCATTCCCCTTTGTCTTTCCTTTGATTTTTTTTGTTTGTCTCTCTCCCTCGACATGCAATATTGTACTATAGATGTTTAAAATATTTATTATTTATTTGACATAGATTTATGCCCCCTGTTTTTAATTTAAAAGATGGTAGGTTAGACCCATAATATCCTAGATAGGGAATAGAGTTTATAAATCATCTAATCTCTTATTTCATAGATGGAGAAATATACCCTGGGGCATAAAATTTTGGTTAAAAATAATAAATGAGGCTGATTTTTAACTGATGTGCTCCATGTATTTTGTTTCTAAATGAAGGATCCCAGGCCCTGATGAAAGCAGGATAAATGAAGAAAAATGCATAGTAAGGAATCAGGTAATTAAGAGGGAGGTACACTGCATCTTAGGTTTATTTTTTATTTTGTCCTCACCTTTTTCTTGTTCACTGAAGGCCTGAAGCAAATTTGTGAGGTTTCCGGTTTTAGACAGCAATTCCTGGTATGTGCCCATTTGTGCTACTCTGCCATTTTCCATCACAACAATAAGATCCATCTGTGGCAGAAGTGTGAGGTTGTGGGTAACTAAAATACGAGTCTGAAAAACAATATTTTATTCTGTCAGTTACAAGACAAATGGCAAAAATACTCTCCTTTAAACAAAGCTGCTGTTATTTTTTTCTGTCTTTACTATTTCACAATGTAATTCCACCTAGGTACAAGTTTCAGACAGCATGTTTATACTTCACAATAAATGATGATATGCTGCTAGACAAAAAAAAAAAAATAGTTTGCAAATGTGATTTTAACCCTTTGGCTTAAGTATTTTTTGTGCACTAAAAAAGAATCAACAGCCTAACAAATTCAAAGCAATTCCACATCTGCCATTTTTGCTTAATTTTTTAAAAAGCTGGTTCATCAGAAAAACGTATTTGACTCAAGTCATAACTCATAGTCCTTAATTTTAAATCTTTTCGTAGTACATAAAATTGAATGAGAAGGTTTTATTTTGCATTCATATCAATAAGTAAAGACATTTGTCTATAATATATGTAGCTATGCCTTTTACCATCTATACATTTTTAATGTTTTTCCAGAGTACTCTATATTAATAAATCTTTAAACACATATGTGGGGCCTCCTACTTGTCTGCATCCTCACCCCCATGTGTGGGGCCTCAGCTACAAGCTTGCCCAGGTTTTGATGGCAGCAGACTGAGAAAGCAGGTCACAAAGCCCATATGTGGGGAGCAAGAACAAGTCATTGTTACAGCAACAGGAGAGACGCAGGTAGCAAGAGCATTATCTGGCTGGCTGGCCAGGAGGATGCAGTCTGGCCCATTGACTCGGCCCATTGGCAGCAACCCTGTCCCAGCCCTGGTGGTGGCAGGTACCTTGGGCACCCTGGGGAAGCATCAGGTTCTCTTGGTCCCCTGGGGCTCCCCCAACTCCACCCCTTGGCCTTGGCAGCAGCAAAGGCAGCAATAGCAGCAGTAGTAGTAACAGCAGCAGCATCCCCCACCGGGCTCCGGGCCACTGCTGTGAGATGCCTGTGAGTGCCCCCACCCACCCCAGAAGATATATTAGCTTTTATTTGATTTATACACAAAGCTATCATTTATAGACAGGGCCAAGTTTAGGCCCAGTTTACAGAAGTATGTTTCGCTCATGCGTACTATACATCAAGGTCACATATAATTTACTGCTTTCCACACATGTGCACTGCATCTCAAGGCTATGTGCTATCTACTAGAGCACCTGTGCTGGAAGGTCATGATGAAAAACACTGAGAAATTCTGAGAAAATTGTTTTCCCACAGGCCCTTCAATATAGGAAACCACAAAGCTTTATGGTTAGACAGACTTAAAAATCTTCGCTCTTTTTAAGTTGAGCAACCTATATCAAGTCATTGTGACACCCAAGTTCCTTTAAGACAGTTTAAGACAGTATCAGTCATAGCCCCTTCTTCAGATATTTTGTAAGAACAAACTATTTTAGTGTCACATGGCATACTGTTGATAAATATGAATTCTTTTTTGGGCCCTTCAAAAAACCAATGAATTGTTATTATTGCTATTATTTTTTTATGTTTTATATGTAACACATGGATTTTAAAATTACAGAATTTGGCTCTTTTATAAGCTACCTTACACATAAATAAAGTCTCTCTTTGCTTATCTGCTTTAAGTGTTACACCAACAGAAACTCTGACAGCTTCTCACTACGTACTTAAGGAAATGATTCCCTCCACAAGACAAAGTGAAAAAAACCTGACATTCCTGCCCAGAAAAAAAATTAATCTAGAATTATTGAAGTTTGAAGTTTCAGCAGGTGGAAAACCAGAAATAGCTTATAGCATCTCTTACTGAAGTCTTTACCTAACTAGTACCTATAGGAAGTTACAGAGTTGATCAAGAGAAGAAACACAGGTTTCTCTTTTAACTTTGTTTTGCAAGGGAGGCACCATGTTCCTCACAACACTTAGCAATGGGCGAGCTGAGGGCCAGGTGAAGCCACGTAACCCTAAATGCAAGCGCATTCAGAGGAAGACACGCAGAGAAGGACGCTCGTCTCTTGCCTCTGAATTTGCACCAGGGATTTGGGGGACTTGGAGGAGACACGTGGAGAACAGACATGTCAAGACATCTGGAAGAGAAAGGTGGGTGAGAGGCCTGTGGGGAGGCTGAAAATGGCAGCCATTATCTTGATTTGTACCTTGATTTCGCTCCTTCTGTCCCAATTTTTTGGGACTTGCTTCAGATCCCTTTCCTATGGTTCCCCTTCCAGAAGGTGCCTTAGATTTCTGATCCTCATTGGCCCCACTTCGGGTCAACCCTGTTTGGCTGGGTATTTACCCATGAGGACAAGGTAACTTCAAGTGTTTTATTGGGATACAATTATCCTTTCTTCTTTTCTTTTTCTATGTATTTTCTTCTATTAAAGTTCTTTTACTAAGAAAATGCTTTGTCTTCATGTGCATGATGGCCAGATCCCTTAAAATTATGCAAGTTTGGGGAGCCCAGGATACCCCTTAGACATAGGCTAATAGTTTAAGTGGGTCTTAAAATTCTGACAGATTTTTAGTTTAGTTATTTCCATTTAAAAGTACCCACTTTAATAACACCTGATTCTAAGTAGTAATCAACAAACTAATTATATGTTTCTTAAAAGTACCATTCATAAAAATATTTTTAAAATAACTCAACTAAAAACCATACAGATTAACGCAAAAATCTCCTTAGGAAACGGTATTAACCAGTGAGGTAACACATATATCACCAGCAGAGTAAACTTATAAGAAAAACTTTTAAAAAAACTCGTTAAAATTTGTGTGCAAAATTCCATTTTTTTTATTTTTGTAAGTTTTTTTTATTATTTTATTTATACAAGTACTGGGTACAGTCAGAAGCGCGGGAGGGTGAGCGAATTCACCAGAGCCAAAACGGAGAGCAGAGCAGGCAGAAGGACCGAAGTACACTGCTGAGGGGAGCAGCGGGCGGCAGGAGAGGTCTGCGCGCCATGCGGGACCCTCGCAGGTGGCCGGGGATCGAACCAGCGCTGCAGAGGCTGCAGGCAGCTTTGCAACCGAGCGCTCAACCGCTGTGCCACCTGGGAGGCCCAAAATTACATTTTTTATATGAAATTTTACTACTTTGCTTCAATGAATAAAGCAAATATTAGAATTCGAGGCACAAGCATATTATTCTCTTCTCCCCAGAAGTCTAAGTGATGCTGTCGTTACCTTGTTTTTCAAAAGACCTGAAGAGCCAATTACTTTTTCAAAAAGTTGTTTTCCAACATGAACATCAACCGCAGACAAGGGATCATCCAGGAGGTAGATGTCAGCCCCACTATAGACAGCTCTGGCCAGGCTCACTCTATGCTTCTGACCCCCACTTATATTCACACCCTGAAAAGGGAACATTAGAAGAAAAAAAAAAAAAAGATGACAGGAACAATGTGTGAACCCTACCAAATCTTTATGCAAGATTTCCAGAGGCCAATTGCACCCCATTTCTTAGAGCCACTATCACTCTTAAAAGGAGATACCAAGAATTAAGAAAATAGACTTTACAGTTCCCTAACTCTGAAAAGTCTTGTCTGTGGAATATTAAGTTAGACTTTTGGCTGCCAACCATATACTGACACCAGTGATCATTGAAAAATTCACACACAGGAAATTGAGAATAATAGCTAAATTACCAAAGCAGTAGTCAACATGTCCTATTTTCTTCTGTAGAGAGATTAGTACAAGTCTTGTTGGCAAAAGTACAAGCCTAAGAAGCAAGAATAAGGTATATAGATCACTCCATGTGAGAATTAAAGTCGACATGTACAGCCATGTATGGAGAATTATGGGGTCAAGCCCAATTTACTTGATTTATCTTACATTTAGTGTTTACAGATTTGATTTAAAAGCTCTCCATGGAGAACAGAACTTAGCCAGTGACCTATAATTGTGAAATGCGATTGCTTTTCGTTGCCTTTCTCATCCTCCTCCTACTCAACAAATATCTCATCTGTATAAACTGTATTCTGGGTTCTAGACTAGGTTGTGGTAATCAGATAATGATAGAGTCTCTCATGAAGATATTACAATGTGATGGGGAATATAGACATGAAATATATAGCAAATAATATGATACATACGTGTGTGTATGTGAGTGTGCTTGCACTTGTATTGCCTAAAATGGGCCCCATTTCATGGGTCTGTCATCACCATTTGATAACTGTAAAATATTTAGGTCAAATCTAACTCTGAGTACAGAGACAATCATCATTAACTATTACAAATATAACCCAGTCACCCCTGTCTCCAATCCAGCCTCTGCTTTGTCATCACTTATCCATCTTGCTAAAAAATCTTGATGCTTCTATCTCTCTCCTACCATTATCCATGAATAACAGCAAGTTATTGTAAGATACATATTTATATTTTGGTATTAACTCATCATTCAGCCCTCTCCTTGTACTGCCCTCCAGTGATCATGGTTGGTGAAAGGGACTAGCCTGCATTTTGAAAAATGGGCCAAGGCTGTTCTCTTGCTGGGAAGCCTATATACTCCCTTTTTAACTCAAAGGCTATTTATCTAAGTCGTCTTAGACAACAACCTTCCAACCAGTATAAAGTGACTCATCCCCTCCCTTCTTGTCTTGCTTCAGTTACTCATCTCATCCCATTGCTAAAATTGGCAGTCTGTCTTATTAGTGAAAGATAGACTTCCCCAAATGATCAGATAAAGTTTTTCCAAAATGTCCAGAGCAGACTTTTTCCAATCTGTGTCACCTTGGCCTTTGGAGATAAATTCAGTTGCGGCCCTGCAGGCTTCAGGAGAAACAGAAGGAGATACTTTAACTATCTAGAAGAATAAGGTTATTCAGATTTAAGGCTGTCCCCTAAAATAACCTTTTTGTTGAAGAAACACTATCATATGGAAAGAAAAACATCTAGAGCATCTAGAGGGGGTCTTGTGAGTCCCCCTCTTCTCTCTTTGACACCCCAGACTCCAATCCCAGTCCTTAGTTTAGGATATAATTCCTCAGCCTGTCTCATATAGTATTTTCAGTCATGTAAATTCTCTAAACGTAATTATTTTTTTTAAATTAAATGTATTCTTTTTCTTCTGCTGATTTGTCTGCTGATTTTATGTTAATTTGTTGCTTGGCCACTCTGAGCAAAACTTCAGAGGAATAAAGGAAAATTACTCCATATGCCCCATGTCTAGCCTTTGAGTTTTCATGGGCTTCCCTCTGTCTGTGCCTGTGTCCTACCTAGTTCATCCTTACATTTCCAGCACCTAGACAGTGTTGAACATTAGTGCAGGACACTAGTAAATAATGGTAAAGACAATCTATTAATATTACTAATAATAGCTAATGACTGAGATCCACTAGACTGTAAATCCCTTGAAGGCAGGGTGACAGCTGTCTCACCATTATGTATACGATAGCAGAGTAAGAACACAGTAAGTAGGTAAGTAAATGTTTATGATCAACTGAACATGCCAAAAGAAGAGATAAATAAAAGGGGAATTCTGCATTTATTACCTTGAGTTATAAACTAACTTCCTTTTGAAAGATTTAATTGAATGTTTATTTTAAAGTGCATTGAGAGAAATTTAGCTACATCCAGCAGAAATTATAAGTGGCAACAGCCTTTATTAAATCTATATATTTCCTATTTTGCATATTTTCATCTTTAAATTATTTTCAGTTACATACTATTAGCTATTTAATGTTACTAGAGATTGGCTTTATCAGAATAATGTTCAGTATGTGTTAACAAATTGAAGAAGTCACAGTGGTGGGTGATTTTAGCTTTGGCACCATCTTTCCTAGAGATAGTGAAGATGCCAGAGGAAAAAACAAAGACTGGAAAAGGTTGTCTATTCAATACTTTGAGAAATATATCTGCAAAGTAAAGGCTATGAATAAAGCCAGTCTAATTCCAGTTACAAAACAAATTTTGCCTTAAATTCTAGATTTAAATATTTCCACTTTCTATAATTTTGTTATGTATTTTATTTGCTGATTATATAACAAGACAATTAAACAACATAAGAGTAGAAATAAAAATGCCTAACAATGTTATGCTAATTCTCTTTTCAGAAATTCAAAGTACTTAGTAAGGATTATTTATTCATCATCACGGCACATGAGTCTTAGGCAGAGAGAGGCTGCTTTAGGGTTCATGCTTAATTAATGGAGAATTTAGTCATGGGTTAGTGATAATCTCTCAGGTTCGTACTTTAGCTCATAATATCTTGTTTTGTTTAGTATTAACTTCAAAACATTGGGCAGTGTAATGACTATTCATTAACGCAATGAAAAATAAATAGAATAAATAAAACAGGATAAAGAAGAAGAAGATTGGGAAACAAGCTTCTCTTAAGCAGGAATGAGCAAAGATGAACAGGCACATCAATGACAGCATCATCTCAGTCTTTTTAGAAGCAGGCCTGCGTGCCGCCACTGACACTCGTGTTGCACTGAGCCAAAAAAAAAAGGAACAGACCCGAATGGATTAATTTCTGCCAAGTCCCAACAAGACTTAACTCCTCATATAATTGCAGTTTCAGCCTTTCCTCAAGGTAGAATCTTAAACCAATAAATCTGGAGTTTCTCAGCTAGTGAGGTCATCTGCATGTAGGACCTCCATGCCTTCTCCTAAGGGAAGGTGGCTGTGCCTGAAATAATCTTTCTTTTCATTTGCTAATAACCTTCTCCTACCCCCTTTCTGACTATGCAATCCTTTCATTTTGTACAACTTCTTGCAAGAAGTATTTACTTGTTAGATGGGATGTTACTCAATCCATGAATAGAATCATATAGTAAAGTCACATAGGACTCTAAATTTATTTGGATGAATTTTGGTTTTTTAGCAATGGCTACAGTCTTGATCTTGACTTTGGTATGTAAAATATACAGGAAAAAAAAAACCATATTCACTCATTTGTCAGAGAACAGCATTATGCCAACAACTGAAACAAAACCTTGATCCAACTGGTAGGTTTTCATTCCCCACATGGGGATAACATGATAACAACAGAATTTCCTGCTGATTTTTTAATCTGTCTTATAAATGGTCAATTATAAATAACTACTTATCTGCAATACTGCCTCTCATAGCAATTCTATAATGATTTTTTTTTTTAAATTATAGTTGTATAGCTCTTTGAGGCCTCAGGAAAAAAGTTATTAAGATATTATTAGCACAGATGGAGTTTTATTCCTGCATATGATAAATTATATTTTCCTTACTCTTTTTTTGTATTTTTAAAATATATTCAAACAAACTATTGAGTTAACTTTGAAAATATGTTTAGTAACAGAGCTGAATAATAATCCACATGCTCATTGGGTCAATGTCTTCCTTACTCTTTCTCCAATTTCAGTTTGATCTCCATTTGGTAACTGCTCCAAATCACAAAGGAGAGCACAGGCTTCTAATACACGCTCATAAAACTGTTTCTGCATGACGGAGCCAAAGAGAATGTTTTCTTGCAAAATACAATTCTGAATCCAGGCCTGCTGGGAAACATAAGCCACAGAACCCTAAAAAAAGAAAGAAAAGAAAGCTCTTAACAAGGGAGAAGATATTGCATGCACCAAGTTAAAGGACTATCTGTAGTCCATGGTTTTACTTTCTTTAACCTTAAATTGAATTTTTTAAAAATATAGTTTATTTCTTAAAAGTTAATATTCCCTATGTACACTTTTATATCCTATTTTAGTATCATATATATTTATTAGCATTCCCTTCAAATGAGTTTGTGCTTCTTATTTGCTTTCATGGTAGTTTCTATCAAAGTTATTGTCCCTGGTGGAATTATCTATAGATATTGAGTGTATTGGTCTGCTCAGTCTGCTGTAACATGGTACCATGCGCTGTATGGCTTAAACAAAAAAATTTGTTTTCTCAAAATTCTGAAGGCTTGAGATAAAGTGTCAGTGGAATTTGGTTAGTTCTGAGGCCTATCTCCTTAGCTTATAGGATTCTCCCAAATCTTCACATGTTCTTCCCTTGTGTGTGTCTGTGACTTAATTTCTTTTATTTTTTAAGGATATCAGTCTTATTGGATGATTTCCCACCCTACAGATGTACTTTTTTTTTTTCTGAAACTTGTTCTAAGTTTTTTTTTTTTCTTTAAAGATTTTATTTATTTATACAAGCACTGGGTACAGTCAGAAGCGTGGGAGGTGAGAGAATTCACCAGAGCGAGAGCGGGGAGCAGAGCGGGCAGAAGGACCGACCTCCACTGCTGAGGGGAGCAGCGGGAGGCAGGAGAGGTCTACGTGCCATGTGGGACCCTCCTCCGGTGGCCGGGGAGCAGCCGGGGATCGAACCGGTGCTGCAGAGGCTGCGGGCAGCTTTGCAACCCAGCGCTCAACCACTGCGCCACGGGGAGGCCCTTAATTACCTCTTTAAAGACCTCATCTCCAAATACATTCACATTCTGCGGTACCAGGGATTAGGATTTCAACATATGAATTTTGGAAAACACATTTTACCCCCATAACATTAAGACAGAATTTGAAATACAAGCTGCTTATTTGGGATCAATCACTGTGGAAGAAAAGGAGAAAGAAGGATGGGGAGGGATAAAAGGGACTCAGCACTCCGCCCCAACAGAGCTTTGGACAACCCTTCAGAGAGCGATGAGAAGCATCATTCATTAGATTTGTTCCCTGTGAGGCTGACCTGGCGTGGCCTCTAGGAGCGGAGTCCCGGAGCCAGCTGCTGTGGGCAGCTGAGGACACTCCTGAAGGAGCTACTTTGCTGGAAGCATCCCCACTGCTGGACAGCAAATATTAGGAGAGAAATCTGGGTGGCACATCTATGTGCCTAACACATAGTCACTACATTTAAAATTCACTTTTTTATGATTTCACGTTTTGAAGCAATTTCTAAATATAATATATGACCATCTGCTGCATAGACTGTCTATATAACTAACTCTTTTTTAAAAGGAGGCACTGTATTTGAAGTAGAGACCTACCCTTTCATTCTGCCCATAGACTAGACAAACAAAGATTTTTGTATTCTGACTACTGTGCACTCTGTAACAATACCAGACATTTAAAGTGTTTTCTGATATAGACATTTATATAACTACTAGCCTTTTGATTTCTCCCAACCACTTTAAAGATCAAGGATTAACTTTTAATTCTTCTTGGTTGAACATATAAAACATAGAATGGCTTTTGATTCAAAACAATATAATTCTGATCCGACTTGATCTTGAACACAAAAGCAAATGCTCTTCAATTGCCTTGCCTAGTGCATAACCTTTGATTATAATAGCATATTAAATCAGTCCTTGGGTGATAGAAATTTGAACACATACTACATATTAGGTAACACAAGAGAACAGAGGATAAGGAATAGGAAAAAAAGACTGAAGAACAGTCCAAATGGCATACAATATAAAACAAAAACCAAGTACTGCACTGAGAAGTATGGATTTGATCTACTGATATGACAGGAGCCGAAAAAAAGTTGATTTTCATAGAGATTTAAATTTTCCCTTTTATCTTTATAATTATTGCTGCCGCCTCAAATACAAATGAAATGTACTTTTGTTTCATTTCATTCTTAATAATGAAATACCATAAAGGATTTGCTAATTCAAAATTATTCTCCAAATCTCTGGTGTTCCATCAAAGCACACTGAATATGGAATGCTCTGCATGGATGGTGGCTAGTTGGGGCCTTTGATAGGAGAATAGGAAGTCTAGAAAGAGAGCTTAGAGAGAATAGGCTTGGTTGAGTTTGAGTGTTATAGCATATGCCACAAAAAAAGTGTTTGTGTGAGACTTTAAGAAACAGAAATATGTACCTAAAGGCATCTTGTAAACTTTCAATGTTAAGTTGGCCATGCCATTATTATGGTTGTCCTTACTAAAGTAGAGATAATTAGAATGATACTTATAAATTTAGTACTTAAAAAGTTTCGGGAAATAATTCAGAATGTGAGACCTCAAATCCCATCACTAAACCAAACTAATGAGCTTCTTGAAGGATGAAGTGGCCAGTTACATTAGACAGCTATATATGTCCTCTCTTTGACAACTCTATTTTTTTTTTTTTTATAGAGGCATGCTTTATTTATTTGTTTGCTGGTTTGTTTGTTTGTTTTGTTTATACATGCACTGGGTACAGTCAGAAGCACGGGAGGGCGAGAGAATTCACCAGAGCCAGAGCGGGGAGCAGAGCAGGCAGAAGGACCGAAGCACACTGCTGAGGGGAGCAGCGGGCGGCAGGAGAGGTCTGCGCGCCATGTGGGACCCTCCTCTGGTGGCCGGGGAGCAGCCGGGGATCGAACAGGCGCCGCAGAGGCCGCGCGCAGCCTCGCAACCCAGCGCTCAACCGCTGCGCCACCGGGGAGGCCCTGACAACTCTATTTTTAATATAAACAGAGTGTCCTCTCTGCTCTACTGCTAGCAGTAGCATTCTTTTTTTTTTTTTTAAGATTTATTTATTTATTTATACAAGAACCAGGGTACAGACCAGATGTGCGGGAGGGTGAGAGGATCCACCAGAGACAGAGCGGGGAGCAGAACAGGCAGACTGATGAAATACACTGCTGAGGGGAGCAGCGGGTGAGACAGGAGAGGTCTGCTGCACCAGGTGGGACCCTTGCTTGCCGGCCGGCCAGCTGGCCAGCAGGCCAGGATCAAACCCACGCTGCAGAGGCTGCAGACAGCTTCACAGTGCTGCGCTCAACTGCCTGCGCCACCAGGGGAGGCCTCTAGCAGTAGCATTCTTATGACTTCTTTCATCACCATGAACATTTCCTTAATTATAAACCCTCCAAGGCATCAGAAATACTCTTTAAATCTCATCATGAGGGCCTCCCCGGTGGCGCAGCGGTAGAGCGCTGGGTTGCGAAGCTGCCCGCAGCCTCTGCGGCGCCGGTTCGATTCCCGGCTGCTCCCCGGCCACCGGAGGAGGGTCCCACATGGTGCGCAGACCTCTCCTGCCACCCGCTGCTCCCCTCAGCAGTGTACTTCGGTCCTTCTGCCTGTTCTGCTCCCCGCTCTGGCTCTGGTGAATTCTCTCACCCTCCCGCGCTTCTGACTGTACCCAGTGCATGTATAAACAAAACAAATGAACAAACAAATAAATAAATAAATAAAACATGCCTCTATAAAAAAAAAAATAATAAATCTCATCATGAGAGCCTTCATGATCATAAAGAGGATTACAATAACTATAAATATTCATAGGGAGCCAGCTGACTCTGAGCCAAGTACTAGGTTAGGTCTTTGCATAGCATCTGATTCAGTCTGCTTTTTGGTCTTATAAGCTTATTATTATCATTTATGTGATAGGTGAAACCTAGAATTGATTAACATTTTAATTTGATTATCATTTTTATTTGCTCAATTACTATTTGTTTTTCAATTTTGAAAAAATGGATACCTCTTCTGATGCTTTTTCTTACTCTTCAAAGCAGAATTTAATAGGTTTTATAATTTGAATCATTTTATCTATATCTAAGCATTTACCATAATTGATTTTACCATGCCACTCACTAGACTCTAAACACTGTAGTAAGAGGGACATATTGTTTGTTTCCCTGGTGATGTGTACTCAATTATTGCTTGGTGATACATAGCTGGAGAAAGTAAATAAAAATCAAATCAATATGATATAAATTATATTTAAAAAATAATACTCACTGGCCTAGGAAATGTTACAGTCATCTTAAACTATAAATAAATGGTTGATTTGCCATGAAAGTAATGGTGTTATCGGGATAGTAAAATGAAGGTTACTGTATTGTTCAGTAAGTATATTCTCATCCAAAAGTTAATATAGGCACCATACTTGGTTCTAAGCTAAGAAATAATGCTGAAAGAGAATAGAACAATAAATAATCATTAAAAGACTGGAATCAGAAAAGATATAAGAATAAGAGGAAAGATATTACGAGGGACAATATAAGGAGTTGAAATTGATTTTTCCTAGAGAGAAAAACTATGAAGAAACTGATCTCAGCAACACAGAACTTCTCTATCTTGTCCAAAGTGAGAAGGAAGAATTAGAATAGAATTCTACGCAAGAGTTAGATCTAAGGGAAAGCTCATTGGATAGTCTAATAAGTTTCTAAAAAGAAGTAGCTGATTAAGCACTCGGGGAATTCTTATTCCTATTGAAATTTAAGAATAGAGAAAAAAAATAGGGGCCTCCATGGTGGCACAAGGGGTTAAGCACAGCAGTGTGAAGCTGTCTGCAGCCACTGCAGCACGAGTTCAATCCCCAGCCAGCCAGGGAGCTACCCACATGGCACAGCAGACCTCTCCTGTTCTCACCCACTGCTCCCCTCACAGTGCTTTTCAGTCAATTTGCCTGTTCTGCTCCCCACTCTGTCTCTGGTGAATCCTCTCACCCCCGGCACCTCTGACCTGTACCCTAGTTCTTGTATGCTTAAATAAATAAATCTTTAAAAAAAAGAAAAAAAAAGCTGTGAGTAGATAGATAGTCCCATAGTCCTTAGGTTAAAAATTAAATGTAATCTATCAATATTATTATTTTTCTGTGATTTCTTTTAGGTTAAAGCTCCTATCCATGAGCTGCTGTAAGAATTATTAGAACAGAATGGATATCACTGCTTAGGGAACCTTACAATGAGTGATAATTAGAAACCTAATCAAATTACAGCATAAATCATATTTGTTATTCTATAATTGGTTGCAATTCAGTTAATATTATCAAACAATTACCATAAGCATTCATAAATGATTTGCTGAAGAATTTGGATGACAGAATGCTGTTACTAATCCATCCACAGCTAATCAATTTCTTTGGAAACTGAAATGTTTGTTAGAAACTAGAAATGACCATTAAATACTTGCATCTCCAATTCAATTTGATAAATTCTTATTGACACTAGTGATGTGCTGGCTATGTAGCCTATTACTCTAGAAGCTGTAAAAAGAATATTTTGTTGGCTTTACCTTTCTGTGGACTACTCCTGAAAGTTTCTCCATTTCCCCCAGAATGGCTGAAAGCACAGATGATTTTCCAGACCCAACTTGCCCTACAATGGCCACTAAGGCTCCTTCTGGAATCTTTATGTTCAAGCTGCGTGAACACAAAAAAGAATGAGATCATCCCATGTTAAAGTTGTTTTTAGCATGTATTACTAGACAAATAGTTCACTTTCATAGCACAGAGCTTAATTCCTGAAATTGCTGCTTCCCATATTTTTCTACATTATTCTAAAAACACTTAACCTGGGGCCTCCCCGGTGGCACAGCGGTTGAGCGCTGGGTTGCGAAGCTGCCAGCAGCCTCTGCAGCGCCGGTTCGATCCCCGGCTGCTCCCCAGCCACCGGAGGAGGGTCCCACATGGCGCGCAGACCTCTCCTGCCGCCCGCTGCTCCCCTCAGCAGTGTACTTCGGTCCTTCTGCCTGCTCTGCTCCCCGCTCTGACTCTGGTGAATTCTCTCACCCTCCCGCGCTTCTGACTGTACCCAGTGCATGTATAAACAAAAACAAACAAATGAATAAATAAATAAAACATGCCTCTATAAAAAAAAATAAAAACACTTAACCTTCTAAAATTAAAACAACAAAATTAGAGGAAATAGAGGAAATCAATGCCAAAAGAGAGGGGGGTGGAAAAAGAGGGGGATATGGAGTCGGGGTGGGGGAAGAAAGAAGAGGAAGAGAAAGAGGAGAGAAGAGAAGAAGGAAAAAGAAACAGTGAAAGGTTGGGGAAAAAAAGTCTGGTAGATTTCAATATATTCACCTGCTAAAAATTTCTAAGAAAAAAATTATTTTGGGGCCGTCCCTGGTGGTGCAAGGGGTTAAGACACAGCACTATGAAGCTTTCTGCAGCACTGCAGCTTGAGTTCAAGCACTGGCCAGGGAGCTACCCACATGGCACAGCAGACCTCTCCTGTTCGCCCTCTGCTCCCCTCAGCAGTGTATTTCAGTACATCTGCCTGTTCTGCCCCCAACTCTGTCTCTGGTGAATCCTTTCACCCCTTGCATCTCTAGCCTACACCCCAGCTCTTATATACATAAACAAATAAATGTTAAAAAAAATGGTTTTAATTTTTCCCAAACCATGACTTACTCTTTTAATACTGGATTTCCTGTGTTATCCCAGGAGAAAGAAGCATTTGTAAAACCAACTGCATGGTCTGGGAAGAAAAATAAATACAATGATGCATTTTAGAATCAATTATCCACAACCCAGAAGTCAAATAAATATTGAATGCAAAGAGGAACTGCTGACCTCCTATGTAGTTTGTTTCAATATTTTGAGGAAGAAGCTCCTCAGAGTTCAAAAATTCTTCCAAACGACCCAATGATATTCTTGTCTATTAAAATAAACACAGATGTCAATTATTGGGAGTTCAAGTAGAATTTTAAGTGAAGAGGTTTTATTACAGCTTCTTTAACATTTTTTGATGGAAAGTGAAGATACTGATATAAATATTCAGCAAACATAATTTGAATTGTTTTAATCTTATAAGTAAGTTCATTCCAAAAGAGAAAGAACAGTTTCAAGGATCAACACTCAAAACAAGCATAATAGAGGCAAGAAGTCATAAAAAGAGAGGAAAAATTCCTCGTTTCCTGGACCCATAATAATCCATTAATTAATAATTATAAAAAAGATTAGTTTTTGAAAGCAACTTCAAGATTTTTTAAATTATTTTTTAAATTTTATTTATTTATTCATTTTGTAGAAGAATAGGGGTGTAGGCCAGAAGTGCAGGAGATGAGAGGATTCACCAGAGAGAGTGGGGAGCAGAACAAGCAGATATACTGAAATACACTGCTGAGGGGAGCAGCAGGTGAGACAGGAGAGGTCCACTGCGCCATGTGGGTAGCTCCCTGGCTGGGGTTGGAACTCAGGCAATAGCTGAGACTTAACCCCTAGGCCACCAGGAAGACCCAACATTCTTGAATAAATTCTGCTTCTAAGTTTTAAGCAAGAGGATAGCTTTAGCAATAATAGTGAGTTATAGCAAAATAACTATAAATGTTTACCTATAATTAGGAGAAGTAAAATCATTTCCCCCATAACTGACTTATATAAAATCCTTAGTGCATTTTTTATTTACTTTATATGTGGAATCTTCCATTGTCAGTAGGTTAGATGTAACTAACCTACTAACCTAATGTAATGGTTTTATTTACCAAGTGTCATATCTGTTTTTTTTTTCGACAACTGTTCTTATTTATCTAGTGAAAGGCAGAAGCATACTGCTATGAGTTAGAGAACACTTCGAGATACTACACCTCTCACTAGATTCTACTTTCAAAAGCAAAACAAAACCAGTACTCTAAGAATGACATTTCTGCTAAGTGTGCTCTGAAAACATCAGTAGTACTTCTGTGCCCTCTGTTGGTCATTAAAATAAAATAATATGAAAAAGGTATGCTGGTAACAAAAATGGCTTAACTGGTATTTATTGTATAATTATGTTATACTTTACACAAAGAAGTTAGAAATTTAAATGCAAAGTTCTTAGATCTAAGAGCTGGTTTCAATAAGCAAAGATTCATTTGTTTATGAGCCCAGACTTGAAGAAAAGGACTGGATGTGGGATGCCCCATCTTTTGTTTGAGATAATTCAAACCAAACATCCGACAAATGTAACTGAGAAAAATCTCCAGGCAAGGTGATCAAGGAACTCACTTCTTTGGATTCCCTAGCGTTTTAGTAGTCTTCTTCCACTCATAGTCCTATCTAAGTATTGCCCAGTGATTGATGATTATAACAAAGACAGGCTGAACCAGACAGCTCACACAAGGATTGTTGGCAGACTGATACTATCAATGCATTTGTCTCCCTGCTTTATTCACTGGGGACAGATAAAATGCTGCTGAAGCCTGGGGAAGTATTCAGATGCAGGTCTGGTCAAAGCATCTAGTTTAAAAAATTCAATTGGAAACAGAAAATGAGCCCTTTGATGGCAACTTAAAAACCTAAACAAGGGCCTCCCCGGTGGCGCAGCGGTTGAGCGCTGGGTTGCGAAGCTGCCCGCGACCTCTTCGGCGCCAGTTCGATCCCTGGCTGCTCCACGGCCACTGGAGGAGGGTCCCACATGGTGCACAGACCTCTCCTGCCCCCCGCTGCTCCCCTCAGCAGTGTACTTCGGTCCTTCTGCCTGTTCTGCTCCCTGCTCTGACTCTGGTGAATTCTCTCACCTCTTGCACTTCTGACTGTACCCAGTGATTGTATAAATAAATAAATTTAAATAAATCTTTTAAAAAAATAAAAAGAAATAAAAGAAACTAACACTCAGCAAAGAAAACAATGTGATATCGTGAAATACTTAAAAGCTTTTTGATGGAAGAAAAGCATAGGCAAGGAAAACCTGCTTTCTTCTATTCTATAGTGGTCTATTACTAATTTTGAAAGCAGTGTTAACCAGAAAAAGTGAAATAGGGGCCTCCCCGGTGGCACAGCGGTTGAGCGCTGGGTTGCGAGGCTGCGCGCGGCCTCTGCGGCGCCTGTTCGATCCCCGGCTGCTCCCCGGCCACCAGAGGAGGGTCCCACATGGCGCGCAGACCTCTCCTGCCGCCCGCTGCTCCCCTCAGCAGTGTGCTTCGGTCCTTCTGCCTGCTCTGCTCCCCGCTGGCTCTGGTGAATTCTCTCGTCCTCCCGCGCTTCTGACTGTACCCAGTGCATGTATAAACAAAACAAACAAACAAACCAGCAAAACAAATAAATAAAGCATGCCTCTATAAAAAAAAAAAAAAAAAAAAAAAAAAAGTGAAATAGAAAGAAAAAAAGAAAAGTGCAAAACCATGGATTTCCGTAGAGGAATGATTCTTAGTTAATGGGATACTTTGGATGTACCTGAACCACAGCTGAGATTACCATTGGTAAATCAAACAGAGGAAGCCTCAAAATATTAAATAAAGACATGGATGTGAACACTTTCGTGGCTGTTAAATTGTTTCCTTCATCGAGTAAGAAATAGATGCCAAATGTTGCCAGTGAAACCTAAAAAAAAAAAAAGATATTATGGTTTTTTTCTTCTAGTATTCATTGATAACATTGTTAAAAGTTACAGTCCCCAAAATTAGGGAAGAATATTTTAATAACCATATTTTATTATTATACCAAAATTCAGTACTCTACTGTAACTGACAAATACAAAATAGATTGTTAGTATGGATCATGCAGTGAAGAATCTAAGACAATGGTATCCCTGAGACACATGGTTCCTGCACCCTTCTTAAAGAATGATCATGTTCTCACTAAAGTTATTCCCATTTAAAAGGTGTACCATTTTATTGTTTTTAATGGAATTTTATATAAACTTATTTTCCAAGGTATATGCATACATTCTGACTCAGGTGTGATATTCATACTTCTCCATGTATCATAAAGTAATGAATCACGCTTGATGAGATTTATGTTTACCCTAAGTTTCATTTAGAAAAGACAGAAAAGCTCATTTGTCATGAGGATGTATTGACTATTCATCATTACATAGGATTGTCTCAAGTAAATGTTTCTTGGACAATTTCACCAAGTATTCCAAACATAAATAAGGCACTTTCATAATGCAAATTTATTTAATTAAGTAAAAATGCCTTCAATGACCAATAAGAGTAGCCTATCACCAGCAGGAGTGATAATTTTGATTAAAATTAATCCATTTATATGGTTGTTTGCTGATCCTTTGGCTTGTACCCACTGAAGTTAACATATGCTCTAGTATAAATAGCCTGGGATTCTAGATGCTTCCATGGAATGATATAAAGGGAATGAGCTCCACTCATTTCATTTCACCTCCAAATACTACTTCTGTAACTTTGAAGGTATTTCTAAAGTACTGTGAACTTTCATTTCCACTTGTGAAATAAAAAAAAAGCAATGCTTTATTACCACAAAAATGAAATAAGACAATGTACATAACTTGTCTGATATTCAGTAGAAACATTCAAAGACTGTTCTTCCCCTTCCCAGCACCATATTATGTGCCTTTGGGTCTTGCTTATGAAAGATTAATTAAACAAGACATTTATGAACTGAAAGGAAAATTTAAAATGAAGTTGAAACTTTTTAAGAATTAGGAGGATGAGTTCAATCTGTGAAATTTTATGGTATATAAAAAATACAGACTAATGTGAATTCACATTTTTTCCCTTCTTTAAAATGCTTGTTCTGTAATCAACATAAATTAATGACTGCATTTCTTGAATATTTTAATTCAGATATGGAAAATTTCACTTTGTAGGTCTTAATTATAGGTAATTTGAAGGTGAATCTGCAAATCAAATTTAAAAAGCAAACTAGGAAATATTATATGCTCTTACCAAGAATGGAATGCAAGTTAATGTCAGCATAGAAAATACAGCAAGATAGCTCGCTGACTTTTGAACTTCCAATTCCTGATCTCGAATTTCAAGAACCTTCTTTTTATAGGAGGGTTCCCATGCATAAAGTTTGAGGATCTGAAAAAGAGTAAGATAGTGATTTGACAATCAAAATCATAGGAGAAAAAAAATGTACACAAATATGTGTGTGTCTTTCTAACACACACACATTGTGAAGGCAAAAATAAGGTGGTAGTCTCATAAAGAAAAGCAAATTGCTCCTGTTTTCATTAGTCCAAATATTTCCTTAAATTGTGGTTTGGGGGTCCTCCCTGGTGGTGCAGGCAGTTGAGCACTGCACTGTGAAGCTGTTCGCAGCCTCTGCAGCACGGGTTCAATCCTGGTCAGCCGGGCGAAAATCCCACATGGCGCAGCAGACCTCTCCTGTTGCTCACACTGCTCCCCTCAGCAGTGTATTTCTTCAGTCTGCCTGTCCTGTTCCCCGCTCTGTTTCTGGTGAATCCTCTCACCCTCCCACACATCTGGCCTGTACCTTGGTTCTTGTATACATAAATCAATCTTTTAAAAAAAACTGTGGTTTGGGGGTTGTGAGTGGGAGGAAGACATTACCATCTCCCCAGTTTCATGTTCTTCGTACTCATCAGTAGCTTATACTTGAGCCAGACTTTGGCAATGTCCCAACTCTTGCATTAACTCCATAACACTTTCTGTCTAGCTTAGTTTGGTCACTCTTCCTGCTGGTCAAGCTCTAATTTCTGTTCACTCCTCTTTTCTTAAGAGTTGTTTCTCATCCCAACTTCCCAATTCTTTGAAGACTAATGTCTTTGTACTTAAAGTCAGTTTTTGTAAGATGACTACTGTTTTGAGATGGTGAACAATTTCTAAGATGGAGACTGTTAAGAAGCAGATTCATACAATGACTCACTGAATGCATTGAATTTTATTTAATTTTTCACTGAATGAATTTTAGAGTGAGGTAGACTTACATTCAAATTCTACCTCTCTCTCTGTGGTTTTTAATTTTATGCCTCATATTAGTTGGGCTATGGTGCTCTGTTGTTTGATCAAAAACCACTCTAGATGTTACTGTAAAGTTATCTTTCATATGAGGTTAATATTTAAATCAGTAAACTTTGAAAGTAAAGCAGATTACCCTCCATAAAATGGGTGAGAGCCTGGTTCAACTGGTTGAAGACCTTACAAGAAAGACTGGGTTTCCCAGAGAAGAAAGGAATTCTACCCCCAGATCAGGACAACTACATCAGCCTCTGCTGAAATTTAGTCTACACTAGGGAGCTCATACTTGCCACACCCACATCCAACAAATATTACCTATCTATCCAGCTTCAATATTTTTATGAGGTTTTACTCATTTTGTCACAGAGAAAAGGCTAGTAGTTCTGATGAACAAGGAAGTGCATACTCTTTGAATGATGATATCTAGTCTACAAAAAAGAGCTTGAATGACGTCCCACCACATCTCTTATATAAATCTGCCTTCACACTGATGACAATGTCACTGCCACTCTTGCTCGCTTCATTCCATCTCTTCTAAACACAGAAAACAAGTACTATTTTGTGTCTTTAGGAATATTTCTGTTTACATCTTTAGGAAATAAACAATGACAACAACAATGAAGAAAACCCTGTATTTCTGGGGAATTGTTTAACTGTTATTTTAACAATAACAATTTCTATATCTGAAATCTGAACTATTCTCCCAAGCAATTATACATATATCATTACTTTGACATTGAGAATGGTAAAAAATTCATTCATTGACAAGGTTTTTTCTATATTTTAAATAGTAAAATTAAAGGTATATCTCTTTTATTACCTTAATTCCATGCAAAATTTCATTGAGTAGTTTTATTTCTTTATCTTTGTTCTTTGTTTGCCTTTTCTATGTAATGGGAAAAAATAAAGGCATATTTGAAAAAAGTTACTAATACTTTTAACATATATGGTCAAAGCTATTTTTAAAAATATAATTTCCTTTTATATAATGTGTAGTGAAAAACACGTTTTAATATTCATACAATTCTATTTTATTGATAATGTGAGAAAATAGCTAAAATAGATAATTTAAACTTCAAAGTTACCAGTAGCAGAATAACAGCCGAGCATGTACTTTCCAAAACAGTAGAAAATATAACATCCCATAACAAGTGATCTCCTCATGCACAGCCACACCTTTAAACTATCCTAAATGTCCTGCTTCTCCATTCCCACAGTACAACATGGTACACGCTGTCCATCCAATGGTAAATGTGGAAAAATACATCAATTGAATGCAAGGAAAGAATATTGAAATATATTCAGTCAGTCATTTACTCTTTGCTCAGTTTAGTTCATTAGGCTTTTGTGCATACTTCAGACAAACCACCTGCCTCCAGGCCAGGTGTATGCTGTTTCCTTTGTTTGATTCAGCTTCTTCTCTGGCATCCAATTGGATGGTTCCCTTAATCTGTGAATATATCATTAGCTTCCTTGGGACTTTCCTATACTTTGTATGTGAAATGGTATTCTTTGTAATGGTATTATCTTTTTTTTTTTTTTTTTTTGTGAGACCCTCGCTGGTGGCTGGGGAACGAACCAGCAATGCAGAGGCTGCGGGCAGCCTGGCAACCCAGCGCTCAACCGCTGCGCCACTAGGGGAGGCCCTATTATCTTTTTTTTTTTTTTAATTAAATTTATTTCCTTACATCATTGTTAATTTTTGTAGAGCATTTGATTTCTATGGGTGTAGTCCGTATAGTTCTCTCCCTACCATAGCATCCGAGATCCATCACCACAGTCCTTTATGCTTTTCTTCCCCTGTTTTGACCCTTCTCCCAGACCCTCCCCTGTTTCATGCCTCAGATCTATGATTAGCTTGCAAGTTTTGTCTTTTTCCTGACCCCTTTGTTGAATTTCTCTATATTCCACATGTAAGTGAAACTGTATTATCTTATTTTTCTTCATACACAAGTCAACACCAGGCATTATATTATATATCTACTTATTTACTTGTTCAGTGTCTGTCTCCCCCACTAATGCAATAATCAGTCATCCTTACTGCTGTACTTCCAGTGCCCAATGCAGGATCAATTCCAATCAGTATTGGTTGAATGAATCAAAGCTAAATTTGTATCATTTCCTTTAACAACCTCTACTTTCCATAGATAGACCATTGGATGGTTCTTGTCAGTTCAAGTCCAAAAACTCAGCTTCTGTTTCACTTGTAACATGAGGCAGTCATTTCCTTACCTTCAGTGTTTTCATTTTTGTGGCAACTAAAGCATTGATTGGTATAACCAACACAAGGACTGCCACCCCGGCTAACACTGCCAGACCCAGTTCTTGCCAAAGGAGTGCTATGGACATCAGGATCTGAAAAGGGGCTGACCAGAGGAGGTTGAGGTTTGCTGTCAAGTCCATGAGCTGCTGGGCATCCGCAGACATCAAGTTAATAATTTCCCCAGTGGAAAACTTTTTTCGAGAAACATTAGATAAAAGAAGAGCCTGGAAATAGAGAAGTAAAATATTTAAAGAGTTCTGTAGCTCCTAGGACATCTTTGTAGTCAATCAATAGTAACTTTCCATATCAATTCTTAATACACTTAGGAAAATATGCAAGATTATCTGTATATTTGGATCATATAGTGTCAAGAGACATGTTTTAAGATGAGGAAAATGATGTAATGATGTAATATATCTTTCTGCCAAGGCCCAATTTTCACTTTCTATTTGTGCATATTACCTAATATTTCATTAATTATATAATTTAAAAATTTATTGTGTATAGAAAGTAACATTTGGAATTCTGATCAAATATGTTCACCAAGAGTCCTTTACAACTTGCTTATTGTGGAAACTGCAAACAATGTATATCTATTCTACATTCTAGCATGGAGCATGGGGATCCTCTTTTAGTTAGCACCACTATCATGCTCAACTAAGTGTGATCAGTACAAAGTAACCAAAAGAATTGATGAATATCTAATGAATGTTGATCATTAGTATTATGTTTCAAACTATGGAAAATTTTTCAATGATCCAGCACAGTCCCAATTCTCAAAGAGATTATAACCTAATTGTGCAGTTCCCCCAACACCCAACACATATCAACTGTAATTATAAAAATAGTTAAGAAGAGCCATGGGAATTTAGACAGATAATAGCATTGGGAAGGCTTCTTGGAGCAAATGTAAATATATCTTTTTTCCAAGGCCCAATTCTCACTTTCTATTTGTGCATATTACCTAATATTTGTATAGAGAATTCAATAACCCTGAACTTAATTATAGCTAACTTCTAATTTCCCAACCATTTAAAATTCTGAGTGAAACATGTAAATAGTTGTAAATGTAGTAAGGAATGTGTATTTATCCTGGAAACAAGGCAACATACTCATATGCCAAAAACTTTAAGGAATTTGCACTACACTGATTCAAGGAGAGACAGATTTGAGACTTGGAGCTGATGGGAGTCAGGCACTCAAAATCTACTTACTCAATAAATGTATAATACACAGTCAAAAGAAAAGCCCATCTGGAAAGTAAGTAGACAGGACTTCAGTGGACTATTCTGACATTTCTTAGTTTAAAGCTTAGGTATTTAGTGCAAGAGCGTGGGATGGGGGAGTTTCAAGGGGTACTCAGAAGGACTGCACAGCCCTGAGAAGTTCACACTATACCAGAACCTCCTAAGTTCCAGAACCCCTAAGTTCCACTCCAGTGTATTTCAGTAGATCTGCCTGTTCTGTTCCCCACTCTGTCTCTAGCGAATCCTCTCACCCCCCGCACCTCTGGCATACAAGCCAGTTCTTATATGCATAAATGAATAAAGTGAATCTTTAAAAAAAAAAAATACTCCCTTAACTTTATCCTAAACCAGTAGCAGTCATGTGGATGGTCAGAGAACCAGTCCTAACACCTCTCCTCTTCACCAAGAAAAGTGTCTGAGACCAACTTTACCCCACTTTAAATAACAAGTGCCTGATAAAGTAGGTCCAGGGTTGTATGAATATGGGTCAGTCATTTAGAATCTTGAAGTTCTCTAAATATGATAAATATGAGAATCTTTTTAAAAAATTCATTTATTTATGCATACAAGAACTGGGGTATAGACCAGATGTGTGGGGAGTGAGAGGATTCACCAGAGAGAGTGGGGAGCAGAACAGGCTGATCTACTGAAAAACATTGCTGATGGGAGCAGCGGGCGAATCAGGAGAGATCTACTGTACCATGTGGGTTGTTCCCTGGTTGTTCCATGGTACAGAGATCTACTGTACCATGTGGGTTGTTCCTCTATAGCACGAATTGAACTCGTGCTGTAGAGGCTACAGACAGCTTAATAGGTTCCATCTTAACCCTTTGTGCCACCAGGGAAGCCCAATATCAGAACCTTATGTAACCACCTCAATGGATCCCATGGAGAGAGGTGGTTCAGAAAGAAAGATGATTCAGAGAAAGGGCTGCCTTAAAACAATGCCACTCTGCCAATGCATCCTAAAGATACAGACTCTTCTGCTACTTGTTTGATGAACTTGGAACAGGATCCACTGAGTAGCCTTGACTGCTGTACTCCATTGATCCTTGAATGCCCTTTGAGGTTGAACAATCTCTAAGGAAACATGTGAGGGTATCCTGTAGTTTCTGTTCCCTCTTAAATTATCTCCAGGGTCTCTCTGCCCTTGCCACAGTCTTTCCCAGGACACTTGATTTCTCTTTTGACGTCTGACAGCTTGCTCTAATTTCTGCTTCACTCCACTCTTTTATGCTTGTAAATTCACCCTAATCCTGTATCCAAACTCCAAAGCTTTAATCACGGAATAAAATCCTATTCTAACAAGGATTAGCATTTAAATTGATTTCTGTGCTTTTTAATATCTTTCCTTCATATTTGGATTTTTCAAAATTTACAGTCTCTGGAATTACCACTGGGCCATTGCTCTGACCCTGTGTTTACACTATGGGCTACAGAACTAATTCTCTGCAAGGTGAGCTACCATTTCCTGGCTCAAATGATGCTGGGTCATTCCAGGCTCTCTAAAGCCACTCTATATCTCCATTTGTGCTCAATGTAAGCAATGGCTTATACTGTTTATAGGCCATTTATAATGTTTCATACTCAGCTCAACCCAAATTAGAATATTTCCTTCTACTAACATACATTCTGTCACTCTCTCAAAGACTATTTCAAGGCTCCCTTTCATGTAAAAAATTCCTTAACTGTGTATAGTCATTGTAGATTTTCTGCTCATCTTAGCTTTTATAAAATCCGCATTTTGTTCCACATACTTATAATGTATGCGAATACTTCTCCCTGATTTCTTGAAGGCTGGGACTTATTTATTTAATCATTCAACTTTTACAAAAATGTCTAAAACTCACTTTCTTAGATGATAAAGGCACAACAGACAAATAAGATCCTATCCCGAATCTTGAAAAACCCACCATTTATTAAGTACAGATTAAAATTCAAAACACACCTGTTGATTGAGTAACTATGATGACTAAGAAAAGGGAGAGATTCCCTAACTTTTTATAATTATAATGAATAATAGGTTCTGAATGTTAGAGGTAATATTCAAATTTATATTTTCAAGAAGGGACAAGTTAAATTTTGAGTGATGTCAGGTATAAGGATCAGCCAGACATCATTTTTGGGGGCGGGGGGAAAGGGATGGATGATTTTAGAATGAAAGAGAAACATATAATGGCTATACAGAGAAAAATAATTATTTTATGAATAAATATAACAAGCAGAGGAGGAATAAAGAGTTACAATGTAGAATAAGTGATCATGAAAATAAGAAATTTTACTGATATATAAATATAGAAAATCATGAAAACATTTGATTTCCATTCTCTTTCTGAAGAGGAGTTAACTCACATAGTAGACAAATAACATCATTTAATTTCTTGGGTTGAGAATGACTAGAAGTTGCAAAGGACAATAGAAAAATTATTACAATCAATATTTTTAAGTCAAAATTCTTTTACACTAAAACAAATGTATACTTGAAAATACACTTTAAAAATTCTCTCCTATTTTTCTAATCCAGTTCTTGTAAAGTATATAAGAGAATTGTCCATTTGAATACTAGGAATTTCTTGATTTTTTTACCTTTTTATAGACCAATCCAGCCACAGCTGTTTTAATTTTTGCTGAAGTGAGCATGTTAAAACGTTGATATTGCTGAAGGATCAGAGTTTGCAATAAAACTACAACAAATAGTGCCAAGGCATAACCAAAGCCACTCCAATCAAAATCTTGATGGTGCTCACAGAAAATGATCATTTGCCTGAATGTCATGTAAAAATTGAGAAAGGGGAAGAAATATGAAATATTTGAAGTAGTTAAATGTTTGGGTGCTGTATTAACAAAATGTTATGCAATCACACACACACATTCTTAGCTTTTCTTTCTCTCTGCTTGCCTGATTTAGCATCCCACCCCCTTTATTTTTACTTAAGCATTTTAGAATAGTGTTTAGCACCTGGTTATACTCAATATAACTGAGTACCTGATTATACTCAGTAAATACTATATTGTCATACTCACACTCATAATGAGGTAAATCTAATAGAATTCCCCTGTTTTCAATCAAATTTTCACCAAGGACCTTCTCTACATTTTTTAACACAAATTTTACAGTGGAACATTTGCTTATTATGTACCTATGGGGTACATAAAGAAAAAATAAGGCTGTACTCACTTCATTATGAATGGGCTAGTGAAGGCCAAGACATCAGCAAACACTTTGAGTAAAGCAACTTGAATCAGGACAAACTTAAAGGTGTTCCACAAGGCGTAGAACAGAGATGGTTTCCTAGTACGTGACTCTTTCTGAAAGAATGGCTTTAATTTACAAAATTAAAGAAAATATAAACAATGTGAAAACTGGACAGAACTAATACTAGTATATGTAAATTAGCCATACAATTAGCAATGCACTCCAAAGATATTAATAATTGGAAAATATGACCTATACTATAACCCAGTTGGTATTATTTGTAAATGGGTAAAACAGTTGTATTTCATCACTCTTGTGAGTTTCAAGCCCGTTTCATTCATACAGGGTTTATCTTCAAATTATACCTTCTTTTTGAGAAGTCTAAAGAGATATATAAATACCTATTTTACATATGATGTTAAACCTCATCAACATTAGCCTTGGTTACCATACGACTCTCTAACCCATAGAATAATGTTCTGCATTATAGAAACCATCTTTGCCATGATGGGTGACAAAAGATATTTGATAAGAGGTCAAAAATTATATACAAATAGATACTTTTTTTCCTGAAATTTGAAGGGAAAGGATGCTGAATAATTTAAAGACAGATATTAGCAGCAATAACAATCAATTATACTTATGGAAATGTCTTGTGATTTCACATATTTTAGGGGAGTTCCATAATAATTTCTCATATATGGAATGAGTTTTCTCTAGCTTTAAGCAGTAATAAGCAAGTATTTAGAATTTAATAATTAAGTACCTGTACATTTTGCCTCTCTTGATGTCTTAAAACTTCCTTCCTCCATTGTTTTTCAAAGATGGAACACACAGAATAGGAGGAATCACTTTCATTTAATTCAAAAAGATCCTCTCTTTCCAAAGGTTTCTTATAGCCTAAAATAATTATTCTAAAAGTGAAAAAGCAAAGTTAATAATTCAGCAAAATCAATAGTCAAAAATAATTTTGCATGCATTTCATTTCTTCATTTATAAATTATTTTATTCACCAGGATGCAATGACTAGATGAGGGGTTTAAAAAATCATAAAACTTTATCCCAAAGTTCAATAATATGCAATAATCATTTGTGGCTTTTAGAGGGGTTCTTTAGCATTCAGTTATTTAGTGAGACACTCACTTCATCGATTCATCTCTTAATTGAGGCACCAACCTACCCAACTTCACTGAAATGGAAAGAACTAAACTTCACAGTGAGGTATACACTCTAGAACTTGTTTTTAGGTTTGTAAGAGAGGAAAAATGGATCCAATCTCTGTATAACAATTTCTCCTTTTCCAATGGGGCTTTGTATAATTCCTGCCACTTGCTTTTACAGATTGACTAAGTAGATTGTAGAGTACCCATCTCTTCCCTGTACACTTCAGAGGACATTGTAAATAAATACAATAGCAAGAACTAGGACTATAAACTATAAAAAAAAATAGTAAACTAGGACTATACCAAGCAAAGTAAGATGCATTGTTCAGTTATACCACAGATTGTGGTAGATAATTCCACTTAATTTACAGCCATCCTTCTGTCCCACCATAGTCCTCTAACATGAATCTATATGGCATTTCAGCTAAAAAAAAAAAAAAATCCCTTGAACTCAGCATAACTCATCCCAGCTACAGAGCTAGGGATTAGGATTAGTCAAAACTGGTCCTAGTAATATTATTACCTTTTGCTTGGCATTAATAACACAACTCAGGGCCTCCCCCGTGGCGCAGCAGTTGAGTGCTGGGCTGCATAGTTGCCCACAGCCTCTGCAGCCCCGGTTCAATCCCCGGCCATTGGCAAGGGTCCCACATGGCACACAGACCTCTCCTTCCATGCCCGCTGCTCCCCTCAGCAGTGTACTTTCTCGGTCTGCCTTTTCTGTTCCCCGCTCTGGCTCTGGTGAATTCTCTCACCCTCCTGCATTTCTGACTGTACCCAGTGCTTATATAAATAAATTAATTAATTTAAAAAAAAAAAAAACCATAACTCAGTTATGGCTAAGGATTCTCACTTTCTCTGAAGGAGCTAACCTACATTTTCAAATGAACTCACAACATATCAAGAGGAGAAAACATTTTGCTTCACTTTTCTTCCCCTTCTTCCTTCCTGCCAGTACTGAAGACATGATGTTTTAAGATAGAGGAGCCGTTTTTACCACCAAGAATGAAAAGCTGAACTATAGTGATGGGAAATGGAAAGACAGAAAAAACCTGAGTCCTTTATTACATTTCTGAGCACTTCACTAGCCTAGTCCCAGTCTTCTTCCCGATAACATAAGAAAATAGATAGCTACTTGTTTAAGCTATTTAGTTCTGTTAACATTATCTGTTAATTTAAGCCAAACCTACTCCTGGTGATGTGGTTCAGCTATACTCATTTTATGAGCCTGGTAACAAGACTTGTTCACTAAGAAATTAAAGCCCCATTTAAAGCCCATCTTCTTCATCTGTAGCGTCAGTTCATTCAATTATAAAGGCTATTAGCTTATAAGTCCAAAAGACCAAACAAAATATTACACTACTCCAAATTGGGACAGATTCCATTGTCATTGTTATTGAATAATCTCAATTGAGTGACCCTGGGATGGATTTAAACTCTGTGGTAACCACAGTCTCCACTGGGCTCAATTTCACTTTCATTATATTACAATATATCATCCGATCAGTCATATTTAACAAAAAAGCTTAAATGTAATGAGAAAGAACCTTCAGTAATCACATTTTCATTGGCTCAAATATGCTGGACATTTTCCTGCAGTGCACTTTTAAAAACATATTAAGCAATAAACTTCTTTTATGTCATATTAAGTCCTTCTATTCCATTCCATAAAATAAATATTCATTTTCAAAATAAGGTTGCATTGATTTTCACCAAAGCATTTTTAATAACATTTACTGCCTCAGCATTTTGAGTTAGAACTGTGCAAAACTCAGCGGTTTTGGTTCATGGGGTAAGTGACCCCTGGCTTTCATGCTGAGTCTCCAAATAATGCAGCATCTAAAAGTGACACTTAAGCTGAATTGATTGTGATGCACTTGGCTTGGCTGTTTAACTACTGTGACTCCCTTTTCCCAGGTGTGTGCTTCCTCCTCCTCTTGAATACTTTTATTGCAAGGGCTCGTCTTACTTTCATGTGCAAGAGTCTAGGAGAGGAAACAGCTTCTCTAAAGTGAATGTTAAGGAAGTTTTGGGGAAGCAATGAGGACTGATAGTTGACTGTCCTGATAGGTGAAATGTAGCATGCACTCAATCTTAAAGACCTGTGGACTTTATTTCTAAAGTCATATTTTGTTATTAGATGGGTTATTTCTTTTCAAAGGACTTCAGTTAAATTAATTTGATTTTCATAGCTCTCTAAAGCAGGCAAAGCAGTATTTAGTTCTCATTTTTACAGGCAATGAAACACCAGCAACTCCAGAAACTGGTCACAGGTTTTTAAACATAACACAAAGTGATGCTTACTTAATAGACAATATCTTTAAGTGTTATATTTCCATTCTTTTTTCTTTTTTAAAGGTTTATTTTATTTATGTATTCAAGAACTGGGGTCTAGGCCAGAGATGTTGGGGGTGAGAGGATTCACCAGAAACAGAGTGGGGAGCATAACAAGTGGATCTACTGAAATACACTGCTGAGGGGAGCAGTGGGCAAGACAGGAGAGGTCTGCTGTGCCATGTGGTTTAGCTCCTTGGCAGGGGATTGAACTCATGCAGCAGTGGCTGCTGAGAGCTTGATAGTGCTGAGATTTAACCCCTGTGCCACCAGGGAGGTCCTCCATTCTTTTTTCAATGTCCTTATCTTGGAACTTTAAGTATATTAACAATTAATTGTATGTGAACATTTCTTCAATTTATGTTACCAGTAGCAAATCATTAGCAGTTGGCTAGGAAGTTAAGATAAAATGTAAATTTTGTAGATAAATATGGGTATTGAGTAGTATTATCAGTTTTTTTACTATCAATCAGCTTCTCAAACATTTCTGAAAAGGGATAATTGTGTGATAGGAAAAGAAAAAAATGTTAGGCTGTCTGAAAAAGTGTAGGCTATGGCAAAGTCAGATAATGGCAAATTTTATTAATATTCAAGGAAAGGGTAGGACAGATTGAATAGTGCATCTCTGCTTAAAAAAATGGTGCAACTGTGACCTATAAAAACTTAAACTAGCTTTTTCCATTTGTGTCAAGGGGATTATTCAATGACCATGATTATTATACACTGATGACAGATTATATTTGCTAATAAAGCCTTCATAATTATTTGATCATCAAAACGATCTCGACAGCTACTGTCTTAGGAATTAAGGTTCATAAGCATATCATTCCCTAATCATTTGTATCATCGGAGCACAGTTTAATTGAATTATTCATATAATTATGGGAGCCTGAATTTGGCCTAGGAAATAATTTGTGACTTTATTCAGTAGCTCAAAGAATAGATCTGAGAACACAATTAACCACTGTCTTCAAAGAGACATTCTCTTATACAATAGCTATGTTTCAGCTACGATTGATTAATCACCAGATAAGAAATCAATTTAGATGCATGCCATTGACAGTATCAGATAACATTGCTATAAAAATAATTCTGATCAAGCTCTGAGATGTTCAATTAAAACAGAAAATAAATGTGATATTCAATTAGTATAGCTTATTGATTTGTTTTAAGATATGTACTTTGAGATATTAAACTGCCATATCTTTAAATATGCCTTACCTTGCTTTAAATATTTACTTTCAGTCCTTTATTTCAATCCTCAATCCTCCTTAAATAGTGTTTGTAATATTTAATATAAAGGCATATAATTTTTACAGTTTGATAATTAAAACTGTAAAAGTACACTTACTTAAAATTCATTTTATTTGTATTATTCAAATTTTATGATATCCTGTGATTTAAAAATTATGGTCTGAAATATTTTAAAGACAGAGCAGATGTTATTCTTTCTCCCAACACAGAATTCAGGTTTGGAAGACGTATCAACACATATATGAGAATTTTTAAAAAATCAAAATCATTAACTGTAAATCACTCACATTTACATAATTCTATCTCACCCTTCTAGTGTGAAACTTAATGTAGCCTACTGGTATAAAATTATTACCATCCTCTTTAAATGATTTCTAGATTTGTGTAATTTGGTATTCTTACTGTAATTCAACTTCTTATGCCCAATTATTTGTTCACCAAGTATACTAAAGTTTTCTATTTAAACTGTCTTGTAAAAATCACCAATGATCTTTATATCACCAAGTGTAATGGAGAACATTCAGTTCTTATTTTAATTTACTATTTTTCAGTATGTGGCCCTATTGGCAACTTTATATTTTTCCTTTTTTGATAGTTTCCTTAGTTTTCAATCACATTCTTTCCTTGGCCTTTCTTTCATATTCTGAAATTACCGAGGATTCCCAGCATTCTCTTTGTTCATCCTATTTAATCTGCTCTCTCCCTGGGTGATCATAGTCACACTCATGGCTTCAACTTCTGACCTACAGTGACTCCCAAACACATATCCACAGGTCAACGGTTTAGTCTTAAGTCTGAGCTCTACATGTCCAAACCGGTGTTTGATATTTTGTTTAAAGATTTATTTATTTATGCATACAAGAGCTGGGGTACAGGCCAGAGGTGCGGGGTAGGGGTGGTGAGAGGATTAACCAGAGACAGAGTGGAGAGCAGAACAGGCAGACTGACTGAAATACACTGCTGAGGGGAGCAGCGGGGGAGTCAGGAGAGGTCTGCTGTGCCATGTGGGTAGCTCCCTGGTCGGGGATCAAACTTGCACTGCAGAGGCTGCAGATAGGTTCACAGGTTGTGTCTTAACCCCTTGTGCCACCAGGGAGGCCCAGGTCTACCTTTTAATCCACTAATTCAACTACAAATTCTTCTACATTTACCTCTGTGTTTTTAAAGGTAGCATAGTGCAAGATATCTAGTATACAATAAACTTTGTTTTAAAAAAAGAATTCATCTACTCTTGACAACATACTGGCAGAACAAATTGGCAATTTACAATGAAATGTATGCAAGGTGGGCCTCCCCGGTGGCCCAGAGGTTGAGCGCTGGGTTGCGAAGCTGCCCGCAGCCTCTGCAGCGCTGGTTCGATCCCTGGCTGCTCCCCGGCCACCGGAGGAGGGTCCCACATGGCGCGCAGACCTCTCCTGCCGCCCGCTGCTCCCCTCAGCAGTGTACTTCGGTCCTTCTGCCTGCTCTGCTCCCCGCTCTGGCTCTGGTGAATTCTCTCACCCTCCCGTGCTTCTGACTGTACCCAGTGCTTGTATAAATAAATTAAATAAATAAATAAATAAAAATAACTCTTTAAAAAAAAAAAAGAAATGTATGCAAGGAGCATAAAATTAAGATGATAAATTTAGTTTCATAACATCGAGTCATTGTGTTCCTACCTGGGTATCAATACATCAGTGGACAAGAAACTGAACCCCGGGCCTCCCTGGTGGTGCAAGGGGTTAAGACGCAACCTATGAAGCAATCTACAGCCACTGCAGCACAAGTTCAATTCCCAGCCGGCCAGGGAGGAACCCACATGGCGCAGCAGACCTCTCCTGTTTCGCCCACTGCTCCCCTCAGCAGTGTATTTCAGTTGGTCTGCCTGTTCTGTTCCCCACTCACTCTGTCTCTGGTAAATCCTTTCACACCCCCACCATATCTCTGGCCTATACCCTAGTTCTTGTATGCATAAATAAATAAATCTTTAAAAAAAAAGAAAGTGAGGGCCTCCCCAATAGCGCAGTAGTTGAGCGCTGGATTGCAAAACTGCCCACAGCCTCTGCAGCGCTAGTTCAATCCCCAGCCGCAGGGCGAGGGTCCCACATGGTGCGCTGACCTCTCCTGCTGCCCGCTGCTCCCCTCAGCAGTGTATTTCGGTCCTTCTGCCTGCTCTGCTCCCCGCCCTGGCTCTGGTGAATTCTCTTACCCTCCCGCACTTCTGACTGTACCCAGTGCTTGTATAAATAAATAAATTAAAAAAAAGAAAGTGAACCCCAATTTTCTCACCATATGCCTATCTTATAGGAGTTGGAAGAGGCTTAAATGAATTGATATGTATGAGGTGGATAACAAATATTTGATGCTACAAACAATGTTCATATTTCTGCCCCTCCCTTGTGATAACATACATAATTTCTATAAAAGGATAGCCATACTGCCTTTATATTACATTAATAGTCTCATCTATGGAACTACTTTGTGTGTTATTATTTGTGATTACTCTTGAGAAAATTTTTTTACAAATTCATATAAAAGTATTCATATGTAGATTAAAGGAATAAAATTTGGGAATCAGTTCCCACTGAATGTTCATCAGCATGATACAGTTAACAAGTTTGGTTTTTTTTATTTTTTGTAATTTTTTTTATTTAGCATTGGCAGGATTGATTGCTTGTTTTTTTTATTTGTTGCAGCTTTCCCTTCCCTTGGGAAGAAAAACAAGCTGGCGCTCAACAAGAAAATAAATGGGTGTCAACTCATTCATCTTAAAAAAAAAAAAAAAAGGTGTCAAGGCACAAAGACGGGTAATCGCCAACTTGTTTTTCTTAGGGCGAGAGGGAAGGGTCTACAAAAAAACCAGTGGGCGCCAGCTTGTTTTTCTACCCAAGGGGAGAAAAAACTGCAACAAATAAAAAAAACAAACCATCAATCCTGCCAATACTAAATAAAAAAAATTACAAAAAATAAAAAAAGACAAACTTGTTAACTGTATCAAGCATAGTAAGCAAACAAATTTGTAAATGTCCTACCTGCTAAACCAGGAATACGTCATCTTACTGAAGAATGAAGCACTTTTCTCTGGACTGCATTTCTAAAAAGAAAATATAACAAGTAGTGTATGAGGAAGATGTCTTTGACTTATATTGGAAATATCCTTGCCAGTAGCTGGCAAAGTAAATATGAAATATGTTTCTTAGTATAGTTCCTGGAATTTGTTGGCACATGGCTGTTTACAAAATTTATATACTATGTGGTAGTGTACACATACAAATATACACATTATAAGTTAGTACATACAAACATATGATCTAAATTTAAAAATTTTAATTGCAAAATTAAAGATAACTTTCTTTCTAAAAAATAGATTTTAATAGTTTACTACTGTGTTTAATGACATTTTTGTATAAGTGTACAGATATATACATAATTATATATTTATCATAATTATATTATTTTGGCAGTTATAACTTTCCATAATTCCCATTAATTTGGTGAGTTTAGTTTAAAAAGGGAAGACTACCTCAAGAATAATCATTTCACATTTCAAGAATTGGCAACAATTTCTTTGTATTTCAAAATGTAAAAGTGATTAACATCAAATTTCCCACATTTAATAACTTCTTCATTGATCCTCTCTCTAACCGAGTTCTGATTTCATGCTCAAACTTTAAAAGTATTTAACATATTTTTAAAAATTCTGATCCTAGGAAGGCTGAGTAAAACAAAATTTCACCTTATAGGGTAAAATGTCTTGGATATAAAGAAGCAAGCATGGCATTCAATTCCAAATCTGTTGTCTGAGTTACAGCAGTTATAATATTAATTATTGAAGATATGTATAATTTACCAGAACGGTATCTATTCTCATGGTTGTTATGAGAAATGCAATGATGAATGTAAAACGTTTATCACACTATTGTCCCAGCCATTAGCTCAAACATGCGACTGTGATATTGCCATCAACATTGTTACCAAACATACTATTTGAAAAGTAAGAGCACATATTATTGGGAAAATGTCTCGAGTATTCTATAATTATCCTGACGGTCACATTTTATGACTTATGTACAAATCTCACAGGGAGTTGACAATTTGATAATTTACCACCAGTAAGGATCTCATATCTATCCAAAACAGATATTTCTTGGCAGGCTAGAAGTGACTGCAAATCCTTTGCAGCTTTTCCCATGAAAAAGTAGAATCTATTTTGTGTCTCCTGAATCTGGGCCAGTGGTGATTCTTCTTTTGTTCATAAAAATGCAACAGGAATGACATTGAGAGTTTCAGGTGTAAGCCCCCAGAGATTTGTTGTTTGGAATCCTGAGACTATCGTGTCTGAGGCTGAGCTCCAGGAGGATGAGAGCATGTGGAAGAAAACCAAGGTGTTTACCAGACAGCCTGTCCTCCTACCTGGCATAAGTTGGTTCTAGATTATCAAGGCAACCCCTCCCCCCGCCCCACCCCACCAGCTGATTGCGGAAGCCTGAGAGCAAGGCAGAGCCAGCCAAGCTGACCCAAACCAGCAAAGGGTCTAGTTGGTGCAGGATCAGTAGCTACCTAAAAAGACTGTTGCTTTCAGCACCTAAGTTTTGCAAAGCAATTTCACCACACCAAGGACTCAATGTTGAACTTAGCATCCCTCTAGGACTGTTTGATGGGAAAGCCCTTTAAGCCCTCTGGTAAAAGCCTCCTTAGATGTGGGCCTATGGGCCAGGCATCTTATCCTGGATTTATCATAGTCAATTTCTCTCTGAAGCAATGCTTATCTTAGTAATTACTTTTCAGAAGGGAGAGTCAGCAGGTAAAATATCTGGTGAAGATAATTCATCTTTTCAAAGCACCAAGAATACATGATTTCTTGGACCTCCTTGGTGGTGCAAGGGTTTAAGATGCAACCTATGCAGCTATCCTCAGTCACTGCAGCACAGGTTTGATCCCTGGCCAGGGAGCTTCCCACATGGCACAGTAGACCTCTCCTGACTCACCCGCAGGTCCCCTCAGCAGTGTATTTCAGTAGATCTGCCTGTTCTGTTCCCCACTCTGTCTCTTGTGAATCTTCTCACCCCCTGCATCTCTGGCCTGTACCCCAGTTCTTGTATGCATAAATAAATCTTTAAAAAAATACATGATTTGGGCCTCCCCGGTGGCGCAGCGGTTGAGCGCTGGGTTGCGAAGCTGCCTGTGACCTCTGCGGCGCCGGTTCGATCCCCGGCTGCTCCCCGGCCACCGGAGGAGGGTCCCACATGGCGCGCAGACCTCTCCTGCCGCCCGCTGCTCCCCTCAGCAGTGTACTTCAGTCCTTCTGCCTGCTCTGCACCCCGCTCTGGCTCTGGTGAATTCTCTCACCCTCCCGCGCTTCTGACTGTACCCAGTGCATGTATAAACAAACAAACAAACAAGTAAAATAAATAAATAAAGCATGCCTCTATTTAAAAAAAAAAAAAAAAAAAAAAAAAAAAACATGATTTCTTAATGAATTGGTAATTGCAGAATTCATTGTATAGGCCTCGCTACTTTGATTATTTCTAAATTGCTGTAAAGCAATGTATGTGTAGAAGAAACTGTGACAATTCTGAGATATTTTTCAATGTTCTAATCTATTCCCACCTTCTCCATTAACCATACCTCAATCCTTCTTTTTTTTAAAAGATTTTATTTTTTATTCATACAATAGCTGGGGTACAGGCCATAGGCGCGGGAGGGTGAGAGGATTCACCAGAGACAGAGTGGGGAGCAGAACAGGCAGACAGACTGAAGACACTGCTGAGGGGTGCAACGGGCACAGTAGGGGAGGTCTGCTGCACCATGTGGAAATCTCCCCAGTCGGCCGGGAATTGAACCTGCACTGCAGAGGCTGCGAGAGCTTCACAGCGCTGTGCTCAACCCGCTGTGCCACCAGGGAGACCCATATCTCAATCCTTCTAACTCACCTATTTTCAATTTGATAACACTTCTAGTCTTCAGAGCAAGACTAGACCTTGTCTAAGCCCACGATGGGCTTTCATTTTATTTGCCATTTTATTAACTTTTATATTTTATGCCATTGGACAACATACCTTAACATTGCTTACTTAAGAGTATTTGAATGGAAATCCTGTTATTTCTGGATTATAGTGGAAGAACAGAAAGAATTAAGACCATGGAACCATGCACAGCCAGGGCCTAGGATATAGGGAAATGTGTTGTTCTCAGTCTTCCTTGAGTGTTAACTTGAGCATAGTAACACCTTTTAATTCTTAACTTCAGGTGCTTCATTGTGGTTATTGGAAGGAGGTTCTGGGAATAGTGGAGGAAGTTATGGAAAAGTAGAAATACTGGTTCATAGAGGAGGAAAACACCTACAAACAAAAAGAATTTAGTCATCACTTATTATGTGCCAGATTCTGACTAAGTATATAATCTCATTCATCATATCTTGTGGTGGCACTATTTTATCACCCACAATCAGATGAGAAAATTAAGATCCAGAGTTTAAGATCCTCCAACTAAAATGTTTAAAAGACTGAACCTAATCCAGTTAGTTCATTCTACCCTGCAGTCAGAATTCCACACTCTCAGTTCTGCTGTTTCAAGCTGTTTTCTGTTAGAGAACATTTTACTGCTACCCACTTCCTATTACTTCACTTCTAGCTTGTTCTTACTTGTGCTTTAATCCTTTTCAGGATTTACTTCATTTGGTAATATTTCTCCTCACCCCCAGCTTCCAAAGCTTAGATTCTTGTTCTATGTTACCACAGCATTCTCAACATACACTAAGAGATTTAAAGGCTCACTCACATCTGCCCTCATTGAATTTATCTGCTCTTTACCCAACTATCTAATCATTTGCTGTCAGGTGTTTCTCTTCTGCTAGACTTAGTTCCTGTAGAAGACAGACTATATTTGATTTATCTTTGTACTTACAGCTTTAGCCTACAATCTAGCTCATAATAAACAAAGTTTCAGATGAATAAATGAAGGTATGGATGAATGCCACAAAAAAAAAAATTAGAAGTATTCTATTCGTAGGTCACCATGTCAGTTCTTGAAACTCAATCAGAAAGTCACATTCTTAGCTTATGGTTTAGGTAGATATTTTTACCTGAGCTCTAATAGAGCAATAGTATAAAGGCTTAGTAATGAATTATACATGGTTTTCAATACGCTTTAAAGTCATCAACTTTTTAAAAATATTGTTATCATAGATGTAACAGATAGAAAGTGCAATGAAAATGAATGTTTTCAACAAACAGACAATTATAAAACAAAGATCATGCAGGGGAAGAGGAAGGAGAGGGATCAGAGGAATCAGAAGGAGGGAGGGAGCAGCACAGGGGACTGAGGTGATGGTGCACGGGTGCATTGGGGAAGGAATTTTTATGGGGACTACACCTGAGGGGTAGGGGGGTTAGCAAACATTGTTTAAAAATGAACAATGATGTAAAAATTAATAATTTTTTAAAAAACAAATGTTTTCAATCTTGTCTAAATAGATTCCTATCCCTAAAGCTATCCAGGTTAAATAAATCAAGGAAATAAATACTCTACAAATCTTAGAGAAAGAAAGGGGAGGAAATGGTTTGAGTTTATAGCTTTCTACCCCACAAGTTTGTAGCCTTTCCTAAACTCTGCAGTTCCACTGGTGATGTTAAACTAGTTTGCCCATTGAGTCCTCCACCTCTGTTTTAAAGTAAAATATGTGTATTGTCCTGAAGGAGCCCTTTCACATTTCAGAAATTTATTCAGCCCCTATATCTTACAAACTTAAAAAAATACTTCATATATATATTTATATATTTAAATATATATTTATATATTTATAATGTAAAACTTTCAAATTTCACTTTATATGTGATCAGAATAGTTGTCATAATTACTTGACACATGGATTTAGATACTATGAAAGCCAGGAATAGAACACGGTCCCCTTAATCTATTATTTTTTCCTATTTCAGATCTACAGAATTACCTGTGTTAAGGGCGATTTCTGAGCCCCAGCCTTATATAGTGACAAATTAAAGGGATGGCAATTTTATTAGGAAAATTGTTCCTAATACACAAACACAGGGTTCATTTCCTTGTACCACTGCCCGAGCACATGACTTCTATTGTGGAGGAAGCACGTGGTGTCAAGGGGCAGAGAAGTCAGGTTAAGCGCCTGCAGTTTCTGGACTTCACCCAGACCTTACAGTCCCAATACTACCACAGATAACACATTATTTATCCTGAGTCTCTTCTATGGTTGTACTGGTCTGGACCACTGGTTGTAGAATTTCTTCACAACCTCAGCCCCTCCATTCACTCTTTAAAATGCTTGGTTGTTTACTGGAATTAACCTCTCCCTTCAAACTAAATGCCTCTTTGCTCCAGCGACCATCCTGAGATCGTGATGGCTCAGATTTCACAGTATCCTGGAGACGACAGATCTCAGCTGTCTCTCGTGTGTGTGCGTGTGTGTGTGTGTGTGTGTGTGTGTGTGTACAGATCTCAGCTGTCTCTCGTGTGTGTGTGAGTGTGTGTACAGATCTCAGCTGTCTCTCGTGTGTGTGTGCTTGTGTGTGTGTGTACAGATCTCAGCTGTCTCTCGTGTGTGTGTACAGATCTCAGCTGTCTCTCGTGTGTGTGGTGTGTGTGGTGTGCGTGTGTGTGTACAGATCTCAGCTGTCTCGTGTGTGTGTACAGATCTCAGCTGTCTCTCGTGTGTGTGTGTGTGTGTGTGTGTGTGTGTACAGATCTCAGCTGTCTCTCATGCGCACACACACGCGCGCGCACACTCAGTTGCTACCAAAAGACTTGAGTTCCCTTTTCAGGGTCTGCAAAGTCAGTTTTCTCTGCTCGCGTTTCTCCTCCCAGAGTGGCCCAAAGGCAGCTCCGCCTCTCCCCCCCAGGACCAATGAGCTTTACCTGCGCCCCGGGCCCCTCCGGGACTCGCTGGTAGGCGCCGCGGGCACCCCACCTCCGCAGTTTGGAAAACATGGTCCTCGCCGGCGCCGCGCAAGCAGAGGAGAGGGTGAGGAGGCTGTCACCCTTGGCGGGGCCTCTCCGACTGGCCCCTGGAAAGTGGGAAAAAGCTTGTGCTCAGCCCCACCGAGTCAGCGGCCGCCCAGCTCTCCACTAGCCCTTCCTGCTGGCCCTCGGGCTGCGGGAGGAGGGAGGTGGGAGAGGAGCGTAGGAGGAGGAGGGCCGGGCGGGCCGAGGAAGAAGAGGAGGGGCTTCCCGCAGAGTCTCGGGATCTTTGCCTTTTGAGGATTTTGCATTTGCCTCGTTCATTCTCAACTCTTTAGTTTCTAGGGTTGCTCTTTATAGAACATCTGTGCCTTTTAATGAAGATCAAAACTTGGTCTTCCACCCTTGCTAGGGTGACATTTATCTGTTTGCAAACAGGTTATTATAGCTGTTGCCTACAAAAAAAATGTTAAGGTCAGCAGCACAATTTTACAGAGCGAATTTACTGCAGTGGCTTTAAAATTCGGAACAAATTATATACTTCCCTTGGTAATAGAAAACTAACAATACATTTAATCTCAAGTTTACTCTGCAAATTATAAAACAAGAAAAAAATTTTAAAATCTTCATAGTAACTAGAACTTTAAAAATGTGATACTGGGGGCCCCCCCTCGTGGCTCAAGGGGTTAAGCACAGCGCTATGAAGCAATAGGCAGCCTCTGCAGCACGAGTTCAATCCCTGGTCGGCCAGGGAGCAACCCATGTGGCGAAGCAGACCCCGCCTGTCTCGCCCACTGCTCAGCCTCCCTGTTCTGTTCCCCACTGTCTCTGGTGAACTCTCTCTCTCTCTCTCTCTCTCTCTCTCTCACACACACACACACACACACACACACACAGACCCCTCTGGCCTGTACTCCAGCTCTTGTATGCATAAATAAATAAATCTTTTTTTTTTTAAATGTGATACTTGACATTACACAGGGGATTGTAAAAATTAAGGTTGCCATTTTGACTTTTAAATGCATATTGGTAAATCACATGCCTTGTATAAAGAAGTAGTGGTGTAAGCAACAAGTCACTTTTAGGAAGAGCTGCTGATCCATGAGTCTGTCATTGGTCTGAAGTATTTTGTTTTAAGTTACTTAGAACCTGAAGCAACAGAAGAGGGAGTAATATTAGGAATTCTGAATAACAGAGCTAAGGGGATTTGTGGTCATCTTACAAGGATGAATAGTTTCAGGATCAAGGAACATTCTGTCTTCTGTTTAAACCTAATGTTAGGGATAGGTGGAATGAAGTGAGGAATTAAAAGAAAAGGTCAGCTTTCTGGAGAACTGGGTTCAAAAATGATACCTAAGAAGGTGTAGGCCTGCCCAGACCTGCTGACTTTTGCATAAGGATTACACCAAATGATACCTTATGAGATTAAAGTCCTGGAAAAAGTTTAAAACACACTTTATTTTTTTTTACTAAACGTTTTAATTTTCTTACATTGTTGTTCATTTTTGTACAGTATTTGACTTCTCCCCTCAGGTGTAGTTCCCATAAATCTCCCAACATGTCACCTATAGGACACACTTTGACACTTAGTCCATATTTGTCTTGCCCTATGCAAAGAGGACATTGTACAATAGGTTCTTCTTTGAAATAAATGTATCTGTGAAGAACAAAGGTCTCACCTCAGAACTAAGAAACTTGTATTACTTCTTCCAGAACTTTCCACAAACTCATGTGCCTATTTGATTATATTCACTCAGCAGCCTGAATATGAGACTCTCATCCCACCTATACTTTTTTTTTAAAGGTTTTGATTTTTTATGTATACAAGAGCTGGGCGCAGGAGGGTGAGAGGATTCACCGGAGACAGAGTGGGAAGTAGAACAGGCAGAAGGACAGAAAGCACTGCTGAGGGGAGCAGCAGGGTGACAGGAGAGGTCTGCTGTGCCATGTGGGTATCTCCCTGGCCGGCCGGGAATCCAACCCACTCTGCAGAAGCTGCGGGCAGCTTCACAGCACTGCACTCAACCCGCTGTGCCACCGGGGAGACCCCCACCTGCACTGTTAAACTATTCATTTTATGGAATCCATGTGAAAAAGGCAAGATCTTGTTATAGAGGTCACTCCTTATTTTTTTCAGAGGTAGTTACAAAAAAGGAACTTTGAATCTGTGCCATAGACTAGGAAGCCAGGAAGTAAAGACCTAAAAATAGTGCAGGCTCTAAATTCATCATTTGTCTTTCTTCTCTTGGAATCAGTCCTCTCAACAAAGGCTTGTTCTAGTAACTGCAAATAAACAGATTTCTGCAAATACTCAGCTCTTTTATGACACCCAGCTCCTAGATTGGTGGGAAGAGAGAAGAATCCTAAACTATTGAGTAGATCTCCTGGGTGTTGGGCACCTACAGTAATGGAGACTCTCCCAATCTCCCAAAGGGATTAGGAGAAAATATATCTGTGGGCCCACAAAATGGTATTTTATTATTGACTTTCTTCATTTTGAAGGATTTACAAGATTGTACTAGTAAACTTTAGGGTTTGGGTTTTTTTTTTTTAGAAAGTAGTTTCCATTGCTTGGGTACTTCGTTAAGGAAAACAGTGAAATGATCTCATTTTTTTAGGGAACAGAAAGTATAAAATTAAATGACCTTGACATAAACAAAACCTTACCACAAAGTTAGCATTCTGACTCACCGAATTCTCATGCTGGTTGGATTGTGAAATAATTATTTCCTTTTCCAGCAAAAAAAAAAAAAAAAAAAAAAAAAAAAAATCATGGAGAGGTGAAATAAAAGAGCATATAGATTTATTTGTAGAAGGAGCATATTTTATGTCAAAATAGTCAATTGTTTAGACTATTGGGAAAATCCATAAGGGTTCCTGTACTTCCAGGATCCTAGTCTATTTTATAATTTCTGCAGCCACTGCAGCACACCTTTTCCTGTTGAGGAAAACCTCAGGGACTGGTGCCAGAATCTCAAGACTGATTAGAATTAAGACCAAAAGAAAGAACTGCCTGTTTGCGAAAGTTAGTTGGGTATATCATTGGCTCCATGGCAAAGGAAAGAAAATTCTTTCCTTCAGGAGGATTGCAGGTTGTGTCTTTGTAGGGAAGGGTGATGGAGTAGATTTTTTGTTGCTGTTCCTCCTGGTGGCACAAGGGGTTAAGCACTGCACTATAAAGCAATCCGAAGCCTCTGCAGCACAAGTTCAATCCCCAGCCCTACAGGGAGCAACCCGTATGCGCAGCAGACCTCTTCTAACTCGCCCACTGCTCCCCTCAGCAGTGTATTTCTGTAGCTCCGCCTGTTCTGTTCCCCACTCTGTCTCTGATAAATCCTCTCACCCTCCGCATCTCTGTCCCGTACCCTGGTTCTTGTATGCATGAATAAATAAATCTTAAAAAAAAATTTGAATTAGCAATGCTATTCAGTTTGTGGTATACTATCATTTTGTGCAGGGTCATTTTCATTTTATTTTCTCTTATTTGCTTTCCCTAATTATATATTTTCCAATCCATTTTCCCCACCAAAAATCATTATCTGAAGTTACAAATAAGTATCTTTTCAATCCAAGTTCTTTACATTTATTGAAATATTTCTTTAACCTTGAAAACTACATGGTACTATTTTTTAAAGATTTATTTATTTATACATACAAGAACTGGGGTACAGGCCAGAGGTGTGGGGGAGTGAGAGGATTCACCAGAGACAGAGTGGGGAGCAGAACAAGTGGATCTACTGAAATAGATTGCTGAAGGGAGCAGCAGGCAAGACAGGAGAGGTCTGCTGTGCCATGTGGGTTTGCTCCCTGGCCAGGGATCAAATTCTAGCTGCAGTGGCTGCAGATAGCTTCAAAGTGATGAGACTTAACCACTTGTGCCACCAGGGAGACTCCCCATAATGTACTATTTTATGTGCTTTTAAAATCTATAAAAACAGTAACTTGTTACAAAGTCATTGCAATACAATCTCCTTTCTCCTCCCATAATTTTGTACCTCAATATCTTTTGTAAGCACCTACCCTTATGTGGCTATGCAATACTCACCCATTGTACCTGATTGCTGCAAGATGTTTTGTTCTATACAAATATAACTTACAGTAACTCTAACGTCATAAAGTACACAGATTCTAAGATAAGATTGTAGGTTCAAGTCTTGTTCCAATATTTACCAGCAATTCATTAACAACTCTCAGGACTCAATTTTCAATGAAATGGAAACAATAGTGGATGCCTTCCACATAGGTTTAGTGTAAGGATTATATGTTTCAAGAATGAAACAGGTAAAGCACTTAGTACAGCAAGTGCACATGATATATATCACATAATTGTTCTGATGATTATTACTTATCTAGTTACCCAGTGACTAATTTATACATTAATTCCAACTCCTTACCCTCAAATCAGTGGTATAAGGAATCTGGTATACCAGGGTTCTCAAATTTTTTGGACTCAGAAACTCTTTACATTTTTCAAAATTAAGGAGTCCCTTTTGTTATGTGAAATATATCTACTGATACTTGCCATATTCGAAATTAAAATTAAAAGCTTAAAAATATTGGGGTTGGAAAAATTTAAGAATATTTATTTCCTCATAATTATTTAAACAAACCCATTACATGTATACATGAATTAGATTATTTTTGAAAATAATATTTAAAGAACAAAACTACTTTTGAGAATATTGGCATTATTTTATATTGTAATATATGATTTAGTAGAAGATATGTTCGCATCTGTTTCTGCATTCATCTGTTACAAACTACAATTTTGCTTAAAGTAGGGAACAAAATCTGGCTTCACACACATATAGGTGGAAGAGGATTAATTTACTTTTTCTGTAATTCTGGATACTTTTCTTTAATATAAGACCAAAATCCTGCCAGGTTTCTTGAAAGTTAGTTGCTATGTAGAACCTGAAACCCTGTCAGTAAGCCTTTTGTATTTGTTTAAATTAAAATTCATTAGTTTTTCTTGCTCTTTGAATGGATGTTTAATGTTTGCATAATTTTGTACTATGTATTGTCTTTTCAGAATGTATTGGTTTTCTGAATTATGACTATTTTCCAAATGTTGGCACATATTGTACCATATCAGAGAATAATATTTATTGATATCACCACCATTTCATTGGAAAATTCTTTCAAGTATTGGGAAGCTTTTAAGTGCATAGTGACAGATACTAGTATTCTAAAAATATAATATTCTCTGAAAAAACG